TGTACTATGCAGTATACCTTAGGAGCAGCTGAAGAACAGTGCATGCATTTATGTTCTGCATGTGCCATCGCGGACAAACCAATCATTCGAGGCCATGCAGTGATGGTGGTCACAACCAGGCTTTGGGCAGCAGCATGTGGCTGTGGGGAGCGGTGAGGGTGCCGCCCGATCTGTGTGGTCCGCGGGAGCCTTTGGCATTTCCAATGCTGAAGAAGATAATATACCTTACCTGGCAGCGCCAACAATGACGACGGTTCACAGACTGCAGCCCCTTTTTCTTCCAGGCGACCTCGCTCCGGGGATCCACGTCGAGCCTCCACCGAGTCACTAATTATATCACCAATTCTATATAAACATGTCGTCGTATTCAGACGATCTCAAGACTGAATATTCCCTCGCACTCCTCATTCTCGCGGGTCTGATTCCGGCGGTTTTTTATCTTCGATCGGTGGTGTTGTCCCGTTTCAATCTACAGCCACAGCCACAGCCGCGATCGCGATGCTACCGTATCCTCGGGATATCGAGCGACACGTCGAGGGAGGCCCTCCAACAAGATATCGCATCAGTTTGCTCACTCAACTCGGCTGCTAGCCTTAGATTGACTCTCGCGCGATCCTCTCAGATATTCTCTACGGCAACCATAATCGTACCTGAGGGCATCTATGGAAAGCTTCTGGCTGAGATATGTGACTGATTCGACATTCCCTGACATCACTCCTCTCCACGATGGACAGGACAGTGTCATTGAGTAAGTGGTGCCAAGTGCCACTCCAAAAATTCATGACGAGTTTGCTAAGGAAACCCAAAAAATTATAGCATCGTCGCCCTGCCGGGCCTGGGAAGCCATCCGATCGGTTCATTCCAAGCCAAAGGCGGAGATCAAGTCTGGCTTCGCGATTTTCTCCACAAAGACATCCCCAACGCTCGTATCCTCCTCTACGGATACAACACCGCGATCCAACGGGACGATGCAAGATACTCCATCCAACACCTTGCCAAATCCTTCCTGGACTCTTTCAACACGTTTCGAGGAGCTACGAATGTGATGTCTTCCTGGGCCACGTCAACAAGGTCCCTGTTTCTGACATCTTGTATAGACTTGTCGACGGCCTGTAATCTCCATCGGGCACAGTCTCGGAGGTTTGCTCATCAAAGAGGCGATGTCATTCCTCGTTTCTGCTCGTTTCGGTTGGTGTGCAAGTGATTAACCATCCTACAGGCCATAGCACTGTCCCTGGACGATGGTGGTAATGAAACAACCATCAATACAGATCGCAACCAAGACTTTTATAAATCGACACTTGGCTTGGTTTTCTTCGGAGTCCCACACCTGGGTCTCAAGGCCGGGAGACTGAAGGAACTCACCCAGGGCCAGGCTAACAACCAGTTTATCCACGACCTCGAGGTCGACGACGAGCAGGAGCCAACTCCCTACCTGCGAAACCTGAACGACAGGTTCATCCGCGCCTTCAACAAGCACAAGCCGCAGATAAGCGTGGTATCATTCTTTGAGCTGGTCAAGACACACACGGTTGATGTATGCTGGCAGCCACCTCTGCGAGAGAAAGAGTCATTGCTGACAACTATCGTTCTTGCAGATGCGCCGGAAGGTGGAGCTGTTGTGCATACATTTGGGAGGGCTGGCGACGACGAGGCTGGTGCGGTGGCCGGTGTCGGAGCCGGTGTGGAGGCTCGCAACAAACCTTGATATCGTATGGCTGTCGGAGATGATACTCGAGATGGCGGCAAGATCATCTGGCCCAGATCCTTCGGTGGCTCCCGAGAACGACTGGCTGATTGAGGGCATAACGTTGAACTCGATGTATATCCACGACTGGCTGATTGAGGCAGCAGACGGGAGTCCGAGAGTTTTTTCTCTGCTACTAGATCAACCCGAAGCGAAAGTGACCGGAGATGTGGTCTTGGCGGCTGCGTCCTCCCTGGCCACCGAGGAGATGATGGAACTGTCATTCGAAAAGCGGGACGACGAGTTCAAGAGTACAGAAGAGGTGGCCGAGGCGGCAATTGAGAGCAGTTTCAGGGGAACGAAGATCATGGAAGTGTTGCTGGACAAGCGGGGCTACGAGTTTGAAATCACGCAAACGATGGCCAACATTGCCGTATTTCATTCTTCTGGTCAATCGATAATCGAACTGCTGGTGGAGAAAAGAGGTCAATCGGTTGAGGTTGCCGAGATGCTTGCCAAGGCAGTATTGGGGAGTGAAAATTGGCCGGTGGACAGTGTGGAATCGCTCTTAAAGAGACTATGCCGGGCCTTCAGGCTCACAGACGACGTGATGATATCGGCTCTCCAGAACAGGTCTCAGGCCCGCGATAATGTGAGTCTACTCATGACCAGGTACGGTCAGAATTTCCAGATATCAGAGGCAATGCTTAAAGCGGCCGCGAAGAACTGGGATGGCCTGGAATGCATGGGTGTGTTACTAGACGGGTGGGGAGAAAGGTGTGAGATCACAGAAGCTGTGGTGGAGGAGGTGGCAGGAAATCACCATACTGGTAGGAAGATGCTGGAGATGCTACTAACGAAGCGGAAGAATGAAGTGAAGGTCACCGAAAAAGGCGGTCAGACGGGCAGATGCAGATATGCGCGATTGGTTAAGGCGTGTGGTGGACGCCGAGTTGAAGAAGCTGGAAACGCTATTGCAAACGGAGCCGGACGACATCAGGAGAGCGCTGACCAACGAAAACGGGGGTTGCAATTCTCAACCTGCTGCTGGAGAAAGAGGAGGACGGCGAGTTTAAGGCCAAGAACTATATCGTCCAAGCAGCAAAGGGCAACGGCAATCTCGTGGAGGAAGTGCTGGATCTGCTTCGAGAAAGAAGAGGTGATATGTAATTAACCAATTTGATCCCGTTAGACCAGGATATATCATCGTCATGAAGCTATGCCGTCAAGGCTTGCAGCCCATGCAGGGCGGGGAGTGGAACAGGTGTCCACGCCTTTTCCGCACAAATAAGGCGTGCATGCCTCCGGCAGTGTAGACTGCCACGACACTGATGAGTACCGGCCACCGAAACTGTTCCGGCCGCGAGAACACGATGGTCGTGGCAAACGAGGCCAGTTCGAAGAGGTTCTGGAAAGCTGCTTCGACAGTCGAGAAGGTGCCCCGGTATTCAGCTTCCACCTCCTGCTATTCATTAGCAATCAGCAAGAGGTTTTGATGGGTTTCAGGCCGCGGGCCAGGGGTCCAACACACTTCTTGAATCAATGACTGAGCACACAAATCAAACACCCAGAGTCCGAGGCGACTTAGTGCCACGCAAACAGCCAGGCCCGCTGCTGATACCCGAGCGTCCGGTGTTGAGCTGTGCGAGTCGGCGAAGAACCAGCTGACCCCCGCCGCCAACCAGATCATAAGCCAGCTCAAGCTCCACAGCCCCCCTCGAACGGTCCCGATGCGCGCCATGAGGTGGGGTGCCACCCACGTCGCGCTGACCTCGAGCACCGTACTGAGTGTTCTGATGATGCCAACATGGAAAGACGTGTAGCCGACTGACATGAGAAACGTGATCATCTGGCCAGAAAAAGATAGGACTGTGAGGTATAGTAGGGCGAGAGAAAACGACGGTAAGAGGGCGGAGTGTCTAAAGTAGTGAACGAGGGGGGAAATTGGGAGAATGCTCTTCAAGGAACAGCACATTTGGGACTCGGTAGAGCGTCGGTCTGGATGTTCAGTGTCGACAGGAAGTGGCCGTCGCAGAGCTGGGACAGCGGAATAGACCTAAGGGTGCGTTAGCGAGTTCAATGTAAGCAGCAGGGGGAGCTCACCCTCGAGATGCATATGTACTCGGCAAACACAGAGAGAACATTGATGCAAAGTATGGTCCAAATGGCAACACGTGTAGAAGCCATGTCCACGAAAGAGATAGCCAGGGGACCAAGTAGTTTGCATAACAAGTCGATACGGCGCATTTGCGCATTGAGGACTGGAAGGTTATTATTAGGAGAACCTGGGTGTTCTGGTGCTTCAACGAACCTTGGCGGGAACCTTGCTTTCCTTCTGTTATCACGACGACCTGCGAACGTAAGTTCAGCTCTGCGGCCGGGTAAGAATATGGGAATGGCCTACCCAGTCTCTTTCAACTGAAATGAGGTTCATTACTGAGCACAGCTTCTCGACGCAGGCCAGCAGAATGAGTGCCGCAACCAAGGTCCAGGTCGTCCCGGCGTTTGTGATTTCCAATGTCAAGATCCAAAGGACCACACAGCTGGCAGCCACAGCAACGCGCTGGCCGACGATAGAGACCCTCACTACGGCCAGGCGATCCCCCCGGTCGATCCAAGAGCCAATTGGCTGCGCAAATACGATCGCGGCAGCGCTGCGGACGAGTGCGTACACCGACATGGGCAGTAGCGTGCCTGGGAAGATGGAGGCTAGGAAGAGAACAGCACCGAACTCGAACAGCCGGGAGTTCCATGTCGACAGGAAGTGCGACGTGTAAAGCTGTACTCTGAGCTTCTTATCGACACCGGTTGAAATGGTCTGGGAGTTGTCGTCGTCGTCGCTGGAGACACGATCGGTCATGTCCAGGAGCGGGATATATGGCTCGTGAGTGGTGTCGTCGGGGACATGGTGGATTGATGACTCTGCTGATAACCTTGGGTTCTCCATGGGAACTCATAGATGACTGACTTCTAGGTTCCCAAACAGGAGTAACCCAGGCTGTTCATACGTGCGTGTTGAAGCTTTGGAACGAGAGGGAGGAGTGTTGAGCGATTTCGGAACCGAACTCAATTCGTGGTTCGATCTGGAATGTTGATCCAAGCCGGGTGGGGTGGCAAGGGAGCCAATCAACAGCCACATGGCAAGAGCAGCCACGCAGGTTTTCTAGGGATGATAGCGAGATAAAATGCGCATGGCCACAAGATGCATAGCAGAAAAGACAAATGTATAATTATGGGCTACGTCTATACCTACATAAACACGAAGAGCGGAAAGCGCTGCCGGTATCACCTTTCGCCTCGGTTGTCAACCAGGTCGCATTTTCAATATCGCCATCACTAATTGATTTGCTATTCGTGAACAGTACCGGAACTAAAAGATGTGCAACTTCCAGACATCGCCCAGCCGGGAGTTATCCTCAGCAAGTCCCCCATGGACAATTATAGCGTCCTCATCCCCATCATCCCGCACCACATCCGCATCAAACCAACCCCTCGGCGCAGGCCCATCTCCCCGCGTCTCGACCTTTTCCCACTTCTGCTCCAGCACATCAAAAGCCCACACATCACCGAGCATCTTCCCAGCTCCCGCATGACCAAGCGCGCTAGGATCCCGCTCCCCGAACATGGTGACAAGATGCCCCCTCGCCCGCACCTTGACCGCAACAAGAGCCGACACACTGCGAGGCTCAGGCCCGTCGACGCCGTCGGGCCGGAACATCACAGTCGACCAAGCACGCGTATCGGTGTCATACACATCCAGGGCACCGCCCTGCTCCGTCTCTCCATCGAACCCGTTCATGCGATACAGCCTCCCATCAAGGAACGCGACCGATGCTCCCCCGCGCGCCGGGGGCGGGGCAGCAGGTAGCTCGGTCCAGGCCCTGGAGCCGATGTCGAAGGCCCATAGGTCGGACAGGCGACCCGTCTCGGGGCAGCCGGCGTGGACAAATATGGTGATGCTGCCGTCCGACGCGATGCAGTGATAGCTCCGACCGGCGGGGAACGGGGCCGAGGGATCGGCTGGCTCGATCAGGTCCCATGTGTCTCGGGCCGGGGTGTAGCGCCAGAGGGCGCCGTTCTCCGCGATGGGCATCATTGAGAGGCCGCCGCGGCCGGAGAAGAGGTAGAGTGCATCGTGGGTGGCCGTGCTGGGCGATCCGACGCGGGGCGATGGCGCTTTGCTTGAGGCGGGGAGCGTCTTGCTCACGGCTGACTCTCCTTCGTTTGGGTGTAGCTCAACGACGTCTAGCTGGTTGTCGACTGGTTGTCGGGGAAGCAGCTCACCGCCGAAGATGTATGCTCGGGAGGCGAGCACTGAGAGGGCCTGCGACGAGCGCTGGAGCCGCGGACTGGAGGCGAGTCGAGTCCACGTGGCTGAGATTGGGGCCATTGCAGGTGTGTGTTTGTGTAAGGTGTTTTGTCGGGATTTTTATGAACTCAGCTGGCGCTTTCGACGACCCAGATAGTCGTAGCGGTGCATGAGTGGGAGGGATCGCCTTATCTAACAATGATAAGCCAGTACTAACTGTTCAGCCGGCAATCGAGCATCCGGATCATGCCACTTTACGCTGGTTGGCTATGACAAGAGTACACTAATCTGGACATCAAGGTACTTATTGTTTCTGCATGAGGAGAAACCACCCCAAAAACACAAACTGTTGAGCGCGAGGCCTCCCGGTTGAGCCTGACAGAGTGTCGTTTGTGTGGTTGCTCTTCTTCATCCAAGAATCAGACCAATGTCTTCCCGTTGCAAACCTTCCCATGTTCCCCTTATCACCCGGCCAACCCCTCTGCGATACGCAACGCCATCAATCCACACAACCCACAAGACATTATAAAAAGTATACGTCTCCCTCTCCGGAACCATAGGCTCAGCAAAGTCAAACCCACGGGATATAGCAACCAGATCACACGCATACCCGCTCTCACCCTCCACGGCCTCGTACCCCTTGACATGCTCAAGGTCATCCACGCCATCGATCGACAGCTCGCCGACGTCGGACCCAGCGCCATCCCTCAGGACAATCTCAACGCCCAGGACGGTGCTGAACAAGGGTGCCACAAACCTGTCAGGTCCCTGGTAAGACACCGCAAGAGGGAACGAGCAGTTCTGCGGCGGCCGGGCAGCCCACAACCGCGCCTGCTGTGTCTTCGCGCAGAGATATCTACCGTACCCAGCTTGCGGGAGGGTTGATTCTGCGTCTCCCCGGCCGATGGGGACCGGGTGCCAGAATTTGATCCCCGGGCTCGAGTCGTGCGTGTAGAAATACGGCGTTTGCAGATCCGCCTCGGAGTCGACGGGGCAGAGCGGATCGCGGAACCGGCTCATGTCTTGGTACGGCTTTTCCGACTCCTCCCCTTGAGCCTCCATTCCTTCCCGCTGATAATGCCAGCCGGGAGGAAGCCCGTCTGCCTTCCCCATGTATGACACCTTGAACTCATGCCACTCGTTCTGATGCTGGATCTGACGTTGTTCCGAATTTACGGCTGAGCAGGTGTGCCATTTGAGGAAGGGGATGGCCTGATAGGGCTTCCAGTGTGCTGTTGCCATATTGAAAGTCGGGTTCTTGATGTAGTTTTTGGAAGTCCAGCATAGGGAGTGAATCCGGCCCTTCCACCCGGCCCACGTCCAGCTTGGCGGCCAGCCATCTTGAGAATCCGACGGTGACCTTCGAAGCTTTAATGGGCTCCCACGACGCCGCCATATCAACGTTGCATCCAGGAAGGACACTGGGAGACCGTGGATGAAGCCTCTTGGGAAGGCCCTGTTTAGAGCCTGGAAAGTGCTCAAGATGGCTGGTATGACGTCTTGTTCGTAGGTGAGCAGCCTTCCGCCGTAGTCGGCAAGTAAGTTGACAAGTCTCGACAAGTCGGGATAGTTGAGGGATAGCTCTTGAAGGGAGCGCCCCTCAGCGTGGTCTCCACCGTCGAAACCAGTGGTTGAGGGATCGATATCCAGCGGTGAATCAACATCCTCATAGTATGTGTTCTCGCAGCAGAACCACCGTACAGATCCATCAATGAACACAAGCATCCGCCTAGAAAACAGGTGCTCTTGCAGTGTCCAGCCTCGTGTGGCCCAGGCTGATCGGCGCACGAGGCCGCAGAGTCTAGTCGTGATTCCAATCTGCTCGCCCAGAGGCAACACCGGCGGGAGGGACCTTGCCACTGAGGTGTTCCTGAGTCCATGCAGTCCATAGTTCGCGTCCGTACCGTCAGCCGCAACTACTGTGAGAGCAGCGGCTTCGAAAATAGACGCCATATGTCGGATGTGGAGCCGGAAGGACTCCTCGTCATCTTGGACGATGCATAGGGAATCAACCCATAGATACCTCTCGCCCAACGATCTCACGAGACTCATGGCATGTCGGATCGTGGACGGGATCTCGGCGGCGAACTCTCGGCTGAGGGCACCCGGTTTCTGCAGTGCCAGCACGTTGGCCTTGAGGGCCTTTAACATCGGAACCTTGCCCCAGACGTAACTCAACGCCACGTAGCGAGAACCCTCGGGTGCCGGCACCAGACAGTTTGTCTCCGTGTCGACGAACCATGAGATGGACATGGATGGGCGCCGCCCCGCGGACGAGCAGGCGGATCCGTGGTTATCTTCGCAGTACGACATCCACTGCCGGATGAGGTTGGTGCTGACATAGTTCCTGTCCACCGATCTCCCCATGCAGACGCCTTGGGTACCAGCAGATGGCTGAAGCAATAGAAACTCTTCTGGTGAACTCGTCCATCGCTGGCCGTCCTTGCCGGTCCTGGTCACATACAGGAAAACGCGGCCCTTGTACAAGCAGATGGACATCGACCTGCTGTCGTGATTGGGCTCGGCATGTAAGAAGGACCCGAAGAATGCATTGTGTGCCTCGCACTCGGAGCTGTTGAGGATCTCGGAGCCGCCGCCCAGTTCCCAGGTTTGATTGTTTCCCAAGTCTCGAGCGCTGAGCATTGCGTCGAGGATTATGTCGCACACCCCGCAACACTCCCTCGGTGCATCCGCTCCTGTATCGATCTCGTGCTGCTGCCCAGGCACGATTGACGCCACCACTGGGCGACCGATACCAGACTTCATCTTCAATCGGTTCTCGGTCGCCGCTTGACTCTTTGGTCTGGTTTTGGTTGGAATTTGGGATTGATTGTTGACAAACTGCGGAGATGGGCCGGTTTTAATAACCCCTGTTGGTGTGGCTGGGTCACAATCAGGCAGCGAGATGCGAGCTGTGCCTCAATGGATTATTTTTATCAGTCCCTCGAGCTTGTTATCACACATCTTGATTAGAATTGATCGTCCAGCTCTGCAGGGAACACAGCAGGCCTCACCAAGTCCTAACCACTGGCATTTGCACCAATCCGACCCAAAAGCCACCCAATCCCCTCAACACTATCCTTCAGTCTCTTCTTGCTCGCCTCCATTTCTGGAAATGAATTCCAGAAACAATGTGGAAATCCGCTATACAGATCCATCTTGGTCGGAACACCGCACTCCTCCCGCAGCACCCTCTCATATATCAAGCTATCATCCCGCGACAGATCCAGCCCACAAGCCTGGAAGTACGCCGGCGGCATTTTGGTCTTCATCAATCCAAGACAATCCGGATAATCCCACATGGGCGACCACAGCCTCGACCCCGTATCAGGCTTCTCCGCGTCCTGGAAAAGCCGCAGAAACCTTTGCGTCAGCACAGGGGCATCCGCGTTCTGCTCCCGCGACAAGTATACCTCCCTGAACTTGGCCGGCACGCCAGACGGGTTGACGTATGCCCCGCACGAGAGGAACTGCCCCGTCAGCGGCGGCGAGGGCTCCTCGTCGAGATATAGGCGTGCGAGCACACCCGACGTATGAGCACCGGACGACGAGCCACCGACTATGAAGCCGGCTGAGGCTGAGGCATTGGGTGGAAGCAGGGATGGTCCGCTCTGTTTGTCGGCGCTCCTTCCTGCTTGGGTACCTATGTATTGCAGGATAGCCCAGGCATCGTTGATGCTCGCCGGAAAGGGGTGTTCGGGTGCCTGGCGCACCGAGGGACAGATGACTGTAGCATTGTGTGTGAGCACGAGCTGGTAGGCGAGATCGAGCTCTAACTCTGGATAGCCGATACAGTTCCCACCCCCGTGGAAGAGAACGACAATGGGAGAGAGTTTATCTCTGGTTTTCTCCACATCCCGGGCTGCGTGACACACCAAGGTGCGGGACTCAAAACCAGTCTCAAGGGGTATGAGGTATTCGGCTTGTACGACACCTGCAGGCCGGCAAGCTGTGGCTTTCTGCTGGATGGATGGGAAATGCTTCTCCATGATGCTCTTCAGCGTCGGAATATCGCATGGTGGATCCCCGGACGGGGAGCCTTGGGCCTTCCATGTGGCCTCGAAGTCCGGGTCAAACCGGCTTGATGCGAGGATCTCATCGGGTGTCGAAGGGAGACGAGCCATCTTACTCCTATCATTGAGCAGAAGACATATGTGGGGATCAGGGGAGATGGAGGACAGTTGAGGCCGAGCAACAGAGGTTGGAAAGTTGCCCGAATGTTATCTCGTTAACTATGATATACCGTCTGCTATTGTGGTCTTTCTCAGCCGCTTGAGTCACACGCCGGCTTGGCATGCGCACCCTTCTCCCCTGCCCTAACAGCATACAAAATACGGAAGACGATATGCCACGAGCAATAATTACCTGATAACCCGCAAATCTGTCTGCTTCTTCTTCTTTCTTCCCGCTTTTCATGTTCGTGGCCAATTCAACTCGTTGTTGTTCCGAGTACTGAATCGATTATGACAGGAAGAGGAAGAGTAACATCGGGAGTACGGAGTAGTTGTTTACTGGACAGTTCGCGGCGGAACCCCTGCAGCTGCATCCCACCCAGGCTGTTTACTTTGCGCGGACCCGAAAGATGGTGGTTGGGTGCAAATCAGGTGATGTGCACAGACCCTTTCACCACGACACCGCTCCTTCCCATTTCCTCGAACCCGACACGCAGGCTGCAAAGACTTGCCTCTCCAGCTTGCTTGCAATTCAGCAAATAGCTTCTCCCGGAAAGTTACGCACAAGCCCGTCTGAAATAGCCCCGGCTAAAAGCAACAACAGCTCACCATTTTATCAGGAAGGATTTCATTTCCAACCACGCGCCTTAACTCATCATGACGGACGCGACGAGAAAAGGGACGAGATAAGGGACGCGGAAAGGGACGAGAAAAAGGACGAGTCCGGCACGGATTCTGATGCCGATAATTCCGGCTCCAACTCTGGCTCCGGCTCGGAAGAATGGTTGGACGGGGACTTAGACTCCAACACGGAAGAAGGCGCTCGGAAAATTCGCAAGGGCGAGGCTGCCCTTGCCTCTAGCATGTCGCGCTCGACTGAGGAGCAGAGGAAGCAATATGAGGTTCGGGGTCCGGACAAGGCTTATGAGATTCCCAAGAGTCTCTACGAGAAAGCTGAGAAACATAATGACCAATTGACCGACGACGAGCGGGCTCTTCTTCTCAGCCGTGGCGATGTTGTGGGCAAGGCGCTAGCGAACCCTAAGTCGCTGACCGAGGCTGAGCTATACCAAGTAATCCGATGGTCGCCACCTGAGCTTATCCAACCAGCTATCAGGAAGGCTACCGGCGGTGTGCTGAGCAAGCCTTTGGAGCTTATTGCCAAGGTTCGAGAGGCAAAGGAGAGCGGACAGCTCCATACTCTGAGCTTCGAGGAGCTTAAACTCGTTTACCGGCAATGCCTGGTTGGGGGGGTTGACTTTTTACAGCAGTCCATGTCCTGGTTCGAAGTACCTGGGAATACCGAGGCGAAGCACTTGATGAGTACCCAGGTAGGCTGGGATTCGGATATGACCACCGAAGTGGCCAAGTATGTCGTGCCTCAACTTCAAGCTCGGTTTGAACTTCAAAGTCAGAAATTGGCAGCGCAGCTGCAGCACAGACTATCCTCCATGGAACGTCGTTCTGTCCAGCAGCGACAAGATGCGGAGGATGGCCATTTTCTCAACGCTATGTTGGACCACATGGAAGACTTGTAGCGACAGCGAGACCACGGAACCGTGACCGAAGATGAGTTCAGGCATACTCACCGAGCTCACCTTGCCGCCATGAGGAGCTACAGCCAGAACAGGAATCACAGGGCACACCCTTATTCCAGCATCAACCGGCCTCCAATGCAACCCCTCGAACCTCGCGGTCCATCGGCCATTCCAACTAGGCCCTTCCCACCAGCCCCGCAACAGCTCCCCATGCATCCGCCCCAACCCTTGCCGAGCCCCTTCTTCACCTCGCCGCCGATCCCTGGTGGTCCAGCGCCCGTCATCCCCTGGATATTCAACCCCGGCCACGTACCTCAGAGTGCATATGATCGCAATCGGATTTTTCCCGACGGGAGCCTTGCTTGGCCTCCAGCGTACCACCCAAAAGTTCCCATGAAATTCTTTGCTGAAGAACTGAGGGCCAAAATCAAGGCGGAAAACCTTGTCATTGATGACTTCTGGCATGAAGCGGGTACCCGCTTCAACGCGCTGACGGTCGAGGAGCGAGCCCCCTACGAGGAAAAAATCGAGGCTCTCAGGCAGAAGGCTTGGCATCGGTTCAACACTGAACCGTTTACCTTTCTGCCCGGCCGAGATTGAAGAGCAGACCCGACGGGTAACTGAATGGGAATGGACCACTCACCCCGCAGCAACCGATGTCTTCGATACTACTACTGCCATCGCCGTGGACGATGAGAACTGCAACCTGAATTGTACCGGGTCCGATGGCCACTTCTGCGGCGGGGCGAGCGCTATTGACGTCTTCGCTGCGCGTCAGTGCCTCGTCTACTGCAGTGGAGACTAGTAGTCCGACGAAAACCGAGACGCTACCGACGCCGACGGCTACTTATTACGCCTGGGGCTGTTACACTGAGGCTACAGGCGCTGGGCGCTGAGCCAGTCGTTGGTGGTTGATTATGACGATATGACGGTCGAGATATGTGCCGATTATTGCCTAGACCAGCAGGGACAGACCATGTTTGGTTTAGAGTGTGAGTTCCCTTCCTCTCTTTTTGTCTTTGGCCTTGCCCCTGAACTCCTCAGAGTGCGAAGCCATTGTCCCCCTCTTCACCCCTTTTCCCAAGCAAACCACATTGAAAGTAAATAGAACAGAGAATCAAACGCACTAACACACATAATCCCAACTATCAGACGGCGGCGAGTGCTACTGCAGCGACGAGCTGCAGAGCGGCTCCGTGCTCGTCGACGACGAGGACTGTAATATGGCCTGCCCCGGAAACGCGGCCGAGATGTGCGGTGCGGGCAATCGGCTGAGTGTTTATCAGAAAACGTAGAGTTCGGGGCCGGTTGGCCTAATTAGGTACCTAGTGACCAGCTGAGCTGAGCTTAGTGTGAAGATGCAATCCTACAAGCAAGACGTTCAATCTAGCCATAACCTATGTGCTCTCATCTGGGCTGTCTCCATCACACTTATACGCGAGACGACAAGGGAAGAAAGGAAAAATGACATCAAGTGATCTTCCTGCATCCTCAGTCGGAGCTTCCTGGGTGATGAACGACCGGGGAGTAGCCACACCGCCGTTCCAATCCGAGGGCGCCACTCGGTGGTATACCGTAATCGACGCCGAATAGGAATTCAGTATCTCCTCCTTGGTTCAAGCTTATCGCGTTTGCCGTTTATATCGAACTCCCAAAAACCTAGGTGGTATCTCCTAGTTGCATTTCCATCCAAGCCAAGACTGAGAGGGGAATGGTCCAATGAGACAACCACAAACTGGTATTCCTCAAGGTAACGACATATCACACGATTGTGTCTTGGGCGCTCTTTCGCCTGCCTCTAGGCTATTCAAAGGAGGCAGACGTTCCTCATGAGGAAGGCCAACACTTAGCAGCGCAGATCACTGCTTGGCATCGGCACGCTATCTCACCTAAAGCTTGGCATCCCCCATCCTTTACTGTCACTGGCCACGATGCACCTTGGAGTCGCTTCAATGCCACCGATGCCACGCAAACTAGGCACGAATCCGTGCCTGGATCCATAACCAATGGCAGCCACTGTGCAGGCGCAGTTACATCTAACTCGGAGGTAGATTTCCCATTCTAGAATGAGCAAAGCCCGCACAGATGCCAAATGCTGAGTCCTCCTGCCCTGAAAGTCGTAGCTTCGGCAAATGGTATGCGGGGGAATACTTGGACAGCCCGTTCTAGGCATGGCTTCTTATCAAACCCGGGTTGGGTGACCACAAAACCCCGGTTGGCGCCCTTGATGCTAGTGCACGATGCATTGCCCTTCAATGTGTCCTGCCAAAAAAACGCTCGGCATCCACGGGTTTGGGGCTTTGGAGAACTGCCTCATGAGGAAGTTGAGTTTGGTCCTGCAGGACAGTCAACGCCGATATGTCCGCTCCCGCGAGCTTGCATGTGGGAGAGGTCGGTCCGGAAAGGTTTAAAAAGAGGCAACGCCACCGTTCGACTGGTGTCTGCCTCGTTTCTTCATCCGAGAGCAGCTCGCCAATACACCAAGTCAATTACCATCATCGTCCTCTCTGTTCAAGATGCACGCCGCGACCATTCTCTCCCTCCTAACCCTGGCAGCTGCCGCCCCGTCCCGACGGGCTGAATCTGCTCCTCTGATCAAGCCCCGCGGAGCTCGGTTGATCGAGGGCAGGTACATTGTCAAGTTGAAGGGCGATGTCCAAGCCGCATCCGTCCACAGCGCCATGCACGGCCGCCCGGCCAACCCCGACCACGTGTACAACATGGGAAGGTTCAACGGGTTTGCCTCCGGCCTGACTGCTGAGCAGCTTGAGGCTCTGCGGAATGACCCCAGCGTGAGTTGCGAGGAAAGCTCTAAATTAGCAGGGCACACACTGACAGGCCATCACAGGTCGAATACATTGAGCAGGATGCCGTTGTCAGCATCAAGGCAACGCAGTCACAGACGAATGCACCTTGGGGTCTTGCCCGCCTGTCGAGCTCCAAGCCAGGCGGCACCACCTACACCTATGACTCCACCGCCGGCACGGGCACCTGCGCCTACATCGTCGACACGGGAATTGACGTTGCGCACCCGGTAACTAAGCATTTCATTTGCACCCTCTGAGGATCCCAGTCAAGACTTCCCCAGTTTTTACTAACACCCCCACCCCCAAGGACTTCGAAGGCCGCGCCAAATGGCTAGCCAACTACGCCGGCGACGGCTCCAACACGGACGGCCAAGGCCACGGCACACACGTAGCCGGGACCATCGGCTCGCGGACCTACGGCGTAGCCAAGAAGACGCAGCTGTACGCGGTCAAGGTTCTCAACGCCAACGGCGAGGGGACCAACTCGGGCGTGATCGCGGGCATGAACTACGTGGTCTCGGACGCGCGCACCCGGAGCTGCCCGCGGGGCGCCGTCGTCAACATGTCGCTCGGCGGCGGGTACTCGGCCGCCGTCAACGACGCCGCCGCCTCCATCACCAACGCGGGCATCTTCCTGGCCGTCGCCGCGGGCAACGACGCCGCCGACGCTGCGAGGTCGTCGCCCGCCTCGGCGCCGTCGGCTTGCACTGTCGGCGCCACTACGAGCAATGACCAGCTTGCGTCGTACTCTAACTACGGCAGCATCGTGGACATCCTCGCGCCTGGCACCAACATCCTCAGCACCTGGCCCGGTAGCAGGACGGTAAGTTCTTTTTAGCTTGGCTTGACTCTAACTCGTAGTGCTGAACAATGGGGTTGATGCTGACAATCTACAATTAGAACACCATCTCCGGCACCTCGATGGCTACCCCCCACATCGCTGGCCTCGCGGCATATCTTCTGGGTCTCGGTTCAGCACCCACCAACCCGGTCCAGTTGTGCAGCTACATCGCCCAGACGGCGCTCTCTGGCGTCATTTCGGGTGTTCCTCGCGGCACAGTCAGCCTGTTGGCGCACATCGGGAACTAAATAGTCTCGCTCGCTCGACCATAAGTGAGCTAAACCAGAGTGACCATTTACACTGCCACGCGCAGAGTTGGAAGACTCGAGGAGACTGGGTTGGAGTCAATAGCACATACGAGTCACCTTACTTGGTGCAGCTGGCCCATGAAGGTCGAGCAGATGTGTGCGCTACAGCAGTTGAGAGGAAGCAGTTGACAGGATGATACAGAGAATTCTAGTTTCTATTTGGCCTGCAGTCTCGTTGGCCTGCAGTCTCGGCACTCTCCACCCTCCTAGTCAAGTTTGCAGACCAAAGATGAAGTGATTCCGCATGTGCTGTATAGTTTGTTCTTCCCCCTGGCCACAGTGCCTGCCTAAACAACATGCGCGCTTTCTGCGAAAGCCTTCTTCAGCAGGCCCTCTATCCGCTTGACACCATCCTCCGTCGTCTTCTGGCTGGCCATTGTGTAAAGCACATTACCCAGCACCCTGCTATGCACATTCCACCTTCGACTGCTCTCCGTCCCATCACCCCGTAAAAGGGCAGCCTGCAAGTCCCTGGCTGCGTTGCTCTTGTATCCACCCCCGTCGGGGCTCTTCATCTCAATGGCAAGGACGCTGCCCAGTGCCCACACCCCATCCACAAGCGCAGTCTGACGCGATATCCACTCCACAAACTCTGGACTCCAAACCGACCATACCAATGACGCTTCGTCGGCAATCCCATCCGAGCAGACGACGGACTTCATCTCATCCCGCCGCTGACCAGAACTAGACGCACCCTGCCAACCCCTCTTCGCCCAGCCCCAATCCCCCCCCTCATCCATCCTCTTCATCTCCCTCAGGCTCTGCAGCGCGACCTGACACCCAACAGCGTGCGCCGTATAGCTATGACCGTGCAGCAGTGCATCACTCTTGTCGTCGCTCTCGAAGGCGCGGAAGATGCTCTCGGACGCGAGCGTGGCGCACAGGGGCACCAGGCCGCCCGTCAGCAGCTTGGCGTGCACGGAGATGTCCGGGTCGACGCCGAGGAACGACGAAGCCGTGAAGCGGCCCAGGCGGAAGATGCCGGTGAAGACCTCGTCGAAGATGATGGGGAGCCCCGTCCAGTCGGATTCGTGGACCGGCTCGTTGGCGACTGTGGAGCCGAATAGGTGTGGTGAACGGCGGACGACGTTGACGAGGGTGCGCTGGAAGAGAGGGTCTCTGGGTGTAGTAGTTAGCTTTCTGTGGTAGTGGACAATTTGGGGAGTTCGTCGGCTTACACAAGTACCATACCCCCAGCACCGAGGACGACAGGTTCCACAATGAGGGATCCGAACTTCTGCCCCTCGGCTTGGAGGCGTTCGAGCCTGTTGACAATGTACCGCTCGTACTCTGTACCCTCACCTCTTCGCTCCCTGCCCTCGACATCAAACACGTCAGAAAGCGAGGCATGGTCCCGTCCATCACCCAGCTGCCCCTTCAGCTCATCAGGAACACAAACAGCCCACCTCCCACCAGCACACCTAACAGTCGGGTAGTCGAACCAAAACCCCTTCCCCTCATACCACTCGACCTTCTCATTAAACGTCCCCGGCTCCGCACAATCCATAGCCCCGATCGTATCGCCATGATACCCACCCCTCAGACCCAGCACGCCGATCCTCTCCCCTGCGGCCCACCCATACCGCACCCTCGCCGCGCGCAGGCCCATCTTGAGCGCCACCTCGGCTCCGGTGCTGCCGTTGTCGGAGAAGAAGGCCCGCGCGAGCCTCCCGCTCCGCGCGCCCCGCAGCAGCGCCTCAGCCAGCGCGAGCGCCGGCTCGTGCACCGCCTCGGCGAACATGACGTGGCCGTAGCGGCCGGCCGCGTAGGCGGCCGCCAGGGCCAGCGACGGGTTGCCGTGGCCGAGGCCCTGCGTCCACCACGAGGCGGAGCCGTCGAAGGAGGGCTGTAGAAGAGGGGGGTGTTGCGGGCTGGACGCTTGCCGGGGAGGAGGAGGAGGAGGAGGCGCGAGGGTCTGGAAGTGGTCGCCGCGCGCAGAGTCGATGACGGTGATGCGGTCTGGAGAGAGGTGCTTCTGCTGCGTGAATGGGTACCAGATCTTGTTGACCGCCTCGCGGCTCATGGATTCGAGGCGGGCGATGCGTTCGTGGTGGCGGCGATCCAGACGCTCGAGGATTTCGCTCGCGGTGTTGTCACGACTTGTCGCATCGTAGTATTGGGACATACTCTCTTGGTCCGTCCTGGGGTTCTCGTCACGCTTCGGTGGTTCCGACATTGACCTGACTGGAATGTTATGCTGCCCACGGAAATAGTCGGCCAAGTAGAGATGATTTTTGTAAAGTTGGTCTCGGAAGAGCAGGACTGCCTCGACATCATAGCCACGAATCTTCAGAGATTCAAACGCAGAGATAGTCTGCGAGATGCCGCCCAATTTAGCGTCGCCAATGAGTACGACGGGGAGTCGAAGCGGCATATACAGATCTGCCTGCGTCGTCCCAGATGGCCCTGGAGAATGAACACCGCCAGCTGTCTCGACGAACAGCCATCCCGGCCCGCGGGCGGCACGGTGGGAAGCAGCACGATGAATTTTTGCTAGAAGGGTCTCGTCTGACGGGATCGGCTTGGGGCCGGATTAGTTAAATACGAAGGGTATACTCGGTAAGATGCATGTTAGATTCTCACTTTATTCGAGCGAAGTGCCGCAATATGCGGACTTGCAGCGAGCTCGTACTGGACCAGCGTCTCGTGATTCACACCAGGAGCGAAGGTTTGGATATGGCTAAAAGATCTCGTCAGACATTCCCCGAGTTAGATGGGAGGGAGGATATCGCGATCAACTCGTCTGTTCATGAGCAATTAAGGGTGAGCGCGATTTCGACCAATATTACAGAGAGAATTGGAAAGCTTGACATACACCGATCATCAGCTTCATCTTGAGGTCCCGTCGAAATGGGCTTGAGAAATGATGTCTCCCCGTGTCGCCAGATTCTGTTGGCGGCTTTACACAGAATAGTGGTGAAGACGGTCTTGCCGACATCGGTGTTAGCTCCGTAGACCTGGTACACCCGCAGTGACCGCCACAGCAGCGAGCCAACAGGCTCTAGCATCTTTTCCGCCGTACAGCCTACAGCCTGGCTTGATTTTTATTCGTCGCCACGGTTATGCCCCAATTGGTTGGGTTGCCGGGACAGCTTAGATGTTGCAGTCAAAGAGTAGAGTCAGATGTCAAGAATGGAGCGCGGGTTTTGCTTGGTCCCATATTTCTCGCTTACCGTAGGGCCAAAGACCCCTGTGCGGGATATTCCGTTCGAGTGCTGGCAGAAATAAACCGCTCACTATTGGCCTCAAATCTTCTTGATCTTGGCTGTTTGTGGGTATTTTAATGTGATGACTCGATGACGGCCAACTGGGTGGCTGGGGGAAAGTGTAATAAACAGATAAATCAACGAGTGGCCTCCATCTTTCCACCGTCGCAATGCCCAAACCAAGCAGCCATCTGGACGACGTGCTAGCCGGATTGCTCGCCCGCCGCCAATCGCGCAACCGGCTCCGCCGTCTGACCACCGTGCCGCCCGGCACAGCAGACTTCTCGTCCAATGGCTATCTCTCACTCTCGTCGCATCCCGACGTCCGGCGCGCCTACCTCTCCAGGCTGCAGTCCCACGATGCTGCCGATAACAACACCCCGAATCTCGGACTGCTAGGATCGGGCGGCTCTCGCCTCCTAGACGGCAACTCCGTTCTGGCAGAGTCGCTGGAGCGCAGAATTGCCGACTTCCACCACGCGGCGGACGGGCTGCTGTTTAACTCAGCGACGGAAGCGAACCTCGGCCTGTTCGGTTGCGTCCCGCAGCCGGGCGATGTTGTTGTTTACGACGAGCTCATCCACGCTAGCGTGCATGATGGCCTGAGACTTAGTCGAGCTGGCAGGAGAGTGCCATTTGCACATAACCGCGTCTATGATGATCGGGGCAAGGGGAATGAGAAGTCGGCAGTTGCGACGAAGGAGCTCAAGAGCCTTGAGGCGGTCTTGCGAGATCTCCAAGAGTGCTCCGAAGGACGTCTGGTCCGAGAGGGGCAGAGGAACGTCTTTGTTGCTGTTGAAGGTGTGTACAGCATGGATGGAGACTTAGCGCACCTGGTCGATATCGTCGAGTGTGTCGAGCGTTTCCTGCCCCGAGGAAACGGCTACATAATCGTCGACGAGGCGCACTCAACTGGCATATTTGGTGACAAGGGGCGTGGGCTCGTGTGCGAATTAGGCCTTGAAGACCGTATCTGGGCGCGAGTACATGGCTTTGGTAAAGCGATGGGCTGCTCTGGAGGTACGTTCCCTTTGTGCCTGCTAAAGCATCTAATTTTCGATCAGGCTGACTTGACTTGAAGGCATTGTACTTTGCTCCCCTACCACACGTTCTTACCTCATCAACTACGCCCGCAGCCTCATCTACACGACCTCGTTGGCTTTCACCTCCCTTGCAAGTATAGAGGTCACATACGACTTCCTGGCGAGCGGAAGGGCTGATCCCTTAATCTGCCACTTGCGCGAGATCAGTTCCCATGCTTACAATCTCATCGCCTCAATACTTCTTCGTCACCACCCTTCACCCATACTTCTTCGTCTAAACGCTGATAAACCGAAGTCGCCCATTATCCCACTCTTCACGTCGCATCCGCGTAGCTTAGCACAGCACTGCCAGCAGAGCGGGTTCATGGTGCGCCCGATTGTGGCGCCGACGGTGCCAGAGGGGAGGGAGAGGGTGAGGATATGTCTCCACGCTGGGAACACATTTGAAGAGATTGAGGGCTTGGGTAGAGCGGTGGAAGCATGGGTGCTCGGCTGGGAGGAGATTAGCGGAGACACAGGGCGCGGGTCATCGGCATCAGGGGAAGCCAAGGTTGAAAAGGCAAGACTCTAGGGTATGTTGTAATTTCGGGTCATACTTCATCTTGGCATGCAGAATCGTGTCGGTAAACGGGCAACAAGCATGTGAACAAGGCTTAGATTGACCTGGTTGCGTCCCTGCAGCATGGGATAGTCTGTTGTGTCGCAAAGGTGTCAGAAATTCTGCAGTTGGTAGGAGCTCTGTCTCCTCCACCTCCTGATTGGACTCCGCCACGCTGGCACACTGCTACCATTGGTTACCACATCCCAGAGCTGTCTGTGCCCCTCGATGCGCATCAAATGTGAGCTCACTGCCAGGTAGGGGTTTGGAGGGGCTGCATATGGAGCTGCATCACCAGTTTGGGACAAAGACAGACAGACAGATAATCATAAGAATGCTCTCCAAGGCCCTAGATCAGACCGGCTGTTTCTGCGACCGCGGCAGGCACGTCTTCGACTCTGCGAATTCTCCAACTTCTCAGTCTGCTCGCCGGCCGAGCTTGATCGCAACACAGAGTTCCCACAGGGACCGTCACCATGGGCGCATATGTCTCCATCCCCTTCTGTGCGACGCACTACGGTGTAACCCTTGACTGCAGCCCGCCAAACAGCACTGACAGTGCCATCGGTGGGATCACCCGTGGGAGCTTCGCTGCGGATCCAGATATTGCTGGTATTGGGGTAATAATTTACATTGTCCAGTGCCCAGGCAGGATAATCGGCTGACAAAACCCACCCAGATCCTCGCTGCGTTCACGGCGGTCACTTCATTCGCGTTGCTGCTGAGCACTATTAGCGTTCTGTGGTGGTTTTCCAAGTACATCTTCGGATGGAAGAGTCGTCTGCCAGAACAGTTTGTCTTCCCGTCTCCCCCCCTCTCTTCCCCCCCGGCCTTTCGCGTCAGGAATGCAGTGATTGACTCCCCTGCCCAGTGAGAAGTCTAGCCAGGAACACAGGTTCAACATCACCGACCTCCTCGAGACCCTCGTCCTGTCCTGCAGCGACCAGCAGGTCTTCACGGGCGCCGCCTACGCCATCACCCTGCGCTACCTCAAGGGCTGCAACATCTCGGCATACCACTACAACATCGTCGCCAACATGCTCCTCCTGACCTGCGCCACCCACCTTGGGGCCGTCACCGTCGCCCGGAACTACTGGCGCTACCCGCTCGTCGCCCTCCTCCGCATCGTCGTCACCGTGGGCGTCTACCTAGCAACGGGCCTCCTGCTCTCCAACCAGGGCGCCGTCGCAGCCGGATTCCCCACCGAGGTACCGCCCGCCAACGCGACCGACAGCCTGATGATCCTCTCCGCGGCGTGCTTCCAGACCGACGCCTCCCATCTCGCCACCACCATCGCGCACTCCCTGTCCGGCACCGACGCCCTGCGGGACGCCCTCGTCGACAGCGACCCGGGCAACAAGATCCACGGCTGGAATCACTACCTGGCCATGCTCTTCTTCTTTGCCCTGACCATCCTCGTCGAGTTCGGCCGCTTCACCCAGCGCGCCATACCCACGCTCCCCTCCTTCCGGCCGCCGGCGCGGATCGTCAGGGTCCTGGACGGCGTGTTTGCCGTCTACCTGCTCGCGGGGATGGCCATCTCGTGGTGGACCGTCGTCGACTCGGTCGCGTACATGTCGAGGCTCCGGGGCTGGGTCCACGGCTCGGGGTGGATGCAGCTGGACGGTGGCCTGAACCCCGAAGACGACCCCACCACCTTTGGCCAACTCGTGCCCATGCTGCTGGTCGTCCTGACTGTCTTTACCTTTGTTCAGATCGTCAGCGGTAAGATGTTCTCCGCTCCGTTGATGTTTTCGGAAATCTGACTGTTGCCTTGCAGAGCGATGGTCGGCGAGGCGTTCAGCGCGGCGTGCGGTGGCGGCGACGGATGCTGGACGGTCGATGGGAAAGGCGGACAATGGTGGTCCTCAGAGCTTGGGCAAGGACAGTACCTCTCTCAGCAATCGATCCTGAATTGATATTCTAGGTTCTACAACACCAGATTTCCATTTGTTCCACGTGTCTCGTGACTCTCTGGTTGCACAGCCTCTGCTCTGCCTGCGAAGATAATCGACAGCTGAGCTTGGTAACTGGTGCCAGGCACACTGCCAATATCTTTCTGCAGTCAGGTCTTCCGATTGGACCAATCCATGGACAAGACAGCGGAATCAATTGTCATGATTATCCTTCTGAAGCGAATACCTACCCAAGCAGCATGAGAGAGGGCGAGATGGAGCCAGGTTTCTCCCCAGTTGACCCGACAATTAATGGGGCACTGTAACATTATGTTACACTCCAAGTCAACGGACTTTCTACTATGGGGTACTGGATCCCCAGTGGCGGATCTAAGTGGATGGTATAGCCTGAAATCCTGACGATCTTAGCCGTCTTGTCGCATCGCGTTGTAGACGCCAAGGAGAATTATATGCCGGCCCAATTGGATTCGGGAGATGATCACGGTGAGGACCGAGGAAATACAGATCCAACACTATTTCCCGAGTTCTGCCGGCATGTCTGTCCCAAACAACCCTCCATACCCTTCATAATGATTCTCACGAGAGGCTTCGTTGTGGCGGCTTCTCTCGGCCTCGTCGCCGCGGAGAATGGCCTAGACGGGTGGCTACGATATGCTCCTCTGCCGGAAGATGTGGTGGCCCCCCACCTCGACTCTCTCCCCTCGGGCATTGTCCTCCTCGATGCCGTCGAGGGACAGCCAGTCTTCACGGCTGGAATAGAATTGACGAAGGGGTTCAGGGGCATATTCTCCAAGGATCTCAGCAAAGAGGTCAAGCCCGACTGCAATTCTTCATCAGTGGTAATTATTGGGACAGCCGACGCATACGCTGATGCCTGTGGCAGCGCTCCGGCCGAGGCTCAGGGTTTGAAGGCGGACGGCTTCTGGCTCAGGACGGATTCGGGCGGTCCAGTCCAAATCATCGGCCAGAACGCGAGGGGCGCGCTCTACGGAACCTTTGAGTATCTCTCCATGCTGGCCCAGGGGAACTTCTCCAGTGTTTCCTATGCCTCCAATCCAGCAGTGCCAGTCCGCTGGGCAAACCACTGGGACAACATGAACAACCGCGGCGGGCACGGCAGCATCGAGAGGGGCTACGGCGGCGACTCCATCTTCTTCGCCAACGACCAGGTCCTGAGCAATCTCACCCGGGTTTCCCAATACGCGCGGCTGCTGTCGTCCATCCGGATCAACGCCATCGTGCCCAACAACGTCAACGCCGACGCCAACCTCCTGAGCGACAAGAACCTCGACGGCATGGCCAGGATCGCGGATGCCTTCAGACCGTACGGCGTGCAGGTGGGCATGTCACTCAACTTCGCCTCACCCCAGTCCGTGGGCGGCCTCAGCACCTTCGATCCGCTAGACGCCTCCGTCATCAAGTGGTGGGGGCAGAAGACAGACCAAGTCTACAAGCGCATCCCCGACTTCGCAGGGTATCTCGTCAAGGCCAACTCAGAAGGCCAGCCGGGCCCGATCACGTACCACCGGACGCTCGCCGACGGGGCCAACATGTTCGCCAAGGCCGTCAAGCCGCACGGCGGCATCGTCATGTTCCGGGCCTTCGTCTACGACCAGCTGGACTACAACGACAAGAAGGCGGACCGCGCCAACGCCGCCGTCGAGTACTTCCGGCCGCTGGACGGCAAGTTCGACGACAATGTCGTCGTGCAGGTCAAGTACGGCCCCATCGACTTCCAGGTCCGGGAGCCCGCCTCGCCGCTGTTCGCGAACCTGCTGAAGTCGAACGCGGCCATCGAGCTGCAGGTTACGCAGGAGTATCTGGGCCAGCAGTGCCATTTGGTTTACTTGGCGCCCCTCTGGAAGGAAATACTGGACTTTGACCTGCGAGTGAACAACGAGCAGTATTTTGTGCGTGACATCCTCGAGGGCAAGCGTCCTGAGAAAGCACAGCCGCTGGGAGGATTCGCTGGGGTCGTCAATGTCGGACAAGATTTGAATTGGTTGGGTAGCCATCTCGCCATGTCGAATCTATACGCATATGGTCGTCTTGCCTGGAATCCTACAGAGGGGTCTGAAGGTATGGCAGTTACGCAGGAGGTTCTCCATATCATTCCAGACCCCAAGCTGACCACCTGTCAATAGCGATGCTTCAGGACTGGACTCGATTAACATTTGGTCTTGACCCTGACGTCCTCGATGTTATCACGACAATGTCCATGGAATCTTGGCCGGCATACGAGAACTACACGGGCAACCTCGGGGTACAGACCTTGACAGACATTCTGCATACTCACTACGGTCCCAATCCTGCGTCCCAGGATGGCAACGGCTGGGGTCAATGGACTCGAGCTGACAAGAATGGTATCGGAATGGATCGTTCGGTTGCCAGTGGGACAGGAAACGCTGGCCAATATCCTCCGGCGGTATGTCACTTCACAACGTCGCGATAGATTAGTTCGGTGTCGACACAGCTAACCGAAGACAGGTTGCCGCCGTCTACGAGAACGTAGAAAAGACGCCCGACAACCTGATCCTCTGGTTCCACCACCTCCCATACACCCACAAGCTAAAATCAGGCAGCACCGTAATCCAGCACTTCTACGACGCCCACTACGCCGGCGCCGCAGCCGCCCAATCCTTTCCAACACTATGGGAAACCCTCAAAGGCAAGCTCGACGACGAGCGGTACGAGCACGTTCTCTACCGTCTGCGCTACCAGGCAGGCCACTCCCTCGTCTGGCGAGACGCCATCTGCACCTTCTACAACAAGCTCTCGGGCATACGCGACGACCACGGCCGGGTGGGCAACCACACGCACCGCATCGAGGCCGAGACCATGCGTCTATCGGGCTACAGCCGCTCCAACGTCAGCCCACCCGAGACAGCCTCAGGCGGCGTCGCCGTGACCGCCAGCGGCGGCGGCGGCGGTAGCGGGAGCTCCGTATCTTCGTCGCTGGACGTTCCGTCGGGGACGTACGACATCGCGGTCAACTACTACGACGTCAACCCGGGGAAGGCGAAGTGGGAGATCTTGATTAATGATGAGAAGATCGGCGCGTGGACGGGCGACATCGAGGATCGTCTGGGGAAGGAGCCGTCGGATGCGCTGGACGGACACTCGGCGGCGAGGGTGACGTTTAGGAATGTTACCATCGAGAAAGGGGACACAGTGAAGATCACGGGGAAGGCGAATGGGAATGAGGCGGCGCCATTGGATTATATCTCTGTCTTGCCGTTGGGTGTTGTGGATTGAGGCTTTGGCTTTTCGGCGGCATGGCAGGTTTGAGCTGTCAGTTGGTAGGTCGCCTTCAAATGCCCTCGCATAATCTTGGCTGGCAGGCATTTGAATAATGAGGTGCTACGGCAGATGGACGGTACCTAATCTCCAATGCTTAACGTGAAAAATTCTTGGCATAAGAGAGCCTGAAGAGTTGAGATTCTTATTATATCAGAGTGCTTCTCAACCTTGTCTCCGGCTTCACGTTGACATGCTGTGAGACTTCTCGAAGTCTGGCAACGCCCATTTCACCATCCACTCACACTCCAAAACACCCCCTGCCGTCAACCGCTGCTCCGGCGCAAAAGCCAACATCGACCGCAACATATCCAAAACAGCAGCCTTCTCCTCTTCCTCAAACCCAGGGATTCCAGCCTCCTTTCGCGGCCGTTGGATATGCCTCTGAAACCTGCCCTCCCAAGACCTGACATGGCGGTCCCGGTTCGGCTTCCCCTCCTCATCGAAATACTCGTGTCTCGCTTCCCACCTCTCCCACCACGCCAGAGGCAACTTCCCCAAGACATCGACCTGCTCGGCTGTGACGTCGTCCTGCGTGGCGAGGATGTCCTCGAACAACTGCCGCTGCCCGAGTATCGCCCACGCGGCGCACGCGAGAGTCCAGGTGTCTGACGAGAAGGACAGGCCTCGTTCTGGCTCGAAGATGGCTTCGGGGGGCACGAAGGATATGGGGGCGTGGGAGTGGTGTCGAGGCTCTGTTGAGGGTGAGTAGGCCTCTCCGAAATCGCTGAGGAGGACTCTGGATCCTGAAGAGGAGAATTCCTCGGAGGGTTTTCCGAGCCAGACTGGAGGGGAGGTGGTGGATGGGACGCCGGGTTCAAGTGGCTGGCCGTCAAGTCGAACAACCGGCTCCGAAGCAGGTGCGCCGTATTTTTTGTATACCTGCTCGATTGAGAGCTGGTCAAGGTTGTCTGGAAGGCCAAGGAGGACGTTACCGAGGTGGAGGTCTAAATGTGGACGGTAATTGTATTAGTATCAGGCTGCCAAACTACAGCCACATCAACACTGACCACCATGAACAATTCCTCTGGCGTGGATGTACTCGACAGCGAGGACCAGCTGTACGATGAGCGAGCGAGCCGTACTGGCTTGGAACAGGCGATTGTATGATCCGTCTTTCGCACCGGAAATACTACACCTTGCGGGGTTCGTTACATAGCAAGGGTGGGCGCCATTGGGACTGTAGAGGACGAATCTATCTTTGACCGAGGGTATCATTCCCGCACCGGGACGGGCAAGGAGGGCAGGGGAGGGCGCGTCAAGAAAATCGAGGGTATCAGCCTCTTTAGGGTTTGATCCTGCTGTGCCGACTTTGACCGCAACGTATTTGGCAGACTGATGGTCTCGGCAGAGCCAAGTGGTTGAGTAGGTTCCATATCCAAGCTTGTGAACCACTCGGTATCGGTTTCGAAGGATATCCCCTATGAGGATAGGGTTGATATCCACCAGGGCGATACTTTTCCAGCCTCTCAACTCCTTCAAGATGCTCGTATTGAAACGGCGGGGGATCAGAGTCGCCGCCGGATGTCATGGACTTGCTAGAAGTCGCGATCCCCTTGAATGCAAGCCCATTTGTGGGAAATCTCCAGGGAGGAGGGTAATAATAGACTGGTGAGGGTTGTGTTTGGTGACGACAGAGTCGAAATATTACGGAACTTTGCTGATGAGACCAGCGAGCAAAGCTTGACCTGGTCGTAAAAGCCATTCCGCAAGACAAATAATTGACTTCTCATCACGGGCCCATCACTTCGAAACAGCAGGTTTGGGTTCGTGGTCCAAGTTTTCGCGCAGGTGATGATGAGCCGATCAAGTTTGCGCTGTCATTTTGTTCGTTCGTGTTCGCGTCTATTATGGAACCGCGCCGATTGGTCTTGTTGTCACCCATGTCATCCATGCATGTCAACGGCGCCCTTGCAGAGAGAGTCATCCCGTGAGCAACAATAATTACCCCTCAACCAAAGCATGGCAAGTCCTCGATTCATTTTCAAGGAAGAAGAGAAAAACAATACACCGTCAAAATCAAACTCGAATTTCCTCTCCCAAAAATGCCACCCCCACCCCCACCCCCGCTCAAATCCCTCACCCTAATCCTCTCCCCCTACCACAACGGCCTCCGCAACCTCGGCCCCGGCGCCGGCCCACCCCGCCTCCTCTCGCACAACCTCCTCGCCGCCCTCCGCTCCACCGGCGTGCCCCTCCTCTCCATAGTCGACGACCTCGACCCCTCCTCCCCCTCCACGCCCCTCGACGGCGACATCCCGCGCATCTTCGAGCTCTTCCGACGGACCTCGCTCGCCGTGTCGCGGGCCCGCGCCGCGGGCTCCTTCCCCATCGTCGTGTCGGGGGACTGTGGCGCGAGCGTGGGCGTTGCGGCGGGCCTGCTGCAGTCCGGGTGCGTCACCGACAAAGAGCTGGGGTGCGTGTGGTTCGACGCGCACGACGACCTCAACACGCCCGACACGCTGGCCAGCGGGTACTTTGACTCGATGCCCATCGCTATGCTGGCGGGGCTGTGCTGGAAGGGCCTGTTGGCTACAATCCCCGGGTTTAGGCCTCTGAGCTTGGACGGGCTGGTCCATTGCGGGTTGCGGGACGTGACGGCGCTGGAGCGGCAGCGGGTTGAGGAGGCGGGTTATGATGTGGTCTGGGGTGATGCGGGCAGGAAGGTGGACTTTGTGGGTGAGCTGGGGACGGCGCTGGATGGTGAGCGGCATAGGGGTCAGCCTAAGCTTGTGCATCTGGACCTCGACTGCCTTGATGTTTCTCTGGGGAAGGTGAACCAGTTCTCAGCTCCGGGGGGGTTGTTTGAGGATGACCTCTTGGGATGCCTGGAAGCCATTGCGGCCAAGACCCAGCCGCTGTCGCTCACCGTTGCCGCCTTCGATCCGAGATTCGAAGGTGCGGATCGCATCGCCGACGTTGCCGTGCAGGCGATCAAGGGTTTTGTCATGGCCCTGGTTAAGAATGGGGTGCTTCTGGCACAGGAGGAATGACAGACATTATCTATTCCATTTAACGGTGGACCGAGATGACACTGTAAATGCCATTCTCATCTGATCGATCTAAATGAACATCTTGTCAAAACCAATAACCTTCCACTCTCCAGTCTCAGTGTTCAAAGTCAAGTTTGTATGCTTAATCTCTCCAAACCTAAGCGCGCCAGACTCAGCCTCTCCGCCGGCAATCGGCCTCTGCAGGTGATTGTCACCGGACAGAACGGTAAAGTTGGCGAGCGGGAGATCCCAGCCGTTGCGAGTAGCAACGGAGGGACAGCCTGTTAAACGCGAGGTGTCAGATGAAGTCAATGTGAGATAAAGAAAAAGCAAAAAAAAAAGAAAAGAGTGTAAATCGATGCGGTGACTCACCAAAGAACTGGGCGGTAACCTCCTTCGGCGTCACAAGCAGGTTGAAGTAACCCCGGTAGTAACCCTCCTGCCACATCATCTCCTCGTTCCGCCTGATCATGCCGCGGGCGTAATCCCCAGCATTGGGCTCGATGGGACCGGCTCGGCCGCTGGAGCTAACGGCAGTGCCGGCGAACTCGACGCCGATGCTCCCTGCGCCGCTCTCTGACTCGTACTTTTTAGTTCCGAGCCACGCCAAGTCGGAGACCTGATAGTGTGTCCGGGCAGTCAGTAATGCAAGAGAACATAACACTTTCATGTCGGCGCCAATTTGAAATTGCTCACCCAGTTCTGGTGGCTGTCTCCAGCGAGGAAGATGTTGTTCCCGATCTCGTTGTCGTAGAGATGCTGCAGAGTCCTGTTTCGGTTGGCAATATAGCCCTGTTTTACCACCATCATCAGCATCAAGCCCCATTAAACGGTTGAGTAAATATCTTTTGGGGGGTTCTTGCATTCCAGTTGTCGCCGCTCAAGGCGCCCGCGTCGCTCTCAAAGATGCGGGAGAAGATGATCTGGTTGCCGACAATTCGCCAGGCAGCACCGCGTTCCTTGGACTCGCTCAGCGATTTGTAGAACCAATTCTCTTGGCGTGAGCCCATCAAAGTTCGGCTAGGGTCATCTCGGAGACGATCGATGTATTTGTCATTCCATCCTACGCTTTTGTCAGTCTGTATAGAGGCGTCACCCAAGTTTCTCCCCGTTTCAAACACTTACCGAGAGAGGTGATACTGCGATCGTAGTTCCTCGTGTCGAGGATGACGAGGTCCAACAACTTGCCCATCTGGAATGACCGCCAGATTCGCAGGCCGTCATCCAGGTCGGTTTGTCTGAGCCTCTACGTCAAATTCCATGCGACGCAATAGATAATCAAGAGTTATCGAGGCGTTTGGCTTACCGGATAGGCATCCACTCAAAGTAGGCCCGCACGGCATTGACCTTTCGGGTGTCGACGCTGATCTGTGGGCCTTTGTTCAAGAAAGAATCCTCGGTGTTGTTCAGGCCGCTGAATCCGTCTCTGTACCCGTTATCCGCGAACTCTTGTTCCATTGTCAGATTTTGAATTTGTCGTTGACTAAGAAAAAGAAAAGTGGTGCCTCACCGTGGTCGTCCCAGGTAGGAATCCAGGCAAAGTCCTTGGAGAGCAGTTGAAGATCGGCATCGGTGCGATACTGCCTTGTTTCAGCGGTATGTTTACTCGGCATTGGCAGCACTGCGCTGCCACAATTGGTTAATTGGCACTTACCAGCCCGTGCCGGGTCCGGTAATCATGAAGAGTGAAGATGGTGCCCGACGGGGCAGTAGCCCGCTCGCCCCCCTTTCCGGTCTCGTACAGGTAGTCGCCAAGATGGATGACATAGTCGTGCTTGTCCTTCCTGGCAGCATTTCCGTACGCATTGAAGTATCCGTTGGCTGCATGGCTGTTGTTTAGCTGAAAGTTGGAATCACTCGGTCTGTGCCTCCGCCAACTCACGGAAGTTGCTGCAGGAAAATACGGCGAAGCTGAGGCTAGACACATCATCATCGGCGGTAGGAGCGGTCTTGGTTCTCCCAATAGGGCTCTTGTTGTTTGAGCCACAAACAGTGAACTGATAGTAGTATTTAGTCAGTGGCTCAAGTCCCTCAGCTTCAACCTGAATTCACAGAACGTTAGCCATCGTCGTGGTCCCTCATTGGAAACCTTTTGATCAAACCTTGACAGTGTAGTCGATATCCGAGGTCGTGTATGCCTTGCCGCTGACCACAACATTGTCCGCGCCCTTTGAACATTTGCTCTTAAAGACCTTCCACTCAACACAGATGGGGCTCGGATCTGCCTTGATATACCGCTCGGTCTCATGGTTGTACAAGGGTGACAAGCCATCAACGGTCACGGTGCTCTTGTCGGACTGGTTTGACGGCGCAATGCGCGTCCACAGGATGACGCTTTCGGGCCAGGGATCTCCGGAGGCCACTCCATGGGTGAAACTCAGCTCAGAGGGCTCGTATGCCACGTTGCCGCGCTTCCAGGATCGACGCTCGACCAGGGGCACATCAATCCCGAGGTTGGCATGGCGCCTAGAGGGACTGGCATAGTTGAGGTTGCCGTCGAAGCTGGCCGTAGCTGTGGCGGCCAAGAGAACCGTGCCGGAGAAGATTCCAAGAGACCACATCTTGGTACAGGCGAGAGCAGATCGTGATGCTAGACACTGTCATGTCAGCGGAATGTTGCCCCAGGTCTCTGTATATAAGTAATAATCATCTCGAGGCTTGAATCCTTCATTTTCTGGCACGTTCGGAATCAATCTACTCCTCCACAAGGGCATCGCTGCCTCGCCATCCAACTACTTCCTCCCATCCGTACACGTTCATCACAGTATCTCAAGCCAAGACACTACCAGTCTAATCTTTGTCTAGTTTCACAACCCCCACGCAGTGCCAAGTGGCGTTCGGGATCTAACGGCTGGAACTGTAGCGGTATGCGCCCAATATCTTGATAGCATCTCTGGCACGAGGCTCTGCAGCGCAATCAATTGTCGGCAGGCACGTTTGGCAACGTGCGTGCTAACAGGGTACCCATTGGGTCTCTGAGTGGAGGCCATTCAGGGGGATTCTGCAAGGCATCAATGGCGCCGTTGGACCCTGCACGGCGGGGTCCACAGCTGTACCAAACAAGGTTATTTTACTGCAGATCATCTTGATGTCATCTTTTCATTGATAATCCCTCAGTCGCGATTGGTTTATACGAACCTTGCTCCATCTTCGTTCCCCAAGATAGCTCGATAATCATAAGCAGCTTTGCGATCCTACTGAATACCTATCCCGATTATTCCCTGCTTATTTGTAGCTTCTTCGAGCTAGAGAAAGTTGGCTATAGGAAGAAAGACATTCCTGAGTAATACAGAGAGCAGTCCTGGGCGGGGCAAAGTTTAGACGCTGCGCTGGAGAAAGAAGAGAACACTGCCAAAACAAGTGTAAAACGGAAAATAACGCTTGGCTAAAATGGGATAACCCTGTCAGTTCGATATGAGCGGCGAGTGAGAGAATGAAGGCAAGCGCGTGGTATTATTCTCAACCCTAAAGATGTGCTCTTACCCCCTTCTCAGTTGTGTTTGAAAAGAGAAATGAAAATAAAATAAAAGCCGATGAAGGGTCCTTCTGTGGGGTATGTGAATAGGGACAGGGCCTCGGCCTCGGCCTCTTCATGCTCTTAACATTTGTCAAGATTCTGCCACCCTATTCTCACTTCTCTATCACAGCTGCCTAATCCACTCTCTTGTGTCTCGAATGGCTCATGGACCACCAAACTAATGGTTCAGGGTCCCGACATCTGCTGATCACACTCCTTGTGATTAGAAGAGCAATGTGACAGGTTTCCATAAGGATAAGTTCAACGTATTTCCTACCGACAAGTGAAAATACAACGCTTGCCAACGCGCAGAAAGCGGCCTATCGGCACGCACCATGACAACACAGGCGCAACAACGAGAACCAGCACAGATACCGAGGCAACAACCCACAAGCCGGTTAAATCCTTCATACCATCTGCGCTCGAGACAGCATAGGGGTCGTCTCACGCATACATCCAGCCTCAACGGCCCTGTCGCCAAATTCCATTCCAGCGTCGTCACTAGAAATGGTTATCTCGAGCGTGTCGGGTCCGGGCTGGCCCTGCAGCGAGCCACTCCGGCAGTGCGGGCAATCGCAGGCCCGAAAGGCGAAGAGGTGCAGAAAGTGGTTACCAGCCAGGTACACATGAATGGCACTGCAAACAGCAACTCCTGTCAGCCCTCTCTCAAGCCCCTCAAGAGCGTCGTCTGGCCTTACAAGTCAACCATCATGAACACGGTCCCATACGTCCCCAGAACAACCAGGCCCCGCGGGTGGGATTCCGTCAGCATGATCCAGCTCGGGATCAAGAAGGCCAGCAAGGAGGCGGCGATGACGATATCCGAGACGAAGATGTTGTAGGGGGTCAGCGACTGGATGGGAGAGCCGAGAGCGGCGACTCGATCGCGGTTGAGGATGAAGACGCCGAGGAAGGCCGAGGCCGCGAGGGGCAGCAGACCCAGGGCCGGGAAAGCCAGCTGGGCCGAGATGCCATGGATTAGGAGCAGGATGAAGGCCGCCGGGAAGGAGATGATGGTAGTGCGACGGAGGAGGACGTCGATTGAGATGAGCCGAGGAGAGGTTGACGACGGCATCGTGGGTTCGGATTCGGATTGGTCGCAACAACAATTGGGGTTTTGCAAACATTTCCCGCCCGGGTGGATTCCTTAGACTTGCGAGGATGACTTTCTATTATCAAGGGAGTGCAGTGCGGCGCAGGCAACAGCATTCCTACCGCGCCACCTGGCCCTGCCCTGAAGGATTCAGGATCTACACCGAGTCGGCCAAAGGGAGCAAGACAGTGGAGCTTGGGTGAGACATGCCAGAATCTACCTCTGTGCAACTCATTCATTCGTTTCCATTTTCTATGAAGCCGTTGCCAACAGCGACACACCCAGGAGTACACGGGACAGTCGGCCAATTGGACGGTGAGCCAAGAGGTTTTGAATCTTCTTGCTGAGCCACTCAGATGGCCCGTTATTTAGGTACACGTCTTGGCACGCCATGCCAAGAGACCCTGCCAAGAGAACCAACTACATACACTCTCCCACGTTACACACAATCACTCTCTCAGAGTTTCTCCGTCAAGCAAACTCGAACAATGCCAGCAGACCAAATCACAGCGCATCCAAGATATCCGAATCGAGGAACTTGGCCAGATCCGCGCTCGAGATAGCCTGCTGCCTGTTCTGCCCGGCAAGCCACGTCTGCTCCTGCGTGATGAAATCCAGCATATCATCCCCCCACCTCCCCGTCCACTTGTGCACCGGCCAAACCGCCTTGACCACATCGACATCCATCCCCACCGCCGCCGCGACATCGGCATACACCGTCTCGGGCTTGTTAGTAAACACATCCAGCGTCTTGTTGAGCGCCTCCACAAACGCCACGATGTCCTTCCTCGTCGCCGGGTCCGCCAGCTTCGCGTCCGTCGTGTACAGCGAGTACACCTCCCGGTAGATCTTGGGGTCGCCCCCGAACATGACCGCCCTGTCGGCCCCCAGCGCCTGCGCCCCCAGCTCGACGGCCGGCTCCCAGATGCCAAACGCGTCGACCTGGCCCTGCTTGATCATGGCCGGGAACGTGCCCGCCCCGCAGGGGGCCTTCATGCACACGTTCCCGGACACGATCGTGTAGTCCCTATCGGCCAGCCCCGCCGTGCCGAGCAGCTTGCTGACAAAGTAGCCCGCCGACGTGCCCTTCATGGACCCGACCTTCTTCCCCTTGAGGTCGGCCAGGGTCTTGATCCCCTTTGAGCCGTCGGCCACGAGGCGGTACGCGACCTCGCAGATGACGTAGATGAGGCGGACGTCGCGGTGGCTGGCGTAGGTCAGCAGGCCCTGGGTCTCGGCGTTGGCGGCGAGGTCGATGGACTTGTCGGACGAGAGGCTCTGGACGCCGCCGCTGATGAGCTGGGCCGTGCTGGAGCCGTTGTAGAAGTGCTTGATTGCGTATGGCTGGGGCGTGTGCTCGATCCATTGGAGGGAGGTTGCTATTCTGAGGCCCGAGGCGAGGTCGGTGCTCGCGAGGAGGGAGAGGAGGGCCGGTGTGAGGAGTGAAGTCCTCATCTTTGGGATGGAGTGGGGGGGGCAGGAGGAATGCCTGGGAGTGATGGCTCTGAGGGGATTGTACAGGTGGCTGGCTGACTGACTGACTGACTGACTGGCAGATACAGAACTGTGGAACACTTATACTCCCCCAAGTTCTCCCATATGGTGACACAGAGCACGGAGAATGGAGCGTCTCCCCCCATGGCAGATTAAATTCTCATTTCGGTGCTGCGGGAGATGCTCCCCGCAACACTTCTGTCCAATGAGTTATCGTGGGGTATTGGGTATACCTGTTTTGCGAGCGTTATAATTACCGAGGACTTCGATCATCGTGATTATCGCTTGCAAGCCGGCCGTCCAGTTTTGCGATCTGATAGGAGGGCTCAGTTATAGTAGGCCTGTGTGCATATTACTCCGGCATATCGACTTCAATGTCCTTGGCGGTGGATGAATTGTGTTTTGTGCCTGGATTTGGTCCAGATCCTTCGGCAGGGAAATGCAAGCTCGAGTACCTCAAAACGAAGGCCACAAACAAATTCCAGAGCTGCCTCCTGCGACCCTGCATCGCCTGTGAAATATTCTGATCTTTTTTGCAAGACCGCTGCATCGCGGGGATCTAATTATTACTTGCCTAGCTCACCCGAAAAACCCTATCCTCTCCACATTGTCGGTCTAGCCCCCATATGGAGAACTCACGATGTGTGCTATTAATATCGCGGTGATTGGCCGTCCTCGCTAGGCCCATTGGAAAAGCTTAACCTAACGTGCAGAACATGCGGCACACTTTACGGCACACTCTCGAGCCTGTGTCGTGCCCCTCGATTACAATTTATCCGATTCTACTGGCTCAACAAACGTGTTTGACCCGGAGATATTGGGCCAATTTGATTTGCCCGGTAAATATGAATGAATGACCGACCGGTCTTGTCGGTTTGTGTCTTGTGAAAACGTCACTTAAGAATCACATCATCCATGAACAGCCGGATGAGAAAAGTTTGCATATAAAATTGGAAGGTTTCTGTTTTATCAGGATAGGTGAGATTGAAGGGAACACCGAGTATCTGAGTCGATGATACTAGGGTATCAAAAGTGAGGTAGGTAACGACATTATATATCGCACAGCAGATAAGGGAGAGAAAATAAAAATAAACGGTGTGTGTGGGTGCCCAGACCTGAACCCCGCAAATTGTTTTCGTGTTCCCCCGGCATGAAGGGGAGGATAAAAGAGGGTCACAGACGGACTGTTCTCACTCAGATCAACTCTACTGACTTCACTGAGTACCTTCTCATTCATCAGCCTTCTTGGTATCCCCGGCAGCGTTAACCTCCTGCGTCTCAGCAGAGGCATTAGCAGTCCACTCCGAGTTGTCGTGTCGATACAGAGGCTCGAGCTTGGCGTCGCGCTGGAATAGCACCCAACGCTTGAACCACCATGGGAGAGCCTTGGTGAGTTGGTAGCGGGCGAACTTCCTGGTCGGGACGGCAAACACATAGTCGAGCTCCTCGAGGGTGCGCTGCTTGGTTTCTGCAGAGAACATGTCAATGAAAAGTCACCAGAAACGCAATAAATGTTGCACGGGGCACTCACCCGGAACCCAGAAGAAGATCATGACCAGGGCTACGACGTTGAAGCCGGCGTAGCAGCCGAAAGCACCCTGTGTGTAGACGTCAGCAGCTTTCCAAGCCCGGATTCCAGGATGGAGGATGGAGGATGGAGGATGGAGGATGGAGGATGGGGAACTTACCACTGTGCTGGCAGATGAGAGAAGCAAGGGGAACGTGATTCCCAGAACGGCAGCCTGCGTGCGGGAGATTAGCAAAAGGTTCGAGCATGCGCCATAATTATCACATACCCAGAAGAGGCAAGTCGCGACAGCAAAACCCATGCCAACCTCACGATGGGACAGAGGATACACCTCGGCACTATTAATTATACGTCAGCAATCAAACCCCAAAAGTGCTCAAAAAGGTGTGTGCAGCAGCACAAACTCACCTGTATGTGAATGGGACAGGGCCTTCACCGGGCGAGTAGAAAGCTGGGGAAAACAGGGTGTGTTAACTCGGGATCAAGTCCGCTTCGACCTGTTCGGAGAAGAGAGAGACTTACCTCCAAACAGGAACACGAATAGGGCCACAAGCGGGGTCCTGGCCGAGTTGCCTTCCGGCAGAAGTGTGCAGAGTCCGGCAGCAAGCAGCGTCCAGGTCTTGCCATCGACATTTGTTAGTTTGGGAACCGCAAATACATCCATGTCATGTCCTCCCGAGGTAGAGGGCGAAGGCTTACCATTTGGGGGAACGTGAACAGTAGCAGCGACCTTCGACCGAACTATCATGCGAATGTTAGCCGACCTTTGGTTTGGTATTGTTTGGCTTGGGCGAGAGACTTACGGTGTCGATCGTCCAGAAGGCAGGGAAGGCAAAGACCCAGTTCACCAGGCCGAAGCCAAAGGAAGCCAAGAGGGCATGGAACGGGCTGTAGCCTGCGTCCCTGAAGATTGTGGTCGAATAGAAGGCGATGATGTTGATTCCACACATCTGCTGCGCAATCATGACGGTGAAGGCGGCGAGATTGGCCCGCCGGACACGCGGGATTGTGAACAGCTGCGTAAATCTTGTCACGTAGTTGCTCTCCCTCAAGATGGCCCTCTCGATCTCCAGCTGGGCGTGGATGTAGTACAGGTCTCGGGCAACTTGGACTGAGTCGTGTCTCAGCCTAACCAGGGAGTTCCACGCGTCCAAGTAACGGTTTTTCTTCATGTACCATCTGGGAGACTCGGGGCAGAGGTAGATCAGGCACATCAGCGGGACAGCGGGGATGAACGGGGCACCTGGCGAAGCGTGTCAGTCATGGCGAAATTGCCTATTCAGGACGCGGGTTTCTGCGAACCAAGCATGAGTCTCCAGTTGTGCTTAGCATTGAAGACGGCCAGATTGAAGGCGGTTCCAAGCATGATTCCGAATGCGGTCCACATCTCTGGGGAGGCGGTCAGCACGACAACTCTTCAAGATCCCTGATTCGAGGGAGAAGGAGAACCTACGCCATGACATGACAAGCGCACCTCTGACGGACGCAGGCGCATTCTCAGCAGCGTAAATTGGCACTGAAGTAAAAAATGGTCAGCCTTTTGTTTAATACAACCATAACGTGGGGGGGAGCTCTTAACCTGTAGATGCCTTGATGCCCATTCCAATTCCCATGAGGAGACGATTGGCGAGCTGCTGCTCCCAGGTCTGGCTGAACGCAGAACCAATAACAGGCCAGAGGCAGAACTGGGCGGAGACGAAGATGACACCTAGATGGGTTGAATTAGTCGCGGTTCCATGGCTAGAGGGTGTAGCTCAAATCGAGGACGAAGAAATTTGGAATCTCACCTCTACGACCGAGGTAGAAGTTCAGGGGGTCAGACAACCAACAGCCAATGAGCCTATATCCTCCACGTCAGCTGCAGTTCAGTTTTGTCCGAGGCAGGACAGGCGGGACAGGCGAGAACAGGCGGCGGCGGCAAACAAACGGGCGCGGAACTTACGCGCTTCCGATATAGGGGCCGGCGTTGACAAGTCCCACAAGGAGCTCGTCATGCTCGATGCCGTAGTGCCTGGGAAAGAAGATAGTGGCTCCGTTTGACCCTGTCTGGTCCCATCCCTGGACGGCAGCACCGATAGAACATGTAGCAATGGTGAGGAATAACTTCAATGGCATGCGCCACTTGTGCTCCACTTCATTTCGGAGAACGCGTTTCTCGTCGTCCGTCAGCTCCTCGGGCCCCTTGATGTTGTGGTAGTTATCCGGGTCTTGGGCCACGAGCGCGCCCTTGCGGAGAAAAGGGATGTGTTCAACGAGGTTCTTCTCCTGCGCAAAGACCTCAACATCGTTCATGAGCTGTTCGTAAGGAATGCCCTTGAGGGGGTTCTTGATCCTAGCCTCGAGGTTTTCGTTCAGGTCGACATGTACATCCTTGTCAACACCTGTCTCCAGATGATGGGTATTAACACCCTTGGGCTCGACGCTCCTGTTCCAATGGTCAGCAGCCACCCATATATATATGCCCCTCGTTAAGTAGAAGGGGGCGGGGGGTTCTTGATCTTACGGAGCCTCCTGGATGCTGTCGCTGCTGTTGCTGCTGTTGTTGGCCTCCATACTGGGCAACCGACGGGGAAGTAGGTTAGCAATGGAAGGCAATAGGGTTTCGAGAAGGCGTGTATAATGGGTGCGGAGAAGTGGTGGGTCAAGACACAGGAAGAGGGCTTCCCGCTCTTATTTGTAATTTTGACCTCCGCGTCGGTCCACGGGGAAAGGCTGGGAAAACATGGGAAAACCTGGGGTCTAGCATGACCGGGATGTTGAGCATGTACTCCTCCACTAGCATGTCGAGACTAGTCTTGGCATCGCGCGGTTGAGTCGCCCGACTCGCCATACTTTTGTGGTGATAAAGTATGCTTGCAGTATTCCGAAGGTCATCAAGGGTTCCCAAGGTTGCAGCGAGTTAAGTGGTCTCCACCCTGCCAAGCTGCTGCCAAGTTGGTTGGTCCAAGTTTTCCCCGAGAGATCTACACATCAGGCGGGATCAGCAGTCAAAAAGGGTGGTGTATGTGTATTCCAAGACAAGGCGTAACCTATTCAAACCCATTTGTTGAAGCTATTGGGTGCGCCACCCCCTGGCGTGCATTCGGTGAATCGGTCCATCGGTCTAGTGCGTGTGCTAGTGTACAGTAGCTCGCCGTTTTGCCAATGCTTCCCGTCGGTCTACGCATACAGTTGGGGCTACGCGTGATGTGTAGAGGCCTTTTTTTTTTTTTTTTTTCTTGGTTTTTCCCCTTCCTCCTTGCTGCCTGGGATTGGGATAGCTGACTCAGACTAGCTCGAGTAGGTACCTAATCTAGGTAGGTACTGTGCTGTTTTGCTAGGAAGATGCTTGATTGTGTGCTCCCCAGGGTTTCCCCAGTAAAATGTAAACCTACTACCCAAAACTCGACTGACAGCGCCAGAAACGACAAACGAGCAAGTGTGCAAAAGTTCATCAACGCGACACCACCTCATCCGGGACGGGTACAGGTGCCAAGTCCTTGGCCGGAAGCGCCGTCAGCCACTGACGAAATCCAAGGATCATTAGCGCGCGCCATCGCCAAGCCTCAGGGCTCGTTGCAACTCTGAAAACGGATTAACGTTCAAAAATCACGGCCAAGCTCAGGGACTCAACATTTAAGGTTGATTCTCCACTTAATTCGAGTGCCGTCGCTTGTCCGTATCCGTACTACCTCTACCCAAAGAAACGTCTAGCCCGTGATAGGCAGGTGCTACCAAGCCAGCAGCCAAGGAAATACCGTTTCCCCACCTACCCTGCTTCTCCTCAGCTCCTCAGCTCCTCCAACGGCGCCGCCCGACTCCGTTATTTGCCCCGTTATTTCCCCGGCTTCCGCAAACAGGCAGTGCCGAATGGAATGAAATGTGGGCCTGCAGGAACGCGATCCTGAACTCTTGACCGACAAGTTGGTAATAAAAGTAACGCTGAAGTTTGGCTTGGCTGTTCTACAGAGATGTGTGTGTGTGTGTGTGTGTGGGACAGGAAAAAAAGTATCCCAAAAAGAAAAAGTAAACCGAGAAATACGCCGAGAAATAAGCCAGAAAAAAAGAAAAACACGTACATATGGCACAGTTATCAGCTGGTTAATTGCGGACACGGAACGGGAAGCGAGATCGGGATCGGCACCGACACAGCAGCCCTTACATGCGGTGGCATACAGCATACTTGTATCTACTCATAAATCCAAATTGAAAACTCAATGCCACGCGAGCAATGGGCAAGAAAGAAAAACCAAAACCGCCGCGACCTCCGCCGTTTGCGAAATACGGGCTAGGCCCTCGAAGCCCAGGGCGAATCAACGGTATGAGACAAGGCTATAATTTGGGTGCCGGTTGCACGGCACACCGTTTGCGGAGCGATCGGCGGGTTGTTTACCGACTCGGGAAGGAATGCGGGCAGTACGTAACATGGACAATTTAGCTACATATATGACAAGGCAAGGGTCAGATGCAGTACATATGTACAGATTACCTACGTAGGTAGGGTTGGTCCCGGCCTCACTTCCTGCAAGTAAGATGCCGTGCCCGATTACTCCGTCATACATAGCCAGAAAGCGGGCACCGATAGGCATACCAGTAGGCATACTAGTAGGCATATAAGTAGGCATACAAGTAGGCGGCCGTAGTTTGTTTGACATGTCAGGTAATGTTCTGATACGAGATGAGATTACCTAGGTACGCCATCATAGTGACACCCATCAACACCCATCCAAAAAAACAAATCCCTTTTTGGTCGGTCAGCTTATCAGCCCTCCTCCCGCAGCACCTCCTCGCCCAGCACCTCCCTCGCCATAGCGATCCCCGCCGCCCTTCCCGAGAAGATGCAGCCGCCCAGGAACGTCCCCTCGAGCGACGAGTACCCGTGCACGCCTCCGCCGCCGAACCCTGCCGCCTCGCCGGCAGCGTAGAGGCCCGGGAACAGCTCGCCGCCCGCCCTGAGAACGTTGGAGTTGAGGTCCGTCTCGAGCCCGCCGAGTGTCTTGCGCGTGAGCAGGTTCATCCGCACCGCGATCATGGGCCCGTGGCTCGGGTCGCCGACCTCGTGCCTCTTGGCGACCCGCGTCCAGTTGTCGGGCGTGTAGTTCCTCGCGTTCTGCGCGAGCATCACCTGCGCATCCTTGGTGTAGGGGTTGCGTGTCTGCAGGTTCAGCTCCTCCACCTGCTTTTTGATCTCCTCATACTTGAGCTCGGGGCCATTGACTGTGTCGGCGAGCTCATTCATGGCCTTGACGAGATCCTCTAGGTTGTCTCTTACGACAAAGTCCCGGCCGTGCTTGGTGAAGTTCTGCACCGGCACTGTCCCGCCGCTACCGAAGAAGCGTTGCAGGAGGCCGAGATAGCTCTTGCCCGTAATGTCGGGGTTCTGCTCCGAGCCGGATAGCGCGAATTCCTTGGCGATGATGGAGCGGTCCAGGATGAACCACGTGTAGTCGTAGCCGGTCGAGCATATGTACTGTAGAGTCCCGAGGGTGTCGCACCCCGGGAAGAAGGGCGCAGGCAGTCGCTTTCCCGTCGCGTCAAGCCAGAGCGACGAGGGGCCCGGAAGCACTCGGATTCCGTGGTTGGGCCAGATGGGATTCCAGTTCGCCAATCCCTCGGTGTAGTGCCACATACGGTCGGCATTAACTAGGTTGGCGCCCGCGCCCTTGGCGATCTCCATCATACGGCCATCAACGTGCGCCGGCACGCCCACGACAAAATTCTCGGGCACCTTGGGGCCCAGCCGATCCACCGGCCACGCCTTCTTGACTTTCTCTACGTCGCCCCCGATGCCGCCGGACGACACCAGCACCGCCTTGCCGCGCAGCTCGAACTCGCCGACTACCTCCCTCGACGACGCCACGCCCCTCGCCAAGCCATCGCTGGGCTCCAGCACGACGCCGCGGACCCCGACGGCCCGGCCCTCGGCGTCCTTGATGATCTCGTCCACGCGGTGGCGGAACCTAAACTCGACGATCCCTTCCTCCGCAGCCCGCCTAACCGGATCCGCAAACGCCCTCACGACCTCAGGCCCCGTGCCCCACGTGACATGGAACCTCGGCACCGAGTTCCCATGCCCACCGGCGCGCCCATCACCACGCTCGGCCCAGCCGACCTGTATGAACGAGATGCCCCTATCCTTCACGTAGCGCTCCATGCCATCAGCGGCAAAGTCGACAAACGCCTCGGCCCAGCGCCGCGGCCAGCGGTCGTCGCGGTCGCGGTCGAAGCGCGCCGAGCCCATCCAGTCGGCGAGGGCCAGCTCTCGCGAGTCCCGGATCCCCCACCGCCGCTGCGCCGCCGAGTCGACGCAGAAGATGCCCCCCAGCGACCAGAACGCCTGCCCGCCCAGGTTGGCCTCGCTCTCCTGGTCCAGGATGACGGTCCGAACGCGCCGGCGCGAGAGCTCGTGCGCGGCCACCAGGCCGGCAAGGCCCCCGCCGACGATGACGACGGGGTCGTCCGACGGGTTCCGGGGACCTTGGGGCGGTGGGTTTCGGAACATTCTCGCCGGGATTCTGTGTGGGGTTCTTGCGTGGGATGAACGGTGGGGGGAAAAATATTAGTGTAACCGTGGTGGAGATGCTTCAGGAAGAATACTGCGTAGTGTAGTAGATGTCAAGGCGCCAGCCAAGCTTTGGGATATTGGCCGAGTGATGGCCGAATCTAGTCTCGGCGTCTGAGATCAAGTTCGCCACACGTTCTCCTTACCGATGGCCTGTCTGAGACTGATGAAACGATGAAACACAGGTCAAGTGAAAGATCAGTCAGTTGAAAATCATTCAAGTCAATGTCCGGGATATGCGGGTGAACCCAGCGTCCATCATGCCACTTTCGAGCAGGTTGAGCTGCCTCGGCTCCAAGTCTCTCCCCCTCAGTTCGCATGTCAGCCCATGCTCGCTGAGCTGAGACCATGTAGCACTCGCACGTGCGCACTGCCACGTGATTTGACACAGTGGGTGTCCTAACGAATTGCCCCACCTCCAATGAAGCCCCGTTTCGAGATTCGGTTCTCCTCACAAATTCGTCACCGAGAACTTTCCAGGTTCTTACTATACATCGCTACCTAGTAAGAGACGTAGGTTTTCGAACTAACCTTTGGTGGTCCAGACCGTTGGGAAAACTGCGGATACTACCATAGTACTTTGAAGTCTGTCATCTCCTGAACCGGGATCAAAGTTTTCTTTTGTACATACGTGTGGGGCTGCAGCCAATAAACCTGGCCGTTTCTGCTAGCGTGGCGGATCAGCGAGTCGTTGTTTCGCCAAGCTACTGGGTCCGTATTAAACAAAAACGGATACGGTCTTCTCTACGTGACACCTCGAAGGCATGCATCACTCGGCGATTCGTTATGCCGATTCCGTTTCGACACTTGAGGCGGGCATCACGTGTACGATAACGCGCCGCAACGCGTAACACTCTTCAACCTCAGTGGACCATGCCCTACAACTACAGGTCTAATTACAGCGAGCCTCTTCCACCAGTTAGATCGGTCGGTCCTATACTTTCTTGCTTGGTTTGACTTGTTAGTTTTGGGGCTTACGAATGCACAACAAGAGAGGAGTTTAGATTTGGCACGCGTTATAAAACAGCCACTGGAACCCCTGCGGACCATGTTCACGGCAACGTCCTGCGGCTCCAGATCTGTCCTAGCTTCTTCGAGCGCTGCATCCTGAGTTTGCTTCGTCTTCTTCCCTGAGGAGTAGCGATCCGGGCCAAGTCTAGGTATCCAGAGTGGTTTCTGGCGCCGAAAATTGTCCTCAAGAGACAGAAGGTCAATTGGGGGTCAATTGGGACGAGGAATTCGAGAACGAAAAGGAGATTTACCAACACTTGGCTCCAGTGCAAGGAATCATCGTTGCCGTTTACTACGGGGAGCCAGTTGTGTCGGGACGGGGATCACTGGAACACGCGCCCTTGTTCCCTCGGATATCGGCGGAGTGTCTTTAGATGAGGCAGCGGAGATGTCGCAGGTGAACGAGCGAGAGCAAAGAGGCATGCTCTCGCAATCGCTGAGAGCCGCTGCCGAGCTTGGCCGCGCACATGGCTATTACAAGTTGGATAACTATCATCTGGTTGGAGGGGCTGTTATGCTTGTGGATTTTGATTCATCATACTTGTTTGACGACGAGGAAGTTGACCATGTCGCTCACGGGTAGAGTTTATTATCCGACTTGTATAAACTACCCAGGGGATATCTTTAGATTGGCTCTTTTGCTGGCGTCAGTTACACACGCACGATATACCATGGTTCATACGCCTTGAAGGGTTAGACTTTGCCAGCCAAAACGCAGGGCAGGCAAGGGACGGTCCGAGGGCCATCGGAAAGAGCTCCTCCTCGTTGACGGAGCCGGCGTTAGACACTAGAAGGCCAAGAAGTCAGCAAAAAGTCGCAACGACGACGGAGAATCGAGGGCCAGAGGGTCACCCACTTGTGAAAATCTTGATGGGCACCACAAAGAGGGCGCGGAAAAGCGTGAATCAAGGACTAGGCGGAATCAACGTGACTAGGACTAGACAAGGTCAGCGCAATATCGCAACAGGGTCAGCGGCACGCAAGGCGCCATCGCAACAGCAGGAAAGGTTTACCTACCAAGGGTCCAAAGGTGGTGGGTGGTTGAAGGAGGGAAGGAAACAAGGGCAAGGAAGAGGAAGGCAGGCCCTAGATATCGAAAGCGTAGGGACAAAGGCAGGGCAAAAGTGGGCCCTGCTGGAACCAACAACCTTAGGATCACAAAGACACAGCGATTCTCTTTACATTCCATTCACTTTGCCCTTAGGAAACAAAGGTAAACAGGACCAGAAGATGCCAGCATAACAAGGCGCCGACCACAAAACGCAGACGCAACGACCAGCCCACAAACAAACCGGAAACCGCATACTGACTCTGGGCAGATGTAGCTTCAAACCGATGCCAGCGGTGCGGCGACTGCCGGGTTAAAAAGACGATCGCTAACTGCGCTGCTGTCCTGCAGAACCAGGCTGCATTTGACGCTGTTGTGGTTGCCGCCGACGCTCTCAGGAACTTGCCAGCCGACACAGCCTGTGCCGACCAGGCTCTTGTAAGTTTGGTACTTGTCGTTTTGACTTTGTTGTGAGACTGACTTGACTTAGGCTACTGCTTGCCACAAGGCTGCTATCAAGGCCTTGAAAGCGGCTGAACGTCGCGGTGTCAGTGCTGCCGCCCCTAGCGCCTCCGGTTGTGCTGCCGTCGCTGCAGCTGCCCCCGTAGGTCCCGATGCCACCGCAGGTCCCCCTGTGGTCCTTAGTGCCAGGGTCAGTCCGCCTGTTGTCCCTGTCGTCCCTGCCGGTCCGCCTCCTCTTACCTTGGCCGATCTTCAGGCTTTCGAGGCTTGTCTGGAGACTCGCCTGGACTATGATTTCCATGAGATCCGTGAGCTCATCAGCGTGCGTTCGCTCCCCCACTGAACCCAGTCTCCTGCAATCCAGCAACCCACAACACATGCCCCACAAAGGCCGCAGCGGAGACCTTACCACAACAGCGCAACAAGGCAGACTACATGCCTGCGAGAGGCGAGTCTCTTCCCCTGTAGCTAGAGGACTAAAACGACCAAGGAGGCTATGTAACTAGGGTGGCTAAGCAAAGGCAGGTGCAATAGAAGGTACCTTACGCATTATTACCAACCAAGAATCAGGGCAAACCTTAAATTCAATACTAAAGCCTTATAAATTAGACTTTAAGAGGAGAGTATAGTGTTTTCATCCAGGCCCCTCCCTGACCACAGGGCGACACAGGCATAGTTTTATCCTATATACGCACACTAAGCTAGATGTACATCATGGCACTAAGCCGAAAGCTGCGTAATAATAATAATGATAATAATAATAATAATAATACACCTTGAAGAGTGGAATATTGTTGCCGACACGTGCCTCGTCATCTATTCCTTTTTATCAGCGATTTACGATGGGGTTGTAGAGGAAGTAACGAATTCATTGCAAGGCCAAAATATTCAATACCGTACATACGTCCTAACACAAGCAGCCGGCCTAGGGGGAGGCGTAGGGCAACGTAAATTGTACCCCTATTCTTCAGCTGTCGCCAATGCTCTTAAAGGTGCGGCCGCAATATGGTACCTTAAGGTACCTGAATCTCAATGCCCGTCATAGCAAACATGCTGAGCTTAGCCACGCCTACAAACTGTAGATATCTGGTTCGGAAGTTACCCCTGTCAATGCGTCCACTGTAGCTGCTACTACCACCCTCGCCCACATCGGCCTAGTATCCCGAAGTACCTCGCCATTGTCACCAACGATGGGCTGGCCGTAGAAAGCCCAGTAAAAGGACCCGTGTGTAACCTCAAGCTCACGATGAAATATACACCCGTCGCTGTTCTGAGGATGCGAATAGACCAGCTTACCACTCTCAATGCGGAAAACCGGCGTACCAGAGAACAATTCTCGAAGTGCAGGAGTGAGCCCGTTAATAGACACGGTTAGCCCAGAGAGCCCTTGGCACCTTCGAAAACCTTGGATAAGCAAGCGATGGAAGGCATATCGGAGGGTGCATCCGGGACTGTTGTTCCGGTGTGGAATGACCCAGCAGTCAACGAGACAGTCATTCATGTCTTCCAGTGAGGTAGCCCAAAATTGTAGAAGAAGAAGCTGCTCCCCGTCAAAGCAGAACAAGCAGAACATGTAGGGACACTCGTATTCGATCGCGTATCTTTGAAACGTCAGTATTCAAGAGGTGACTGTCTTTGGCACCATGCATTGTAACAAATACGGCAACAAACCCTCGAAGCTCCCTTGCCCGCCACTCTCTCGGGATCGATGAGATTCCTCTTCCACTCCCCTATCACAAGCGGATATTTTCCGCTATTCGGATGTGATAGATCGTAGACGATGTCGACTGTCTCTGGAATTTGGACCACCAGACTTGGGGGTTTTGCTTCAATCTTCTGTAGCACGGCCGGATAATCAAACCGTGCGGGAAGTATGATGTTGGAAACCTCTGTGTGAAACCAAAGGCCACAGTCGGCTTCCGTTGCTGGGCGCCACCGTCGTACGTTGGACGGATAGGCAAGTGTGCTTTTTCGGATATCGTCATCGGCAAGCATTGGAAGGAATGGTAGCGTAAACTGTTCCATCATTGTCGATTCTGGTATGGCTGTAAATTTTCGTAATGGGGTTAAAGTTCTTGGGCTCTCCCAGCACACCCACTAAGCCACTTTGCTATAGGAAAGTTGTAAATTGCTTCTAGTCTGGCCAAGAAAGCAGAAAACAGATACTTATATCGCAGGAAGGTTACAAATAACCTCTAGAGGATCTAAATAACACTACAATACAACCTTTCCCTTATTTAGCAGTCTGCCTTCTTACCCTTCATTCCTCTATTTACATAGCCCTATAGTAAGCAGGTACTAATTATCTTGTCGTAAACTTCGATCTTCGATGATGGCGCTGTCGCAACTTCCTTCTCGTACCGGGGGGCGCCCAGGGAGCAAAAGAAGAAAAGGGCCTCGGGCTGTTCTTTGGTTGGGGGAGAGGTTCCTCCGATGACACCTTCTCCAGACCGGACCGGAGCCTGCACCACACAAGTCCCTCGGTTCATGATTGCATATGATTGACGATGAAACATTTGCAGATACGTCCTTGATCTAGTGTCGCGCTCTGGCTAGCAATTTCTGATAAACGAGAGGCTATTTGTCACGGCTGACAGCGGCATACCAGATGGCATGTGTTGCGGGGGAAAAGGGTGATGATCATTGTAGGTGTGCTTTAGGTGTGCTGCAGGCGATGGTCTCGTGTATGATCGCCCGTCGGTGTCTTGTTTTGCAAAATCCTAGTTGATGGGGGCCCTTACGAAATTTTGCTTCGGGGCGTGACGGGGAGATTTTCGTCTTGAACGAAACCCAGCTTTGGCCCTGAAGAGCCCAGCTGATCGTATCGACGATTTGTAGGTGCCTTCTTTAAATTGAGAAGGAAGAGCCGACCCATCAGTTCTTCCCTTTACCCCACTCGACCCCAACCTGACCCACATCTTTTGTCCCCGTCTTTCCCCAACCCACATTTTTCGTCCCCGTCTCTCCCCGACGCGGCACTTGTTAGATATGCGAAGGAACCGACGGGCGACATGGACACATTGCGGGTTGAAGTGTGACCCTCAAACATGGGGGGCTGTCCTCTTCAGTGGAGGCCTTCCCTTGCACGAGTGTGTAGGTATATACATACATAAATACACATCTACGTCACTCTCTTGAAACCAAAAAAAAAACCGAAAATCGCATATATTAACGACCTACCGAAGGCATCATTGAAGATTTGGTCCTGGAGCAGTCCTGTCCAGTTTACTTCGCAAGCTCATTCCTCAGCGCAATCATCTGAAGATACATTCACGCCTTCAAACTGTAATTGGAGACATTCTCTATTGCTACTGTCAACCGAAGCTTCCATCACAATGGCGGGTGTTCTATATATCGACACTTCATTCGCCAAGATCACGGTGAAGCCTGTCCACCCAACTTTTGGGGCTGAGATCGAGGTTCCTGACTGGAAGAACGTCGACGATGACACTGTCCGGGAGATCAGCCGCGCTGCTAACAAGGTAAGGCACATCGCGCCCTGAACCCCCCCTATTCGTCTTTTTTTATGACGTTTCGTGCTGACGCTCGACTCCGATTCCCAGTATGCCTTTTGTATCTTCCGCAATACTGGTCTAGACGACACAGATCATGTCAAGTTCTCTCAGAGGCTAGGCGAACTCGACAACGTCAAGCGTTTCATTACCGGCGACCGTACGCTACGATACCAGTACTACGAGCTTTTCGATGCTGGAAACATCGCCGATGACGGCTCTCTCCTTGACCCTAACAGTGCTCGTGGTCACACGAACCGAGTAAGTAGATTCGGATTGGGACTTGCGGAAGGCAATTGCCTCTGCGATGCCGGGTGCCGTATAAACTGACTCTTTTTCTAGGGCAACCAACTCTTCCATACCGACTCCAGCTACAACTTCCGTCGCGCTGGCTTCTCTCTCCTTCGCGCCGTCGAGCTCCCTCCGAAGGGCACCGGCGGTCACACCGAGTTTGCCGACACCCGCACCGCCTTTGTCGAGCTTCCCGACGCCGTGAAGAAGGAGCTTGTCAAGAACAACTACGTCGGCTGCCACACCCTCGCTCACTCTCGCAAGATGGGCTCCCCCGAGTACTTTGAGAACCTGGACCCCAGCCAGTTCCCCATGGCGCGCCACTACCTTGCACAGATCCACGAGGGAAGCGGCCGCGTGAACCTCTACGTCGGCGCCCACCTCCATCATATCGAGGGTCTCTCCGACGACGAGTCCACGAAGCTGCGCGACTTCCTCAACAAGCATGTGGAGCAGCCCAAGTACGTCTACACCTTCAACTGGGAGCAGCCCGGCGACATGGTCATGTGGGATAACCGCGCCACCCTCCACCGCGCCGCGGGCGGCTCCTTCGCCGGCAAGTACCGCCGTGACCTGCGCCGGACGACGGTTCACGATGACAGCGCCAACGCGTGGGGTCTCAACGACGCTGAAGGGGCCAGTGCGCTCGGCTATCAGCTCGACGACAAGACACAGGAGCTACCCGAGCTTACTCCCGCAAATGCCGCACCTGCAACTAACACGCCTGCGCCTGCTGCTATTGCTGCGCCTGCTGCGCCTGCTGCTATTGTTGCGCCTGCTGCTATTGCTGCGACCTCGTAGGTTGAGACCGGGCGGCGGGTGTATTTCGTGTTTATTTGGGATGTAGAACAGTTTTCTGGAGAATTCTTACCAGAGATATTTCTCTCCCTCCACCAAGTCTTCTAGATATTACTCAAGTTATCAAGCCAAAGAATAAAACAATTTTTTAAAATATACGGATGTATTATGTAGATTACTTAAGTGGCTTTGGAGAGGATCCAAGCAATACTCAGTAAAATACACATTCTGGCTTCATACCTGCTGCCAGTTACCTACCTACATCTCAATAACCTTAAAACACTCAATTTCGGTGTCCATGGTACGCGCAGGCTCAAACTCGACCTCCAAACTTAATGCAACTCGCTTCGCCAATGAGTCTCGCCCTGAACCTAATCGCGCGGGGTTTGGCGGAGACGTGCGGGGTTCAGGGTGATCGGCGCTTTTGGTTGCATTGCTTACTTAGTAAACAGGGGCTTGTGATTGGCATATCCACACAGGCTGGTTCATTACCCCGCCGGTCAACAAAAGACCCTGGACACCGGCGAAAGCGACGGGTTAAGTCTGCCCATTTCAGCCAACCACGTCACCGAAACCGGACTCCCATCCTCGTCCCCGTTTTCCGCGGGTCCTCCGCCCTTCCCCACTTTTTTTCGTCCGCGTCTTTCCCCGATATCCCCTTCACCGTCGATGCGCAATTCGGCTTAGTCTCGACTCTTCCCCAGCTTCAACCATGGCGGGGCAGGAATGTTTATGGGGAAGGACAAACCTGGGGCAGTAGATGTCCGTTAGTCGCATCTCCTTTTCCTTTTGATTCATCTCATTTTCCCCGGCATTTGTCTTCCAGTCGGGAGATGGACATTGTGCCAGTTTCTGCGTTCCGGTCCACGAGATTGGTCGATACTACGAGTATATAACCCCATCTCTACATCCTGGTTCTCCTTCCTCAGTTTGTCTCCATCGGCCCCAGTCTGCTCTTCTCCTGAACCGGCGATCCATCGGTTCTTTGACGAGTGCTAGGGCGGCCGCGAGACAAGGAGCCTCCGAGAGAGACACTCGTCGCAACCCTCCCCAAGATGACGGCCAAGACGATGACCGCGAGCGATACGGTGGCAAATCTCGCCACGCGCGAGGGCCTCACGACGTGGCGGCAGAACTTACGCACCATCCTCATCTGCATGCTCGTCTCCTCCGCCACCCTCCAGTATGGTCTCGACATATCCATCATCAATGGCGCCCAAGCCATGAAGGGCTTCCTCAAGGTCTTCGGCCACCCAAACCCGAACGCGCCCCAGGGCTACGGCATCTCGACTTCGTTCCAGCAGTCCATCACCAGTCTTATGAACATCGGCGTCGTGGTCGGTTCCTTCACGCTCGAATTCTTTTCCCACCGTCTAGGCCGCAGAAAGAATTTCATCGTGGGTTCGCTAGCGTCGGTCGGTGCGAACCTCATCCTCGTCCTCTCTACGAATAAGAGCGCCATTATCTTCGGCCGTTTCCTCTTCGGCGTATCCAACGGTCTTTACATTGGATTTACCACTATATATATCTCGGAAGCGGCACCAGCGCATCTACGGGGCTCTCTCGTTACCTTCGTCCAGGTGTCTGTCTGCATCGGCACCATTATCGGCGCCGTCGTCAACAATGCATCCTCGAACATGGACTCCCGTCTCTCCTACCAGATCCCGCTCTTCACCCTGTTCGTAATTCCGGTCTTCTGCGCCGTTACGGCTTTCTTCATCCCCGAGTCTCCTCGCTGGCTCATCCTGAAGGACCGCCGTGAGGATGCCCGGCATCACCTCTACCGCCTGCGGGGGCCTTCCTTCCCCCCCGAACTCATCGACGCCGAGATAGATTCCATTGCGGAAGCTGTCCGGGCCGAGCAGGAGAACACGCTCCGCGGCTGGCGCGCTCTTCGCCTCATGTTCAGTGGTGCCGAGCGCCGCCGGACGCTCCTGGTCATGGCTTGTGGTACCATGCACGGGGCCTCTGGTTTCCCTTTCATCTCCAGCTATAAGACCTACTTCTTCCAGGTCGCGGGATCCAAGACGCCCTTTACCGACTCTATCATCGTCACCTGCGTATCTCTTATCGGGGCCTTCAGTGGTGTCTTCCTTAACCGCTATGTCAGACGTCGCCTGGTTCTTCTGTTCGGATTCATTGTCCAGGCCTTCGTTATGCTCATCATCGCCACTGTCTGGACCGCTAACCCAGCCACTGTCACAACCGGTAAAGTCATCGTCGCCATGGTTGTCATATTCCAGTGCCTCTACGCCGCTATCGTCGGTCCCACGTCTTGGATCGTCGCCGGCGAGATTCCCAACAACCGTCTGCGGGCCATGACATTTGGCCTTGGTAACGGTGTCGGTTTTATCGCCTACTTCTTGATTGCCTTCACCACACCTTACTTTATCAACCCCGAGGCTTTGAACATTGGTCCAAAGGGTTTGTCATTTAACCTCCCACCGGGGCGACTTGCCGTCGCCTCTCCTTGCTTCCCTTGCTCGGAGGAATATCTTGAGGCTAACAGAATCTCCACAGTTGGTTATATCTGGTTCGGATCCAACATTATCGCCTTCCTCTTCATTTTGTTCTTCCTTCCGGTAAGCGTAACCGAGGACTACCCCGGCCCCCTCCAATAGAATCCCTCGCTAATTACTTTTTGTCAACACAGGAAACGCACCGCCGCTCCCTCGAAAACCTCGATGAGATGTTCTACAACAACGTCCCCACCCGCAAGTTCAAGTGTATGGGCACCCCGATCTCTTCTGCACCTCCCCTATTCCTTCAGATGAGCGACGTAGCTAATTCTTTCTCTCCCTCGTATAGCATACCAGTGCACAGGCGTCGTCCAGCACCCCGAGGAAAGCGAGAAGGCCCTTAACGAGAAGGCCCTTGCGATTGAGTCTGACGGCGCGACCTCTCACGTCGAGAAGCAACCCAGTCGCGAGACTTAGTTGTTGGAACTATATTCTCTTGTCTTCGTGAGCTTCGTCATGTACGCCACTTGGAGCATCCACGGGGGAGACACGACAGGGGTATAGCCACTACTTCTGCGTGGCTGGCGGCAAACAGTAGCCTGGATCAATTTCTATTTGGTGCTGCCTGCCGGGCCTCTGATATTGAAGGGGGTGCCGGTCGAACCGGTGATAGGAACAGGGGGTCTTGTGAATGACCCTGGAAGGTTGGTAGCATTGCACCTCGATATGGGATGTCTAGAAGCATCACGTTTATTGCTTAGATACAAGTTAGTACCTATATTCGGGGGATTTTAAACACAGGCCTATCAGCTGTATTTATTAAAGCACTCTCTTAAATCAAGCGTTTAGTTCTGGAACTACACGCATTAACGCAGACAGGGGCCACGGAGAAGCAGTGAACATAGCATAGAAAGAGACATTCTGTGAGGAAGCGGAAGCCAAAGGGGGAACGATTTTAAGGGGCGAGAATGTCGGTTATTAGAGTATATACCTAACCTCTTCGGGTTAGAAGTGGTCTCCATTGGAGCCCATCCTTCCGAATATACGGAGGTCGCTACCAAAAGAATAGGGCCACACCGCCTAGATGGTGGTGCTGGGACTTCAGTGGCACAAGCCCCCTAACAGTTTTCATATGTGCTAAGTGATAGTGGACATAGCGCCTAAGTTCTCTATAAATTACTGAGGTTATTCTGCCGGTATTCAAAAGGCGGTGGCCCTTTCTTTTGGTAGCGACCTCCTTTCCGTATGTTCAACAGTTACCCCTCCCTCTACATCCGTATGTCAACTCAATAAGGCGTCCAGAGACGGGCAAAAGACACTTGGGAAACGGCAGTTAACAGAACGGAGAAAGCACAGCAATTGAGTAACAGAACATGAGGGAACCCCCAACCTCATCATTCTGCAGCGGCCCTCTGTTGCCTCCACCCCTTGCGCCCTCCACCCCTGTCGCCAAGGAGTGCCCCACCCCCAGCTTCGGCAACCGAAAACCCCGCCAAACGACGTCTCTCGCCTGCACCCGACTCAGCGGCCTCCGTCTCTGCGGCCTTGGTCAGATTGGTGGCAGCGGCGATCGCGGCCCAAGACGTTGACGCCACCAAGGGTCATCATCACCAAACAGACCGCGACCGACCAATCCCGGAAACGACGCCGAAATCGGTCCGGAAGCCATGTCAAGCTCGGAGGGATCGACGTCGGCCACGATCGACAACCCCGCTGCCGCGAGAGTCCCAGCGACAGTTGCGGCGGCCACCCCGTATGTGCGCCGCAAGCGCGCGATTGCCGCCTGTCAGTTCTGCCGTCTGCGAAAGACGAAATGCGACAACGTGCGCCCGGTGTGCGGGTCGTGCCGCCACCACCAGGCGCGGTGCGTCTACGCCGATGGTTCGGAGGGGGACGGGCTGCAGGTCGGCCTCGACGAGGCCGAGAGCAGGCACCGCGAGGTCCTCGAGCGGCTGGACGACATCCGAAACCTGCTCGCCCGCTCATCGCACATGTCCGATGCGCGCGGCAGTGCGGCGCTTGAGATGGGCTCGCACTTGTCCGGGTTGGGCACTTTGGCCGGAAACAGAATGGGCCAGGAGAGCGCGGGTGTCGGCGGTGTTGAGACGGAGAGCGCGTCCGACCACCAGCCCTCATCCTCGGCTACGGCATATTTCCAGTACACGAAGTGCGAGTCGATTCTCAAGTGGTCCGTCCTCAGTGGCGTCATGTCTGATGAGGACGCTGCCATCGACTCGTTCATTTTCGATGCGTACGTGCGCGGGGACGGCGAAGAGCGTGAACCAGTCCCTGAGTCCGCTGCAGGCTCGGCTTCGCCAGCTTCGTGCGGTGGCGCTGGCCAGCACCCTAAGACGACACCGTTCTTGGGCCAGAGCGTGCGCGAGCACGCCTTCGTCATATTATGTCGGAAGTTTCTTGCTCTGGTCAACTATCGAAATCCACTCCTGGACGCCCACGACCTGCTCTCGTATGCGAGGTCCGTGGCGGAGGAAGGACTAGGCTGGGATGCGAAATCTTGCTTAGTGGTAAGTCTGGCCCCGTCACGCCCTCCTACCAAAGCATATATCATCACCCTATCTAGCCTTCTATCCATGACACGCAACCGTGATGCGGCCGCAATCCTTCCACTAAGATATTTTTCAGCTTCTTGCTTGCGCTTTAGCCAGCTACTCCCGCGCCTGGGCACCTCCGCCTTCTGTCCAACCTTCACCATCTCCGGCGGCAGTGCGCCGCGACTCGGCTGTCCCACCGGACGTCATGTCAGAGTCGGACGACGAAGCCGCCGAGGCCTATTACGAGGCTGCCCAGAGACGTCTTGGATGCCTCGGCACGTCGCTCGTCGACGTCCACTGCTTCTACTACGCGTGTCTCTTGGAGAAATTCGCCTTCCGGCCGCTGCAATCCTGGATGTATCTGCAGCAGGCGGCCACGCGGCTACGTGTCTACCACATGGAGCGGCGCGGGGAAGAAAAACGCCGTCACACGAGTGGTCAAGATGACAGCCACCACTTTGAGCAGAGGGCGTTTTGGACCATTCGCAAGGCGGAGAGGTATATATATTTATTTATCAACAGCCAGCACCACGGGCTGATCTCCCGCTCGTCGTACAGGGTCGTGTTACTGATTATGCTATTTATGATACTTCTAGAGAGTTCGCTACGGAACTCGGCATCACCCTCGCCAGCGACCTTACGGGCTTCGAGTACCCGGCCACCTTCTCCACTCCTCCAGAATCCATGAATCACTTGTCCCCCAACGGCGACGGTGACGACACCGACATGTCAGATGTGTTCTCACCCCGGCGAAACGAGTCCATCTGGTTCTTCTATGTCACTGAGATCTCCCTCCGGCGGACGCTTGACGAAGTCCTCTCCGTCATATACGAGAAGGGCGAGCAGAGCTGGATCGAGAACATTGACCTCGTCTGTCGGCAGTATTACGAGTCAGAAAAGCAGATTTCCGACTGGTACTACTTCACCAATCCATCTCTCTCCCCACAAGGGTCTCCCAGAAAGCTAACCAATCATGCCAGGCAATCCCACCTCCCCCCATCAATGCGCTACGACGCAGCCTCCCAACCGAACAACGAGATGGGCTACTACCTCGAGAGCCGCCTAGAGGAGTGGAACGAATGCATCCTCCGGCCCCTGGTCTACTACTGCCTGCACTACCCGCCCTCCAAGCCGCCGACGCCCTCCATCACGGCCCTGGCCCAGCGCGACATGACCCTCTGCGTGAACTGCATCCTGCGCTGCGCCAGCTACGACCGCCACGGCGGCACGTGGGTGGTCCTCCGCCGCGCCTTCCGCTGCACCCTCATCATGCTGGCCGCCGTGGTCGCCGACGGGCCCCTGCGGCCGCCCGAGAACTGGCGGGAGTTGACGCGCACGTCGATTGCGACGCTTGCGCGCTGGTCTGTGGGCGGCGTGCGGGATCTGCAGCGGATGCGGAGGGTTCTAGAGCGGGTTTTCTGTGCCGTGTGCAATCTTGAGGCCGATAGAATGCTGGTTGAAAGCAGGGGTGTGTGATGAGCTGTAGAAGGATAGTTCTGTTATTGTTCCACTGTACTAGGTCTATGCGAATTATCGCAAGACCCCTCCTCCAGGGAGGAGGTATGTAAACTACAAAACACGATTTTAATCTGGAACAACCTACTACCTATTCTGTTCTCCTTGGTTGTGCCAGAGGTGAGAACTGGGACCCCGCCACAAACGGTTACCAGCAGACAAAAAGGACATGGGACACAACCCCTGCGCCTCTACAGGACAGCTCTAGCAATAACGCCTTGCGGGCTAACTTGTCGCTATCTATCGACTTAGCGGTCTAACAAGATATCGCAACCCGCCTACATCAGTAACTCAGCACGCAGCGATGATATATCCTAATTGGACACCTATATCCAGCCATATACTTCTGAAACAGCAACATGATTTAGTGAACCCACCCGAGTCCATCCGGCCGACCCTGGCCAAAACATCTACAGGAATAACTCAACGCCGAAGAAGTAAGGGAGTCGCGTATGTAAATACGGTCACACAAAATGAACGCAGGGGTTAGGGCGAACTGGCTACTCGCCAGCCCATGAAAATACGCAAGGGAATAAATAAAGGGGGTAGAGGGGGAAAAAGAGGGGGAGGAGGACAAAAAAAAAAAGATTGAACGAAAGGCTCCTGGCAGTGGTATATGGGTCCAATATCCAAGGCAAATAATAAGAAAGATGCAGCCCGGTTTGGCTGAGCTGTCACCGTCGGTTTGGTATCGTAGTTCTCGTAGCTTCATTGGCTACCCTGGTTTGGTCCCTTGTACTTTTTTTTTCTTCTTCCCTTTTTTTCCGGAATTGTCGAAGTTTGGATGGCAGGTAATCTTCCTCTGGCAAGTCCTCTGCTTCTCGCCCATAATTCCGTTTGCCAGGTTGGTATGTCGTGGGCAAAATAAATAAAAGCTGAACACATCAGCCCATGGTCACGTCCCTATCAACGCCGACGCCCGTCAGCTGTTGTGGCGCCGACCCGTCGGCGGTGGGTTCGGCATCTGATCCGCCATCCTTCTTCCTCCCGAGTCGATTGCACCACTCCTCGGCGCTGACGATGGTCCCGTCGACCACTCCGGTCACCTGGGAAACCATATCCAACCCTTCCTTGGCAAGCACCAGGGCTCTCTTTGCGCCTTCCCGAACTTCCTTCTCCTGGGCTCCATCTCCGTGCTCCCGCGCCGGAGCATCCTGCATCGAAGCAAGCCAGAACCTCCGGGGCAGGCTGATGAGGTGGCGGTGGACAAGCGCCCGTGCGTTATCCGGCAAGGCACCGCCGGCATACTTGGATACGGTGTCGATCACGCCGCGTAGTGTCTTCAGGACGTCGCTCCTAAGGGCGGCGATACGAGCGGCAAGCTCGTTTCGGTCTTGTTGGGATACCCCAGCCTCGGCAGTTGGTATCGAGGTTGTGCCGGCCATTGTATGATCTGATCCTTGGGCTACTGCGGAATCTTGCGATCCACGCCGTTCGGTAGAACCAGAACCATCGTACTCGTCCAGAGCTGTCTTGAGCGCCGTGATGACGGCTGATATGTGCTCATTCGCCCAGCGCAGCCAGCGCAAGCAGTATTTAAGGCTCCGCAGGCTCTCGTCCCTCATCGCAATGCTCAGGCCGGAGGTGGACATGATTATGCGATGCTGCCACGCAGCCGAGGCACCAGAACCCGGCCTCGACGTCACCCGGTTTTGTCCATCGACGACGGTTTCGCTGTACGCAGGAGACCGGAACTCGTCGTAGGCCGGTAATGTATCGACGGTGCTCATCGAAGTCCGCCTGTCCCGAGTGAATCCATACATATCATCAGCTTTATCTGCGACGGCTTCAAGAGCCGCGTCTCGATCGGAGCTGTCGACCTTGCGCCTCTTATTGGACCCTCCGTCGCCAGCCTCCAGGTCCGATGTAGAGGATTCATGCCTTCGACCGGCGCCGAGGAACCATCGCACGCCACCCTCCACGCCGGTTTTCCGGCCGACGGTACCGACCGTGTTTGCGATGGGACCGAGGTATCCCTCGACGTATTCCGCGCTGGTCTTGAAGGTGGGAGAAAAGTTCTTCGAGTTGTTATATGCCGAGGTGGCTCCTTCGATGGTGGTGGCCAATAGTGGATGGGAGGTGGTAAGAAGCGATAGGAGTGGCTCCGGGCCCATGGCCTGCGGGGACAAGCGGGAGGGGGAGTTTAGAGGAAGCGGTGTGTGTCCGCTGGGAGGAGAAGAGACAAAGTCTAGTCAGTCGGCTTGTCAGCATCAGGCGGTGGTGGCATAAAGAAGAAAGATCAACGTCAGTCGCGTTCACACATACCGGCGCGTAGATCTCCGAGAGCCTCGGCGGCTATTCGCACGTCGGGGTCATCGAGGCTGATGGTGCTGGCCCTGCCCTCGTAGAAGCGATCCGGAGATGCGACACTCATGGTGCTGGTGCTGGTCGCATCGACATCCATTCTCTGTTGTGCAGCGTCGGCGGGCTGGGCATGGCCGGGTTCGTAGAAGGCGGTCAGCGGATTTAGGCTCGGCCAGCGGTTGACGCCAGCGGGTGGAGGGGAACAGGAAGAAGGCTCGGTCGACTTGGGAGACGTGTATGGCTGGGGCTGCGGTGCTGTCAAGGACGACAGGGAAGGGAGGGTGCTGTTGTGGTCGCCGCCATGAGGTTGGATTGGTGCCAACTCAGTGGTGGGGGCGTCGGGGAAGGACAGAGAGGCGGCGTCGTGAGCCTGGGCGTAAGAGGGCGGCGGGTAGGACGACAATTGCAGTTGGCTTTGCCTCTTGTCGTCGTACAGCGACGCCGGGTCGGATGAGGTTTGCAGCTTATGCTTCGGGTGGTGCAGATGGCCCCCAGGTGTGCTGTTTTCGTGCGAGCGGAGCGGCATGTGATTGTACTCCATTGCGTCGGCAACTGGCGAGTCGCGACCAAGTGCCGTCGGCAGAGACTATGGTGTGCTAGCCTGGCATGGCGCTGCGAATGAGCGCGGCTGGCTGCCAAAATGGATATGGAGCTTGACTTTGGAAGTGCGACACGGAGAGAAGGGGAGAGGGCGGTGGAAAGTGGAATGAAGGAAGAAAAGAGGGGAGAAGCGGGTTGGCGGAAGGAGCCAAGTTGGGGTAGGAATGGAATGGAAGAGTCGGGTGGCTGCGATGGAGGTTACGGCAGCAGGTAAGGTAGGTAGTAGGTATGGAAATGATGATGGGAATGAAATCCCGGGCCCTTTTTGACTAAGAGAGTACTCGGACCAGCCAAACTACCTAAATAAGCGATTGCGATGCCGGGATTGATGATTGACGATTGACCTGGGTTATGGGCGGCGGGTTAGTGCTTTTAATAGGTAGTGTACCCAGCACCTCTTCTTCACTAGGAAGACTAAGTTTGCCGCCCACCTGGCCAGCAGAGACCCAGCAGAAATCCGAGAGCCTCATTAGTACGGAACAATAATTACACCTCCACCCCCGCCGAGGCAACCTGCTACTACCTACCTGCCAACTCTCTAGGTGGGCATTTGACTCGTTGCTGGCTGCGTCCCAAGGCAGCCTTCCCCGAGCCCTCCGAATTGATGACATTGGGCATACACCACCACACCCCGGACTACTTAACTACCTTCGTAGTAACAAGGAATTGCTCGTGACGGTGATGATGATAAGCGCGGAACTTGTGGAACCGGGTGCCTGAATGGCGGGATGCAGGGTGTTGGTTCTGTTGGTGGTCTGCTGGTCTGCTGGTTGGATACCTGTAAATTACATACCTGTAGTACGCTAATACATGCCGCAATCCACTATGAGTCTGGTTGACAAGCACGTGTCAGAGCTTCTCCGGCTGGTAGCTTGCTGCACCCCACCTCCGCCCATCACATGTGAATTCCTGGTTGAGTGGCGTCTAGCGCAAGTTTTCATTCGCTGCGCGGTGCCGGAACAACTTGCCTGGGCAATCAGGGTCCTCTCTTTTTTCAGTTGATGTGAGAAAAGCCATGTCTTTACGCAATGCCCAGCCGGCTGTCGGCTATCTGCCGTTTGTCCTGGACTCGTGATCGATGGCTGCGAAAAACGAACAGCCGCATTACTGGGTTGGAACTACTCGTAAAAAGCACGAGCAGATGCAAGAGAAAAATGGATCCTCTCAAACTGCCGATCTGGCCAGACACCACCAGTACAAGCCGTGTTGGTCCATGTGCAACATCATGGTGGCCAACAGCGAAGCCCACCCACCCTATGAGGTTGGGTGGCAGTGGGTGGGAATCAATCGATACCAGCCATCGGCGATGGACGCATCTTCTCTGGCCGATAAACGTTACAGCTGTACCTAGTGTTGAGTGTTGAGGTAGAGGAACACGGACTCGGACAGTAGAATACTATCAGTCAATTGACCCCATTGCAACTCAATTCACGGTTCAAATATTTGTTCGGGACCTCTGACACCGCCCAAGCAACGGGAGAGACTTGCGCTGTGGTTAAGCAACAGTACTCGGGCAGTTCTTAATGGCACCGTAAGTTTCTTCTCCGCGCCTCGAAATCGCAGAGAAACATCATGGACGACACATTGTGCGTTTGCGATGGACTGCACTGTCTAGTGGGCGCGTTGAAGAAAAAGAAGAGAGAAGAGCAGACAGAAGAAAAAGGTGCAGAGTTTTGTTACCGTGATGCTGCGGGATTAAAATTGAGCCGCGCCCCGGGAATGGGATCCAATTGCGGGTCCACGACCTCTAGCGCGACTGGAGCCTCAGGTATAAGCGAGTGGTCTGTGCGCACCTCCAAATGGTGGTGGCATCAATGAATGTGCGATGCGGGTGTGCGTGCGGTGAGACTGTGAAGATCGAGCCCACGTATTCAAGAAACCCAAAGGCGTAGCTTACACGCGCGCCTCATATTCTACACGCCTCTCCGACGAATCCCACAGCTTGTTCGCTCACCCTCGAACCCGCATGTCATAGGCCTCAAAGGGCGGCCCTTCTCTCGTCCTGGCCCCGGTGCCGTCACTTGCCCCTCCTCCGTGCCTCCCCCCCTGACACCCGACGCGGATCTTCGCCATGGCATCCGCCGTCTTCTTCCTAGATCTCAAGGGCAAGGTCCGGTAGCTTCCTTCTCGACGTCCCCTGTTTCCATTGCTGACGCCATGCTGCCCAGACCCTGCTTGCCCGGAATTACCGCGGGGACATTCCCATGTCTGCTGTCGAGCAGTTCCCGATATTGCTCAGCGATGCCGAGGAGGAATCCTCAGCAGTGCCTCCCTGCTTCTCCCACGAAGGCATTAATGTATGAACTAGGATCCCTCCCTCTTGTCCTGTGGCCTCTCTAACTAGCTATTGGCATACAGTACCTCTACATCCGGCACAACAACCTCTACCTGCTCGCACTCACGAAGCGCAACACCAACGCCGCCGAGATCCTTCTCTTCCTCCACAAGATTGTCGAGGTGTTCACGGAATACTTCAAGGCGCTCGAGGAGGAGTCGATCCGCGACAACTTTGTCATCATCTACGAGCTCCTCGACGAGATGATGGACTTTGGCTACCCGCAGACGACCGAGTCCAAGATCCTACAGGAGTACATCACGCAGGAGTCGCACAAGCTGGAGATCCAGGCGCGGCCGCCCATCGCCGTCACCAACGCCGTGTCGTGGCGGTCCGAGGGCATCCGGTACCGCAAGAACGAGGTGTTCCTCGACGTGGTCGAGTCGCTCAACCTGCTCGTCTCGTCCAAGGGCAACGTCCTGCGGTCCGAGATCCTGGGCGCCATCAAGATGAAGTGCTACCTCTCGGGCATGCCGGAGCTGCGGCTGGGGCTCAACGACAAGGTCATGTTCGAGTCGACGGGCCGCACGACGCGCGGCAAGGCCATCGAGATGGAGGACGTCAAGTTCCACCAGTGCGTGCGGCTGTCGCGGTTCGAGAATGACCGCACCATCTCCTTCATCCCGCCCGACGGCGAGTTCGAGCTCATGTCGTACCGTCTCAACACGCAGGTGAAGCCGCTCATCTGGGTCGAGTGCATCGTCGAGTCGCACAGCGGCACGCGCATCGAGTACATGCTCAAGGCCAAGGCCCAGTTCAAGCGGCGCAGCACGGCCAACAACGTCGAGATCGTCGTGCCCGTCCCCGAGGACGCCGACTCGCCGCGCTTCCGCACCGGCATCGGCAGCGTCCACTACGCCCCCGAGCGCAGCGCCATCGTCTGGAAGATCAAGCAGTTCGGCGGCGGCAAGGAGTTCCTCATGCGCGCTGAGCTGGGCCTGCCCAGCGTCAGCGGCGACGACGAGCGCGGCGGCGGCATGACCGGCGGCTTCGGCGGAAGCATGGGCGGCGTCGGCGCGAAGGGCGCGAAGAGGCCCATCCAGGTCAAGTTCGAGATCCCCTACTTTACCACGAGCGGCATCCAGGTGAGGTACCTGAAGATCACGGAACCGAAGGTATGTTTTGGTCCATTCTCTATTCCCCCCTATAGAAGTCTTCTCTCCTCGCCTCCTGACTCTTTACTGACTCCCTCCCGTTCCAGTTGCAATATCCGTCACTACCATGGGTTCGTTACATCACCCAGTCAGGCGACATTGCTGTTAGGTTGCCAGATTCCGTATGAGGGAGCACTGTGGATGTGGCCCAGATACCACAAGAAGTGTTTTTTTTTTTTTTTCCAAGGGGGAAGGGCGCCAGCCAAGTCACATTCCACACGGGCGAAGAGACAAAAAGTTGAAGCAACCTTGCCACCATATGAGTGAGGTCCTTGCGATGGAGTGGGGGATCTAGTTGTTTAAGAGCTAGTACATCAGAACAGGGGGGCCCTGGTTGAAGTTCAGGTAGAATTACAAGTACCTCCCACAAGAGCAAAGAGTCAATCAAAACTGGAGTTCGGCGCCGTTCAACATGTCACCTCGGAGGGCCTGGTGAATATTTCAAGTGACTCGACTGATTGATTGGTTCGTTACTTGCTTAGGCCAGACACACGACACACAACACATGAGTACGAGACCTCTAGATATGCATTGATTGCAAGAGCATGAGAAGTGAAATGCAAAAGCATCAACTGACCTATGGTTTGGGGGTTGTGAGCTGGGGGTTGAAAGGAGACAACCAAAAAATCCAAGCTTGCAAGCCAGTCAGTCTTGAGCAGGCAGAGACGTGAGACCGTGGAGCTTCGATTCCTTCGTTCTGGCTCTTCAAAGAAAATAATAAAACGAGAGACGAAGTAGACGGCGGAGGGGGGAAGCGGAAGGAAGCGAGATGGAAAGAAGAAGATACAAAAGGCAAGGCAGAGTGTCGTCATCTGGCCATGTGAAAGAGAAAGAGGAAAGGAGAAAGAGAGGTATTGGGAGAGAGTGAGAGAGAGACTACCTAGATTGCCTGGGTGCGTCCTTGACAACATTAGTATACCACTCAAACTTGTGTAAGTCGGCCGCTGTGGAGCCCTCTCCGCCCTGAGGATCCAAGCAGATCTGGACGAGAACGCCCCGCGGCGCCTCGTCCGGCCCGGGGTTGAGGTCTGCGATTGAAAATGTGAGAATTCGGCTTTTCGAGCCGCCTCTGATCCATCCCGCTCACCCTGTGCAGGGGGTAAAACCTTACTTACCTTCTTCACCAGTCTGGGGCGCGCGGTGCCACTGCCTCTTCCGCCACTGGGTGGGCGGGTAAAAGAGTGACTGGCTCTGCGCAAGGGCCATCATGCCCAAGATGACAGGGAGCTCGCCGCGCAGGCCCTGCGATCGGGGCGCGTCGGCGAACGGGTTGCTGTACTGCTGCGGAACCAACGACGGCATCCAGGAAGGGTCACGGCCCGCGACATAGCGGAACGCGGGGGGCCAGATCTCGCTGACGCTCGGCGACTGCACGGCTTCGTTCGGCCCCGCGGAGGGCCAGATCTCGCTGACGCCGCCCGGCGGCGAGCGGAAGTGGAGGCTGAAGAACTGGGCCCCCGGGGCGCCGGGCCGCTCCGTGCTGGGGACGCTGACGTCGGAGCCGGTCCAGATGATGGGGTTGAATCGCCAGCACCGAAACACCGAGTAGGTCTTGTAGACGTCCATTGGCTGGGAGCTCTGGTCGAGGGCGTCCCATTTCCAGATGCAGCCCTCCTGCCCTCGGCCCGGCCGTATCCACAGGTAATCCTGCCCGACGTCCGTGACCTCGCCGTTGCGGTAGCGGAAGACGCGGCCGGGTGCCTCCTCGGCGTAGTCGTTCGGGCTGGAGAATGGGATGACATCGTTCCACAGGTCTCGTTCCAGGCCGTCACCCGTGTCGTGTGTCCTCAGCTCGTTGACCACGAAGAGGAAGTCGACATTGTCGGATGACGACGAGGTTGTGCCCGTCTTCTCCGACTTGGTGGCCTGGGCGTGGGTGTGGACCTGCTTGTCGCTCTTCTGGTACCTGTCGTGCTTGTGATGTTTGTCGTTCTTGTCCTCGTGTTTCTTGCGGTGCTGTTTCCCCTTAGACGACTTCTATCATCAGCCCGAAGAGCGCAGCACACACCGAGTTAAAGGGCCCTTACTGAGGACGCTGAAGTCTGCGATTCGCGGAAAGAAGACATGGTCTTGGACTTGTTCCTCGCCTGTTGGTGTTTTCAGGGTAATCTCGAGCAGCCTCGTGTATTTTTGTGTGCTTGGTGACGGGGAGGATTGATGGTCATCGGCCTGCCCAAGGACGCCGCGAAATAAATAGCCCACAACTCTTCAGGTTGGGCTCCCGCAACTCGACTCCCATGATGCCACTTCTGCCGCCCAACGCCCATACTTCGAAGGTGCCGGGAACCTAGATTATCCCATGTGGCCCCCAGTCGGCGAGAGTTGTCAAGCAGCATGATTATCTGGCTCACCCCTGAGTGGCTTATCATCCCACACATGTCGAACTGGTATTCAGCTCGGCAACGCCGTCTGAACGTCGCTGTGGAGGTATGCCACATCTTCATGCCGCAAAGTCCCCTCCCCTGAGTGACAACGAGGTAACAGACGTCATGGACAAGGGGGGTCACATTGCCCACATCCAGTGCGCTGTGAAGCAGGTATCCGTTTGGGGGGGAGACGGGAAGAAGGAGTAATTCTGCCCTGTCCGGTAAGGATTGGAAACCCATTGAGCGCCTCCCTTTGCGGAGGCGGCTCGGGGATGAACAGCGAGCGATATTCCGCGGCTAAGGCGGCCCAAGGACCCTGCTTGACCGGTGACGAGAAAACCGTCCAGTGACATTGCAGGTGACCTTGCGGGGAAACCAGCCAAGCCTTCTGGCCTGTGGAAACGAAAACGGGCCACCCAGAGGGGTGGGATGTGGGATCAAGGGTCGCCGTCCCCTACTCGTTCGCTTTCAGGCGGCTCTCCGGCTTGTGTAAGCACCGAATAAACCCAACTTGACCGGTATTCGGGTTTCCTCGTTGCGTCCATGTCTTCCACACCGGCCAATGGTGCGTGCATCAAAGGCTGGAGCCCAACACCTGGCCAGGGAGTCGTGGTGCCAATCAGAAAATAGGAGAGGTGAAGGCCAGGAAACCGGTTGTGAAACATATGGCAGACTCCAATGGCAAATTGCGCGATTTTCGGCTGTGCGAGGCTTTGTGCGACGGCACCAACGGCCCCTGGAGCGAATGGTCTTGGGGCTCAGGGATGGCCGATGCTTCTTTGATTCGAGAATCAGGGGTCAACGTGTTCTTTAGGCTTCACAGACCTTCAGGCTGAGAGTTTGTGTGGGAGAGCATTCTACTTCTGTAGATTCAGCATCAGCAGATCTGTTCCCTGCTGAGTTAGCCTGCTTATCGCTGCTGAGACCACCACCCCCATGAACAGTAAATTACAATCTTGGCGACAATTCGATGGTTTGATTTGGCCGACAGCGAATGGCCCGCGTTCTTGAGACGAGGCAGCCCAACAAGCGGTCAAGTCGGCAACTGTCCTACTGGATGATCGACTTGCGGAGTTAGAGAAGGGAGTTCGAGGAGGAGCACGAGGAAGGGCCGCACGAAGGCCACAAGAAGGCTGCAAGAATCAGGCCACTTTGTAAGGATCAGAATGTATGGAGCAGAATGGCTATGCTGTCACACACAAAAAGGACGTGTGTTAGCTGAAGCAGAAAAGAGGAAGAGAATCGAGGATCGTCGACGGGATAGACCGCGGACCCTTAAATAAAGATCCCTTCGAAAACGCTATAGTATTTCACACTGTGCCTTGATGCTGTGTCGATGCCACTCGGGCCCTCATCCGGTGATGGGCCGAGATTGACACCCCAAAACCAATAACACACTCCGGGAGAAACCCTCCGTTGCCCGGCACGAGTCGTCGGCAAGAGTTGCGATTGGGAACACGTCAGATGCTCGCTCGACCCGGGAGCTTCTAGGCCCGCTTCCTAACTAGCAGAGTAATGCAACGAAGCGCCTTGTTGCACAAGTGATTTCCCGATTCTGCGACTGGCATTGCTGTGACGGTACACAGCGTCAGGATGATTAGGCCCCGACTGGATTTTTATGTTTGTGACACTTCAGCTCAGGGGTTTCAGAGCCAGTGACAGATAGCTGATTAATTAGTTGGCCAACGTTTTCTGAATTTCAACATTTCCTCAAAAGTTGTCTCGACCTGAAGCAGAGCGAGCATATGTGAAGAGCTCCCGTGACTTGACATCAAGTGTCGTGACCATTTGTGGCTAGAGGGGGAGGCCCGGAGGAACCAATGCCGACTGAGAAACCCAGTGAACATCAACGCCGAATCAAGAGCCATGGCAGCTGCACAACACCATGCTTCTGACAACCAACTCGCTACAGAGGACTTGCGCTACGAACTAGCGGTGGTGGTAGGCAATTCGCCCAGAATTTGGCAGGTATATAATGCAGATTAGGGCATAATCAGCCACGAATGGTCGATTGGCGCAGTTGGTTAGCGCGTGGCACTAATAGGAAACTGTTCAATGCCAAGGTCAAGAGTTCAAGCCTCTTATTGACCATAGTACTTCTAATTTTTTTTTCCCCCTTCGCAACCTCCGCCCCCTTTTTACCCCCTTTTATAAAATGTTCTCTTTTCATTTTGCGCTCAGAGCTATTCTAGCACCTTGAGCAATGTGAACGCCTGAAAAGTCAAACTCACGTAAAGTATTAATTACGCAGTAGTTATTGTCTCGTTCCCCAGATACAACCATGGTGGCTTACTAACTACCTAGCTACAGGATGGCTAGAACCTATGTCAGGTGCCGTCGGTGTTCCTGGAAGACTGAATGAGAACACTTGGAAGGATCCCCGATTTCCAACTGGGCTGATTCTTTACCAGCCCTGTGGCTTCTTAAGTAGCACGACGGCCGATAAGCATCTTCACCTCTGGACACCACTCTTCAATCTCGGCCATCTTATGAGCTTGCCATCGACTGGGCTGATGATATCCGAGGGGTTTCTCGGTGTAGATGGTTTCGACTGAGAAGGTCTTGGCAACATCTTCCGTGGGAAGAAGCACCCCCGCCCGTGCCTTTGCCTGCGCGTAGAACCAGCTGTCTTCGTAGTCGAAGGGGCTTGTCTCAAAATCTGCCTCCTTGGTGATCTGCAGGAATAGCCTAGGATTCCTCAAAGACAGTCCCCCGTTATATCCCTCGCCGTATTGAGGATCGATCGGTGCTCCGATGAAGTCGTATCTGGCAAAGTCATCCACTGTTACTGCAGCACTCGAGCAGATAATGCTGTCTAGCTGGAATAACAAGATCCGATCTGCCCATTCTACCTGCTCCCACAGCCAGGGCTTTGTCAGGAATAGCGAGACCAAAGGACTGCTGCTCAAGTCGGTTCCAGGTGGCAGAAAGCGTGTCTCGACTCTGCGCTCTGCTGCTGCTCGGAGAAATAGGGCAGAAGAAGGCATGACCCAATTTTCCTCTAGCGTAAACAGAACAACCGTCCATGTCGGCCCCAGAACGTTGGCAAAATGGAGCATGATGGGCATGAGCCTCGACGTGATATTTGTCTCGATGATAACTGCTAACCGACGGGCATTACTCGGCAAAGAACCAGGCGCGTACAAGTGGCTGTTAGGCATTGGAGAATTTTGGGGTTTGCTTCGCTGATCCGGCTGCTCTGTCTCGGGCATCGGTGGGATTTGGGATTGAGAAGCATCCTGGAACAAGTCAGTATCCCGCTGTAAACGAGGATGAGGAAGACGGACATTCTGGACCACCGAAGCGGCAACATAACTCCTTGAGAAGAAGGAGGCGAGAGTCCATGTAGCAACGAGCAACAGAAACAAGAAAAAGTATGAGTGGCGTGGAATTATTCGCGTCGCGGGACTTCCCTGCGTTGGACCAGCCATATTCTCCGTCGAGCACGGAAAGGAGACGAGAAAAAAAAAACACAGGAGAGACTAGAGAGAAGCAAAAACTGCTTTCAGCTCGCTTGGATGAACGCGATATCTAAAGGGAAGTCCCGGACGAAGGGATGAACAAGCGTAGGCGGGGACAGTCAAGCGTCAAATCTTGAGAAGCCGGCGCCATTTCTCGAGAATGAGCCAAGCAGAAAGGGATTCACGAGAGAGTCTGAGATACTGTATGGCGCTATAGATAGGACATGTTGGATCGGATCTCGCGACACACCCCGGGACACCTAACCCACCCAGTCGGCACATCGGCGAGAATCCCAAGGCGCAGATCGGGTTACACTGAGTATTAAGTTGGCATGCCACGACGGGCCGTGCCACGCGATGAGGCACAGATGGTTACTGTACATCGATCTGCGTACCTGTTTTACGGGAGGTTGATCCGGCATTGAGGTTCGTGGGGGCTCTCTTGGGTGACCGTAGTATCACGTGATTGTTTTAGCGCACCTACTAGGTGTCCGCCTATACCCACCTGCCCAGCGTGGTTAGCCCACTGAAGGTTAGTGAACTGCTGATCACCATCTGCGATCTTTCTCCTCTTGCCCTCCAGCCCCAACCAGGACTGCGCCCTGTGCAGGGATTCGTCTGACGATTAGCAGCGTTTCTTGTTGTCTGCTAGTTCTATTTGTGGCTCTGCTTTTCCGGGGCTGAGGATGGCAGTGCCCGACACTTTGCGCAACTTTTGTGCTTGTTTGTCTACAGGAGAGGCCAGAGGGACTCAGTTCGGCGATGGGTCTCTCAGTGCTGGGTTCTTTGGAAGGGTTCCAGATCCTGCGACGGCGTTGACCGGAATGGGCGAGAAACTGGAGGAGCAAGTAAGCAAATCTGACATTCCGCCGTGCTCCCTGCTCGCGGAACGCGCTCCCCACATCACAGCCGTCGGGTTGGCCGCCCTAATGTAAGTCGTACATATCTGTACTTACCTACTTCGTACTCTCCCTTGATGCTCTCCATCAAGCATCCCTAATAATTGGCGCGGTTCCAATCGCATCCATCTTCTCGTTCTCCCTTGACTCTTACTGTCTCACTCTCCCTTTCCTTCCCGCCTCCGATCTACATTCCTCCCGATTATTGCTTGGTTCATAATATCGGGCCCCCCCTTCAATGCGCCCGTCAATAATGCTGCTAGCGGCCTCGGGCTGCCTCGTCGACGCAACATGGCTCAGGTGGACAGGGGACCAAGATCTCGTCGGGAGGGGTTCGCAGACCCCGAGGGAAACGGGGGCGGCGGCGGTCGACATGGCTGATGGCTGGACACCGAAGCCCACTCCAGCGCCGGGTTCCATATCGGGGGCGGACGCCGCGCTGGAGCTGTTTCGACAGAGGCGGGCGACGTCGAATACCTGGTTGGACGATACCACCTGTGGCTGGTTCTCCGGCACTTCTTGTAAGACGCCATTGCTCGTCCAATAATTAACTCTTGCGCTTCGCACCTGCGACCCGGGACGAGCTTGTTCTAACGTGACTGCCAGCTTCTGCCTTTACCTGCACGGCGGGCTCGAAATGCGCGACCGACAGCCAACACGTCGTCGGCTGCGGATCCGGAGCGTACACGCCGTTCTTCACTGTCTGTCTCGATTATCAAGCCTACAAGCAAGGGGCCTGTGCCACCATTGGGACCAAGACGGGCTGTTGGTAAGCACCGCCTCGAACCCCGGGGAAGTGAAAGGCTGCTAACCCGGGTACTCCGTCCCAGCGACTCGTCCGCCCATGGCGCCTGCGGCACGTATCTGTGGCCCGGCAAGACCCAGCGATCCATGTACCGATGCTTCGCGTCTCCGACCATCATCTCGATGATCGACAAGCCTCAGTTCGTCATTGACGCCAGTCGCTCCTCAACCAGCCACCCGACGTCGAGCAAAACAGCATCGCCCACCCCGACAGACCCCTCAGGCGGAAACGACGACGACGACGACGACGACGGTGACTCCGGGTCGGGCAGCACCAACATCGGCGCCATCGTGGGCGGCGTGATCGGCGGCGTCTCAGGCCTCGCGCTCATCGCCGGCGTCATTGCATGGCTCGTGATCCGCACCAAGGCCCGTCGAAGGTCCTCCGGCCGCGGCAACCAGGCATACAACCCCGTCCCGCCGAGCGACAACACCTCCCCGGGATCTGGCGGCCCGCTCCTCCCGGCGTACCAGGCGTACCAGCAGCCGTCGCCGATGAGCCAGCCCGGCGGCGGCGGCGGCGGCGGTGCAACGACGTTCCCGCCGACGTCTCCGTACCCGGGCGGCGATCGCCACCGGTACGCCAGCCTCTTCTCGCAGGAGCCCACACCTTCTCCGCCGCCGGTGTACGGATATCCGGTTGGAAAGCCGGCAGGCAGCCCGGATCCGCCGCTCGACGGTGGCGGGTACGTGGCTGTCAACGAGCTGGATTCAGGGGCGGTACCGTCGGGCCATCAGGCTAATCCGGTGGAGATGGGGGCGGGTCGATGATGTGGTGCGGGATGGCTTTGGGGATTCTCTGTACATTTTTTTCCTGGCGCAGGAACACTGTAAAATAAAAACCGGATGGACAGGCGGCGCGGGTAAGGCATGAAGTTGGTCAAGGTCCGGGGAATATCTCGCAACTGGCTCAAGGAAGAGAAGGTATTGCATATTGGTTACCCCGTCAACATGCGCGACGCAAGATTCGCAACTACTGAAAACCACCGGATTCATGGCGAAATATAGGTATAGGACAACCGTGACTGTTAGTGGGAACAGGAGCCGTCTAACTCTTCCACCTCTATCTCCAGGGCTAGCACCCGCTAGGCCCCAAGCCACGCTTCCCACGGTACCTGCTATATATGTGTAAGATCTAGGCAGTCTAAACCCCCAAAAGAAAAAGAACCGGGACGACCAACCCCTTTTACCCCTTCCTCTTCACCAAATGCGCATTCACCGGCGTGATCGCCTCCCCACCCTCCAACACAGCCATAATATTCCGCATACTCAGCTCCTCAAACCCAACATGCGTCTCCACCGTCCCCCCAGCATTATGGCACGTAAGCATGACCCTCCCCGGCGCCGTCCCGGCCCCGAGCCCGGCCAACCGCACCAGCCTCGGGTTAACCCTCGGCTCGCGCGCATGCACATCCAGCGCTGCAGCAGCAATCCTCCCAGACTCGAGCGCATCCGCCAGGGCCTCCTCGTCGACAAGCGACCCCCTCGCCACATTGACGAACCTAGCTCCCGGGCGAAACATGGCCAGCACCTCCGCGGTGACGAGGGCCTCCCCGCCGGGCAGGGCGGGCGTGCAGAGGACGACGCAGTCGCTGGCTCCGAGGAGCGACTCCAACGAGTCGTGGAAGGTGGCTCGCAGCTCGGCCTCGACGGCGGCGGGGCGGCGGCCGGCGACGTCGAAGTAGCGGACGCGCATGCCGAAGGCCGGGCAGCCGAGCTTGGCGGCGATGTGGATGCCGATGTTGCCCAGGCCCACGAGGCCGAGGCTGTGGCCGCGGAGGTTGTGCGACGCGGCCGTCGCCTGGGCGTGGCAGGCTTGGAAGATGCGGTGCTGTTGCGCCTGTGCGTCGGCGTCGTCGGCGTCGTTCGAAGACGAGGAGGTCGGGTTCGGTGGCACGGTGGCGGCGCCCATGCACCAGGGCAGGTGGCGGAAGGTGGAGATGATCATGGCCACGGCGAAGTCGGCCACGGCCTCGGCAGCCGCGAGACCGGAGTTGCAGTATAGAATGCCTGTGAAAGCACGGATATCAGCTGTCCTGTCCGTTTCTTCCTTCGCTTCCCCCCCGTCAACCTTACCCTTCTCCCCCAGGAGCTCCGTATCCGCCCAATCGAACCCCGCGCCGGCGCTGGCAAACACCCGGACCGACCCCGGCAGCAGGTCGATCAGCTCTGCGTCCCAGCGGCCCATCTCGCCGCCGGTGCCCCAGAAGGGCCGGAAGATGGCGTGGAAGTCCCCCCACCGGCGCTCGCGCAGCGCGCGCGCGAACTCGCCCCTCTCGCGCTCCGCCGCGGCGGGGCGGACGACCTCGAACGCGGCGCTGAACGCCGCGTACGTCTCCGGGTTGTACTTGACGGGGTCGCCGATGTGGAGCACCACGGGCCGCCCCTCTGCCGGTGCCGGCCGCCGCGATCGGACTGGGAGGGTCACTGTGGACCCGTCTGGGGTCAGGCTGGGAATCGCAGGTGATGGCGAGCCGGATCGAGGAGTGCCGCCTGGCACCGGAGTGCTCGGGAGCATCGGCGTGTTTGTTGGCTCGGCCATCGGGAATTGAAACGGCTGCAGGTGTTTCCTCGAGGTGCTGTTGGAATGAGGAACTAGCACGAGACCTGATTCTCAGTGGGGAGGGCCGGGGAAGATTCTGCTGGGAAGCCAACTCCCTCTCCTGTCATACCGCATTGCGAAATCGGCGCGGCTCGGGGACGGCAATGTAACATCCCAATCGATCCCAGCGGTGGTGCACTGTCGCAGAGATAAAGGGGCGGGTCTCCCCCTGCCCATCCGGGTACCTAGAGTGCGACATTTTGACAGGTTTGCCAGCGGGAGCAAAGAGCGGTCACGGAACCCGTTTCGAAGCACGAGCAAAAAGCTAAGAAGCCTTGTGCTGCCAACCGGGAGTCTGATTGGAGACATCGCGACTTGTGCTGTTGCTTGGTGCCTTATCAAGGGGATCTATAGCCAATAGAATCCGTGCCCGCAATCCTCAGGAATCCAATCTAGATGCCCACGTTCCTCTGTATGTAGTGCTCGAGGTTCATCTCTGGTGACGGGAGTGTGTGTCTCCATTATCCATTTTTGGGAAATGAGGATAGGTTTGGGCTGTCTAAATTTGAATACCGACCTATGTTCCTGACAAGCCGTCTTGCTAATCTACGTGGCGGAGCAAGCATATGGCACAATATTGTGAGATGCGGCTGGTATCGGGACAATTATCGCTGCTGTTGGGCCGCAACTCTCGGCGGGCCGGGCCCCACATTGTGACGATGCGGGGAACCCAAAGTTCGGGGTCAGGGCCCCTGTTGGAGTGGTGTAACCGGTACCTTATCTAGCTACGTATGTAGGTAGCGTAGGCTAGATAGAGGAAGAAATGCCTATCTGAAAGGCGTTTCCTACAATCACGAACGTAATGCTCGCCATATCGTGAATTGTTGGCAGGGAGGTCCAACGGGCCCTAGATAGGTAGGTAGACAAGCCCTTGAAAGGAACCTCCAAGCACTAGCTGTCAAAACACCCCGTCTCCGCACCTCGAAAGCGCAAATGATAGCATCCCTGTGCAATATCACGTCATCGTAGCGGTGTATTCGCAGAATAGCGGCCCTCCTCAGTCCCCGTGTTCAGCAACGCAACGAGGCATGCTCTTAAGCAGCCTTGTCACAACCACGACAAATCTCAACACCAGCCATCACTCATCCTCGTCGCTGATCATCACGGAGTCTAATCAGGGTCAGCTCTCGGGTCGTGAGCCATCAGGTACGGTGACGCAGTGGAGTTCACGTAGTTCACGTACCGTCCTCGTCGTCATGATCTGAGCTGTCGTCCGTCTGAACTCTGGGCCAGATGACTTCGATCTCCTTTGCCTTTTTCTCCAAGAAATCGGCCATGTAGTTCCCGGAATACTGCATGACTCTGCCCCTGGCAGGTCCCGGGCCATCGCGGAAGAAAACGGGGTCGGGAAAGACCGAAGACAGGTCGGCTGTGCCTGGGCGCATTTGCTGGGCTTCTCTGAGATACAAGTCGTGCAGTTTCCCCTTCTCCGCAAGCCATTTGAAGAACATGGCCCATAGGTTGACTTTGTGCTGGATCGTGAACCTCAGATCCACCAAAATGGTCCTGACAAGGCTCAACCCCCTCAACGTCGTGAATTTGGCGACCAGGCCCACCAGAGTTTCGGCATTGATCTGGAGGCCGCCGAGATCGAGCTTCTCAAGAGCTGGGAGCGACACCGAGTCGGGGTCCTCAAGGGTGTCCTCCGGCGACGCTTCATCTGGGACGGGCTTGGCCAGCCACGACAACAGTCGGTTCACGAACCGATACGGCGAGTTGTTGAAGTTGAGCCGAAGCCAGGTGAGGTTGGGAGTGTAAGACAGAAAGTCTTGGAGAAAGAAAGGGCCCATCTCGCTGGCCTCGCCGTTGGCAAGCTTGTGGAAGTCCAGAACAAGGTGAAGCTTCTTCAGACTGTGGAGGACAGGGGTGAGCGAGGGTTTCAACCAAGGCGGGATGCAGAACGCAACGTCGTATACGCCCCACTGAAGGTCACGGGCCACAACCTCCAGGTTCGGCGGATGGGCGCCCGCGTCAGCGAGAGCAGTAAGGACCGTGGTGAATATGTGGGTGAGGTAGTCCTTGCGAGCGTGGTGGACCATGGTCATGCGCCCACGCGTAGCACGACGGGCTGTGGGGGCGCCATAGCTGGTCCAAGCAGCGTTCAGACCGTCACGGGTGCGCAGTCGGCCGTTGAAATCCCGAATGTCGACCGTCTCGAGGTTGGGGAGGTTGCGGAAGGCCTGGGCCAGCATTGCCCGGTCATGGCCGGTGTTGGTGAGGCTGAGCTGGTCGGCCAGCCCCAGGCGATAGTGGAGCCGCTCAGACTTCTCCGAGGGACCAAAACCGGCATAAGGGTTGGCATAGTGGTCCGTGGCAATGATGACATGCCTCAGATACGGGGACAGGGTCTGATGGGCTGAAATGCCGATGAGAGCCTGGAGACTGGGTCCGGAGAGCATGAACTGCTTTTTTCGGAAAAATTCATGTGTGAAGAAGACGAAGAGCGACTCCTCTATCATTTTGCAGGTGAGGCGGACAGAGCTGAGGTCGGGTGTCGGGAGGAAGTAGGTGATGCGGAGGAGAACTTCGGTGGGCATCTGAGCCAGGTAACTTGCCGCCTGCGAATCCATTCTGGTTGTCGTTCCGGCTGGCGCAGTTTGGAAGGAAGGATTAGTAGAGAGAGTGTGTGTAATGAAAGGTACCTAGGTATGTAGGTTGGGGAAATAAGGTAGGGAGGAAGGAGGAGGGTAGTAGAGAGGAAGGATGTACAAGGTAAGAAGTAGTTACGACGCGGGTAGTTCACGTAATCAAGTAAGAATGATGAAGGAAAGAAAGAATAGAAGGATATGATCAGATCAGTCACTGTCTACCATGTCAGGCATCTGGTCCCTATGAGATGAGATCTGTGGGATTGTTACTTGTTTATATAGGAATTGTGTACGTTGGTAAGGTTGGACGATATGGAGCATAAAGCACGGACCAATCCGGGTTGTGAATGGCGTTCGTTCTTCAAAGTGGGGCCGTGGCTGCCTGTTTCGGTGCTGAGTGAATGAGTTGCAAGTCCACGTGCTTTATCCCATCGAAATGTAAGAATCATCATGCATTAACGGCTCAAGCTCTTCGCATTCATCTACCAGTACATGCCTGCCTGCTGGTAGGTACCTACCTACCTAGTTACTGTCCCAATGGCCAGACAAACGCATCTCCGCAATATCCAGCTCCAGGCAGAACACCTCTTCATCTTCACTCAAAGTCGCCTGCTTGGTGCGACAAGGGTCGTCATCTGAAAGAGACTTGGGTCCTGATTCCCACTGGTGGCCCTGACTCGATTCCATTCTGGCTTTGCTTTATTTGCAAGCAATCCCCCTAGATTACACCTTTGGCGATCGCCTCTTGACACCTATCTCGAGACCCAGGGGTTTCCTGAGGAATCCCTCGCTCGTGTCCATGTGGTCTTGCCTGAGGAAGACGTCATACCGCCTAGCCCAGCAACTGACAATCAGCTTCAGCTCCATCTCGGCCACGTTGCGGCCCACGCACGCACGGGGCCCGTGGCTGAACGGAATGAAGGCGTTCTTCTGTCGCGGTGTCAACGACTCCCACCGCTCCGGCCGGAACTCGTCGGCGTCCGGCCCCCAGATCTCGGTCGAGTGGTGGATCGAGTAGGTCGGTACGCTGAGCACCGTTCCGGGCGGGAAGTAATGGCCGTTCAGGTGGATTCCCTGCGAGTCCCACGGGATCTGCCGGGGCAGCCCGATACCTGACGTGGAGTGGTAGCGGAGCGCCTCGTTGATGACGGCCTGGAGGTACGGCAGATCCTTGACCATCTCGAACGTTGCGACGTCGACGTGGTCGGGGATTGCGGCGTCGAGCTCGGCCTGAAGCTTCTCGATAACGCCAGGAGTGCGGGCGACGTGGTACAGGAGAGCGCACGACGAGTTCGAAGTGGTGTCGCTGCCAGCGATCAACTGGGTCAGCGCCTCCGCCGTGAGCTCCTCGCGGCCCAACAGCTCCCCCTTGTCGTCGCGTCCCTGCATCAGCTGTGCAAGCAGATCCTTCCTGTTGCTGTCGGGCGGGTTCGCCAGGCGGGCCTTCACGCGGGCGATGGCGATACCGGCTAGGTTCTCCACTGCGCCCAGGCCTTTGGAGAAGAAGGGGTCGGGAAGCCACTTTGCATACTTCTTCAGCTCGGGCATGATTCCCAGCGTAGCCGAAACCTCGCCGCGTCGGTTAAGAATCTCGATGGCCGCCGCGTAAATGGGCGGGCTCGTCGGCGACGCCCGGATTTCAGCGATGTCGGCCCCAGACGCGAGCATGCCGAACGGGGCTCCGAAGGCGAGGTCGCCGATGATGTCGAAGGCAAGGAAGTTGAACCATTCGAGACAGTCGAGGTGGGCAGCGCCGTCTGGATTGTGCGATGTGCTGATGAGGTGATCCCATTTCTTGACGAAAAGTTCTAGGTTGGTGTGCATGTACGGCTCAAACTGGCTGATTGACTTGGCCGAGAAGGTGTGCGAGACAATCTTCCTCTTCCGGCTGTGCTCGGCCCTGTCTCTGGTGTTGAAAAGGCCCCTCCTGATGCTTACAAAGGCGTCGTAGAATGACCTATGCACGAGTGAGCTCCCGGTCTCCTGGTCCAGGACGAGAAGTTTTGTGGTTTTTTTTTTTTTGCTTACGATTTCAGCAAGCCATTTCCATGGCCATAGACGACCTGGATTGCTGCATCGTCGGCGATGCTGACATGATTGGGCTGGATCCGAACAACGGGCCCCAGCTTCTTGTGGAGCTTGTCCACGACCTCGAACCTATTGCCTCTCCTGACGACGGATAGCAACCACAGGTCCGAAAATTGGGCGGGAAATGGTGCTGGGATATGTCGCAGAGGCCGGTATGTCACGAAGAAAGAGTAAAGGTAGGTAGCAACCACGCCGACCAGAAGGACGACTGGTGCCCATGGCGAGAGCACGAGACTGGTTAACGCCATGTCTGATGTGGCAGCGCTGGACTACGGGGGAATGGAATCGTGCGGAGTTGTTCTGTGTCAGACGGCATGTGCATATTTGTAGCACAGAGGAAGGGCAGATGCAATCGTTTTATCACGGAGGCGCCGGACGAGGGGCGAGAGTGACCGTTGGAGTCCCCTCTACAAGGTCAGGCGCACCCAAGAGCTCTACTTCTATCGGATGTGGGAGGCGGGAAGCTTCGGCATTTGAGAGCGGATCGAATAAGATTCGAGAGATCCGAATCGCAAACGTCTCACTGGTCGAGTCTGCTAAACACGGCCCCGCCTTGGCTTGGAAGATGGAGGGAGCAACCTCCCGAGTTGGAGAGCCGAGCGCCTGAGGAATGCGGGGTCCCCTTGTGAAATTGAAAAGAACCTAAGACGCCGGGTGACGTGAAGGAGGGCCGTGTCACGTGCCATACAACCCGCCACCCCACCCCTGCGCCTAGAGTCTTGCCGCGATGCTCAGCCGGAGTGCCATGAGTGGTCAACCCTGAAGCTGCTGCTCAATTAGGCCGTGTCTCCGGGGCCGGTTTTGCTTGCCGGCGCTTTGGCAACCATACGTCATGCGACCCCGTCCCCGAGTTGGCTTCCCGCATTCAGTTCCCGAGAGAAATGCTTCGTTCGGGGTCTCCCGCTGCGCCATTTACCTACCAAATTACTTGTGGATCTATGTGAGTGATTTTCTAGATGAAGGCCACCAAGTGCCTATCGTACAAGCCGGTTGCCTCGGAAGTCCCCAAAATGGACTCGTTTCCGACTACAATGGACGGTGGAGTGCTGCTCATTTTTCACGCTTCTTGTTTGTGAGCTACGCCATTACCGTTTGATATTTCTTTGTGAGGGGTGCGCATCTTTGGTTAGGCATTTATTTGATGTGATGCAAGTCGAGTCCCCAAGAGCAGGCAGCCCCCGCGGAACAAGAATCCCATGGCCTTCGGCTTCCTAAGGTGCGCCCAAGGCGTATGAGACTGCCCGATGCATCAGCAAAGTAAGGGAATCGAGCAGTCTTGCTCTGTACAGTACATCCAGGCGGCGGAAAGTGAGACGAGAGCAAAAAACAACAGCAAACCTTCAGGGGAATGGTGGTACGAGGGGCTGCAAGCAACTTGAAAACCACCAGCAACCCATTTTTGCCTCAACTCGGTCATATTGGACATCTGGCAACTCCAGGAGTCGTTTTGCTTGTCGCTGGGTATGGCTCGTGGCAGCACTTATTAAATGTCTTGAGCAAATGACCCGGCAAGTGTCACTTTCTATTTTCTATCTTCAAACTCTGCGCGGTAAGACAGGAAGATGGAGATAGCCTCAGAGAGGTTGAGTGAGTGCTCTAATTATCTCCAAGTCATGTTTCGACTTGTGGTTTTGGTAGAAGAACGATCCCTGCACAATATGTGGCGGAGCAGCTCTCCAAGCGGTGACGATCAATGATCAACACTAAAATGAACCAAGCCAAGATATTCCGTACCATTTTGCCATCTTTTTTTAGACCAGCGTGCAGGAGGTGCGCAAGAAAATAAGCTGCGGCTCAACTTTTGCCGACTCACTCCCAGACTTCGGCCCTTACTGCAGGGACCATTGGTCCTTCTTCGCAGCCGTCCTCACGGCAGAGTCGCATTGCAAGCTGCCAGGATGGAAACCACCATGGAAAATCCGATTAGGGGCGTTTCTCGCCCGCAAGCGAACCTAGCACTTGCTAATTATGGACGCGCCGAGCACGGAAGATGCCACCAGAGACCAGAGAGTTACATTTTCTACGTGTCAATCGTCCAGCTAAACCTCAGCCGGCCATCTACGTAGCAACAACAAATCCATCCCCGTATATATAATGGCCAGGGCACGACCGCATCCACAGCGTCCAGCCAGCCAGAGCCAGCCAGGCATCCCAAGATGAAGTCCCTCCCAGCCACCCTCGCCATCCTCGCCCTCAGGGCCCTCGCAGAAACGACGTGCACGGCGCCCACCGGCCAAACCGGCCTCTGCATCCCGGCGTCAACCTGCACAGACACCGGCGGCGCATCCGGGCCGGGCACCTGCCCTGACGACGGTGACCAGGCACGAAGAACCCCCGCCCCGCCCCCGCCCCCTTTTTTCCCCCGCCCCCTTTTTTCCCCCGAACTAACAAACCAGTCCCAGTGCTGCACCTACGGCTCCTGCACCATCCCCGGTCCAGGCCTGACGGGCCTCTGCCAGCCAAACAGCACCTGCGCCACCTGCGCCGGGGGCACCTCGACCGGGGGTTACTGCGCCGGCGGCGCGACGATCCAGTGCTGCACGTTCGGGGCCTGCGTGGGCGCCGGGGGCGCGCCGGGCCAGTGCGTGCTGGACTCGACGTGCGGCGGTGGCGTGTTGTCGACGGAAGCGGGGGGAGGGTGTCCGGGGCCGGAGAACGTGCGGTGCTGCACTTACGGGGCATGCTCGAGTAGTGGCTCCGGGAACGGGAGCGGGAACGGGTCGTCGGCTGGGTTCTGCCAGACGAGGAGTAGCTGCTCCGGAACGTCGGAGGCCGGCCTGTGTCCTGGCCCGGCTGACGTGCAGTGCTGCACGCCCGGGACGGGGTGCGAGGGCGGGGCGTCGCTTGTGAACCAGGCTACGCTGGAGCTGGTGCAGTCGTTTGAGGGGTGGTTCCCGGATATCTGTATGTGGGATGGATGAATGGTCTCTTGACGTTGTGGGAACTTATTCACTGACGGGAGAGTAAAAAAAGACGACGACCCTGACGGCAACCCGACGGTCGGCTGGGGCCATCTGTGCGCAGATGCCAATTGCTCCGATGTCCCGTACCCGATACCGCTGTCCGAGCAAGACGGCACGGCGCTGCTGCAATCCGACCTGAAGGTAAGCGGGCCACACTGGCAAAACACCAGCCCAACCGCATGATCCTAACCTCGTGGGTGAACAAACAGATCGCCCAGCGCTGCATAACCGACGACATCGACTCCTCGGTGGTGCTGAACCCGAACCAGTACGGCGCCCTGGTCAGCTGGGCCTTCAACGTGGGGTGCGGGAACTCGGGGACGTCGACGCTGGTCGAGCTGCTGAACCAAGGCGGGGACCCGGACGAGGTGGCGCGGCAGGAGCTGCCGCAGTGGAACCGGGGCGCGGACGACGTGCTGCCAGGCCTCGTGAGGCGGAGAGCCGCCGAGGTCGGGCTCTTCACCACCCCGGCTGACGGCGTGGCACACCCGCCGCCGTGCTGAGTGGGTGAGTGAGTTGATTGAGTGAGTGTGGTGGTTGGAACTCGAGCTCAGAACTATTCTGTGCGCGGGAGCAAAAGCGAGAAATATCGCTGCGGAGTAGATATATCAGTGGAATTTGTATCTAGGCAACACGTATCTGGGTTTTCCATGACACTCGTGTATGCCATGGTTAAACTACGCTGGACAAAAAAAAGCAAAGTCCAACCCGCTAAGCCTATCCCAACGCCATCGTATATGCATACATTTTCAAGGTCTGACTCCAGCCTGTCTCCGGAAATCCGGAGTTTGTGAAAGAGACCAAGAGGCCGATATTGATCGGAAACTGCACACTGTAGTCGAGTTATGTACTGTACTTGGTGGTCGGACCCCTTTATGGGATTGCCAGCCACACCAAGGAAGGGGAGGGAGAGAGTTATGAGGCGGGCTCAATCCTGTGGGTCATCGGAGCATGTAAGAGACGTCTGGGAGACCGTCGATGATGTGTCGCGCAAGGCTGTCACTCTCGGTGGTCTCCTTGCGAACTGGCGGAGCCAATACTGTTTGCTGTGGGGTTGCCTCCCTTGATGCCTTAAGCGGGGAGGCTGCGGGAACTGGGAGATTCGTGGTCGTTGCAACAGTGGGCTTGGCGGGTCGGTCAAGGAACGAAATATCCACCGAAGTCCATGTATCCGAGGCCGAATAATTCTCTGCGGGCCTGTCCCTGGAGGAGCTCGACAGTTCTGCAACATTATTCGTGGGAACCATCGGGATGGTCGGGACGACCGGTTGCCGTGTGGCAGTGGGAGGAAGTGTCGTTGACGTTGGTTTGGGTGCCACAGCCACGGGCAGGAGCGGTTCCGGTTCAGAGAATGCAGCGTCAAGACTGCCCAAGCCATTCGAGATGGCTGGCCTAGCTTCGTCCTGTGGAGACGACACCATCTCGCCCCATTCGTCCTCATCGTCGCCGGCCGGAGGAGGAGGAACGGCGATTGCCAAAGGCACAACAGGTTTGCTAGAAAGTTGGAGTGGCGCTTGCGGTGCTGACGCTGACGCCGGCTGTGTCGACTCGTTCGCGGCGGAAGCTGTGCTCCAGCCAAACGAGGCCACACGAGGGACAGCCATGCTCGAGTGCTGGGTCGGGCTGCCCGGTGCCTCGAGAGACAAGACTGGAGCCACCCCCTGCGGCTGAGACGATACCCTCGAATGGGTCGTCTTCGTTCTTCCAAAAACCTTGTCTAAGCTGATGGGCTCGGCAGCAGAATCCCAGCCAAACATGTTGCGCTTGCCAGTCCCTCCACCTAGAGTGACTCGCCCCGTAATCGAGTCCTCCTCCATCCAGCGCCGCACTATCTTCAGCGTTTCCTGGCGTGTGCTCGAGGCTAGCCACGACACGCGACAGTAATTGTCGTCGTTCCCATCATTATGCATCCGAGAAGAACCCTGGCGAGAGATCCGATACCAGGTCTTCCTCTCTGAGATCTCGGTGAAGCTATCATTGATAGGGCGATCTGGCACATCCACGTCTGGCGCATTTTGAAACTCCGAGTCGCCTGACTTGTCACTTTCAAAGAGGCTGTCCACCGTATTCAAGTCAACCACGAACTTGACTTGTCCAAATCCTGCGACGGATTGCTGCGCCTTAGTACCGGTAAAGGAAGCCCTCGGCGATGTTGGGGTGGAGACTCGCGGAGCAGCCGAGTCGATTTGCTCCGTGGAGTCATGATAAATACCGGGCGTGGGAGTGCGCTCAGTGGATGAGCCACGCGATATTTGAGCCGGAGCTGGAGCATTACCGCCATCTTCAAAATCGCCAAAATCTGCGCCATCTTCCCAACCCTGTTCTTTGTCATGTGCCGCCTCGGCTGGTGTTCCCTCACGGTCTCGCCGGGCTGGAGCTGGCTCCTCGACAACCGACTTGGCCAAGCTATCGAACTTGACCACCAATTCTTGAACCTTCCCCGAGACCGTTCTCGAAGGCGCCTGCAAACGCAACTTCGAGTCTCCGTCAACTGACGTGATGGGTGAATCCTGCCGTCCCGCGTCGTGATCGCTGGTGTCTCCAGATGCAGACGACGAACGAGAGTGGGTGCTCCGAGCTTCTGTTTCGATGTTTATCCTAGAAACGCCGGGTGGCGGCTCGTCGTCGAGGGAAGCCGGGGCATCCGTGGCCAGTGGCTGCTGGGCGTCCGACGAAACCGCGTCTGACGCTGCTGCCACTTGCGCCGTGTCCTGTCCCGGCGCACCCGCGTGATCGATTTTGACATTCCATATCGACTCAAACTCTCTGGTCGTAGCGTGTTCCTCGGTCTTGCCAGAAGTCACAGGAGAATCCGGGGGTTCGGCGACTATGAAACTCGGAGGGGGTTGGACATTGTGCAGGTCTTCGGCGGACAGTTCGGAAGCCCAGGGATCGGAGGGGAGTTGTCGGAAAATGGAGCCGTTCGCCTGGTTTGGCCCAGGAGACAGGGCAATGCTTCCCGGCCATGCAATCGGGCTACTGGCTTTGTTGAAGCTGCCCTGCCTAGATCTCGCGTCGAGGTGCTCCGTGGAAGTATTCTCGGCACCGGCCCAGCCCGCCCAGGCAGAGGTGGATTGTGCGGCGTCGAGCGACGTGTTGGCAGAAGGCCAATCCTTGAATCCATCATCATCGTCAGCCCATGGGGAGTGGATCGTGGAGGTGGGTAGTCGGGGAGACGAGTTGTTCGAGAGCAAGGCGCGTGGAGGGGGTTCGAGCCCGGACTTGGTTGGCGACGGCGTCTTGTGCAGTGTCGTGTCGACGTCGTTTGTCGTCCATGGCGAGCCCCACGGATCGTCCATGCTGGATTGCAGCAATTGTCATGTTTTGCGCGGGCTGGCCGCTGGATCGCTCATTGCCTCGGAAATATCGACGACGCCCACTGATGCACTCACAGATGCGAGCGCGCCGCAGTGGCGGAGATCGAAGCTGGGCGGTAAATACCGGCTAGGTCAGAGTCGGCGACCTGGTATATGAGCAAATAGGTAGCAGAAGGGGGAGAAACAGCGGAATAGCTTCTCAGGAGAGGAGGTTTTTAATTATGGTGGACGGATTTTCGGCCGTTTCGCCCCTTGTAATTATTTGAGGGTACCTACGTGTATGCGCTCAGACCCCTGTGGTCGGGATGTCGTGGCTGCTGTCGTAATGGAAGGCGCAGAACCTATCAGGGCTGTCATATTCACTTCTAGGCCACAAATGTCTGCCTATCCTGTACTGTGGTATATACTTCAGATCGCTGCTCTCCAATTTGCTGCGTCTATTATAATTAGAAGTGCATGTCTTCGATCCCATAAGCTTATCCGTGTGGCACCAGTATTATTTAGGTGGGCACCTAGCCTTCTGTTTCTTTCCAAGGCTGACAAAGCCGCCGAGCGCCGGCGACACACTTCCCCGATGACGAGAGGCGAAAACCCACGACTTCCAATCGCGAACTCTGATAATGGCGCTCTACCGACCCCCTTGAACGAAACACCCTGCCGATCTACGGTTATATTCCTTCCTGAGACAGCAGCACCATGTCGCTGGCAAAGATTAAGCACATTGTCCTGGTTCGTCGCCCTCCGCCCTTGCTGTTGCCGTTGCGATTTCCCACATCCACCCTCTCCCTCTCCCCCTCCCCTAGGCGCAAGAGGAGTATTGGTTAACACAGCTGGCACCTCCCACAGGTCTTGTCCGGCAAAGGCGGCGTCGGAAAGTCCTCGGTGACAACCCAGCTCGCGCTCTCCCTCTCGCTAGCCGGCCACTCGGTCGGGGTTCTCGACGTTGACCTGACGGGCCCGTCGATTCCGCGCATGTTCGCCATCGAGGACGCCAAGGTGACCCAGGCGCCCGGCGGATGGCTTCCCGTGACGGTGCACGAGGGAAGCCCCGGCGACGGCATCGGGCCGCTGCGGGTCATGAGCCTGGGCTTCCTGCTGCCGCGGAGGGGCGACGCAGTGGTGTGGCGGGGCCCCAAGAAGACGGCCATGGTGCGGCAGTTCCTGTCGGACGTGCTCTGGGACGAGGCCGACTACCTGCTGGTCGACACGCCGCCGGGCACGAGCGACGAGCACATATCGCTGGTGGAGACGCTGCTGAAGACGGCGAGGCCCGACCAGCTCGCCGGCGCAGTGGTGGTCACAACCCCGCAGGCGGTGGCGACGGCCGACGTGAGGAAGGAGCTGAACTTCTGCGCCAAGACGGGCGTGAGGGTGATCGGCGTCGTGGAGAATATGAGCGGGTTCGTGTGCCCCAACTGTAGCGAGTGCACCAACATCTTCAGCAGCGGCGGGGGGAAGATCATGGCCGACGACTTTGCCGTCAGGTTTCTCGGGAGCGTGCCCGTCGACCCCCAGTTCGTCATGCTAGTCGAGACAGGCCGGAGGCCGAAGTATCCTGCCGGGACGGAGGTCAACGGCCGGGACATGTCAACACCTGCGGATGCCAGTAACGGGCACGACGCTACGAGGGATGCTGGGTCGCTGGTCGAGAAATATCGGCATTGCTCCCTCGCCCCCCTTTTCAAGACAATCACCGAGGACGTTATATTGGCCGTACAGCAGCAGGGTCTTACGGTTTGAAGGATGCGTCGGAGTGCGACACCTTTGGGGATAATGGCACAAGCTCTGCACTCTGAAAATGAGTTTGCATTGAATCTGCCTGACATGGGACATGAGGCACGGCTTCTCAAAACATACACTATCCATACCCGCCCCCTTTCCACTCTGCTCGCGTAGCTGTGCAATACAAACACGGGAGCAAAGCGAAGATCTCTGCGTCTGGCACCTCAGTTTATATTGAAGGTTACACAACAGGGAGCCCGGCATGGATGCCGACACTCCAATAGCCACGGGGCGATCACTGTTGTAGGCAGTCTCCTGAAATATAGCATGGGCGTCAGGTCAAGGTTTACATATTAGCCGCGAGGATATTCGCTGCCGGGCATATGGCAAAGATTCCAGGTTCACAAGCCCCGCCCACTTGTTTCCTTGGTCCATCCGTGGATTTCAGGTTGCTTTTTCTCGGTTCTGCAGCGCAAGAGTGTTGCTCTTGTGACCTTCCCGTGTATTCCATACCTTCCATTCACGCTAGCGCCCACTTTGTGGATTGCCCCTCTTTTAGCGCATTTTGCGTGTACCCAAGTACCTAAATTTGCGCAAAGGAGGTATTTTGCCTGCACACCAGCGTCATTTATGGCTCCAATCCAATATTTTTTTTCGTAACCACTGGAAGGTGCACTTCAATTTTTTCTCAAAAACCTCGCACCGACTGCAAGTTATCTCCCACGACGTCGCTCGATTCGACCAACTTCCATCTCGCCCTACCTATATACTCCTGTCGGTTACGATAGAGACTGCCCGTCTACTCGTTTATCTGTTGGACAAACCGCCGGATCAGCTCTGTTTAGCAAATCCGGTCTCTCCCGACCCCACCAGACGGACGCCCAAGCCCTTGGCCTGCCTCCCGTCTTCTTGTGCTTGACATGAACGCGCTACTTCATTAATCCTCGAGAGCTCTTCAACTCTTTACCAAGCTTTGGTCCTGCGTCAGTGTTTTTTCTTGCACTGCCCCGGGAATCTTCTTTCCTCCTCCTCGATCCCTCCAGAATTCGATGAGCCGGAAGGATCTACTTAGGTTTCTGTCCAAGCCTGCAAAGTAGGTAATTACATGTGGACGCCATCGACATCATCGCTGCCACCTCGGATTTGCTGGTTGCTAACCCAATTTATTGTTCCAGGCCTCGATAGCCCCCCTCAATCGCTACCCCGAACATAAACATCTGTGTCGGAGACATCTCGCTGTGTCTCAATTGCCCTCGATTATTCCCACCACCCATAACGAAACCCGGAGGTAATCGCCTCGTTGCCTACCACGGCTAAGTCAAAGCAGAAGCCCGATATCCCGGGCTCAAAGCTCTCCCTCCTTCCGCTTCCAGCGCGACCACCTTAACGTCCCATTCGTGAGACGTTGATAATCACTTACACCACCACTGTAGCTGGCTCCGCCAGCATCTAATAAGCCGATACAGTCCTGTGGGCCTACTCTCTCAAACGGACACCGCAAGGTTCGTTTGAGTGGTAGCTAGTGCTCCGCGGAAGACCAATTGCCGAGATCGTGGAAACGATACGAAACTCGGACTCTTTTTGAACGTCTTTCGCCTGTTGTACGGCCGTCGGCACTCCTGGGAGAGATGGTTGACCTTGAGGTTCCCCCCAACTACACCTTTTCGCCATCTGAGGGTACGCCTCACTTGACCATTAATCATGAGGTCGCCGCCGAGCTAGACTCCAGCAATGCCTTTGAGGGTGAGTAATGCACCATCCATTAATCCGGCCATGCCACAACTGCCCCGGTGCTGACAATCTGGTGAACTTCAGGTCCGGAGAAGCTGCTCGAGGTCTGGTTTGCGCCGAGCGCTGAGGCTCTGCCAGCCAGCGCCAAAGAAAACGGGCTGAAAGCCGTCAACCCCACCGAATGGGAGGGCATGTTGGACCTGGTGAATTGCAAGGTCCTGTCCATTGTCAACTCGGACCATGTCGACGCCTACCTCTTGTCCGAGTCCAGCATGTTTGTCTTCCCCCACAAGATCATCCTGAAGACGTGCGGCACCACGACGCTGTTGCTGGGTCTCCATCGACTCCTCCACATCGCGGCGGTCCATGCCGGCTTACCCTTCCACAACGCCAAGTCGCTGAACGAAATCCACGCGGCCGCGACCCCCTACCGCGTATTCTACAGCCGCAAGAGCTTCTTGTTCCCCGACAAGCAGCGCGGGCCCCATAGGAGCTGGAAGCAAGAAGTCAAGTATCTGGACGACATGTTCGAGGGCGGCAGCGCGTACATGGTGGGCAAGATGAACGGAGACCATTGGTACCTGTACATCACCTCGCCGAGCAACATGCTGACGCCGCCGAGGACGCCGGAGGAAGAGAAGAGCCTCGGCAGCCCGACCCGCACCAAGAAGATCCCGACCGGCCTCATGACCAGCCTAGGCGCTATCCACGAAGATACCCACGATGAGACTTTGGAGATCCTCATGACGGACCTCGATCCAGAGAATGCCAAGCAGTTTTACGTGTCACACGCGAGTGCGGTCGCGAACGAACAGGTATCTGCGCAGGTTCAGGAAGCGCGACGGGACGCACACGAGAGCCTCGGCAACCTCAGCAACGGCACCGTCAGCTCGACCGCCGAATCGGCCGACGCGACCTTTGACGTGTTCAGCAACAGCGAGGAGTCCGACTTGGCTGGAGGGACCCACACGCCTCTCACCGATCACGTCATCACCGAGTGCCTCACCACCGAGGGCCACGCGCTCGGCACCGTCGTGTCCAACAGCTGTGGCCTCTCGAACGTGTACCCGGCGTCCATCTACCCGGATGCGCGCATCGACGCATACCTGTTCTCCCCGTGCGGATTCTCCGCCAACGGCGTTGTCCCGGCGGCGGTAGCGACATCGGCCGAGAAGCATGGCGAGTCGGGCAGCGGTAGCGAGAGCGACAGCAAGCCGGTGGCGCACTACTTCACTGTGCACGTCACGCCGGAGCCCAACTGCTCGTTCGCGTCGTTCGAGACCAACCTGCCGGGCGGGCGGCACCAGGGCCGTGAGACGGCGGACGTGATCGAGCACGTCGTGGGCATCTTCAAGCCCGGCCGGTTCAGCGTGACGCTCTTCGAGGCCAAGGGCGGGGCCGAGCGTGCCGTCGATCTGGCGCGGCGCCGCGGCGGCGACGACGACGGGCAGCGGAGCTGGGGCGAGGCGACCAAGCAGCGGGTGGAGCGCATCAAGGGCTACCGCCGGATCGACCGTATCGTACACGACTTTGAGGACTACGACCTGGTGTTCCGGTACTACGAGCGGGAGGGTTGGGCCGGGTATGGGGGAGCCAGGGTCGGAGAGGAGTTGTAGTAGTGAACAGTGCTACCTGCGTTTCCTGTTCTCGGTTGGTATTTATTGACGGTGGCTGGGACATGGGAGCCCAGATTGGAATAAGCTGCCTGCCATTGTCTAGTATACATTACCGTCACTTCCAACCGTCGTGTCTGGCTGCATACAACAAGCCAACTAATATCTCAGTCCACGTTTTCATTTCTTTTTGCCATTCTTGAGTCCATCTTCTGCAGATCGTTTGTGAACCCTTTCGCGATGCTGCTTTTGGGCGGTGGACGACATCTGTTTGCAGCGCCGGGATCGTGACTTGAGACATCACATTCCAGCAGGCTACAACGTCGACAGCAGCGACAGGCCACCCATCTCTCTGACAACCTTCCCGAGGAATGTGAAGGGTCTCAGCTGTCAACCCTTCCTGCATGGTGTCTTCTCCCCCGCCATCCGCCAGATTGCAAACTGCGTCGAGCAATGGATATGTCGGGTTCGCAATCGTCTGTCGACGATGATCCCCCCGCCACCGCGAGAGTATGTATACATGGGCCGAAGGGTCCCAGGGAGGGACGGCGGTTCTGCAAATATCTCTACCTCTACCACGCCCTCTGCTGTCCACCGGGACGGCTACCCAACCCAGAGACCCCCGATCAAGATCGAGATTCAGGTCCCGATCCAGAGCTAGAGCTCCATCTCGGTCCATAGGACAACCGACCCGCCTCTACCTTACCCCCGATTCTACAAGGCCCACAGCGAAGCACAGGCCGGACTCCGAAACCCGGCCCGCGCAATGTCGACGAGCGCATCGTCCTCGGAGAGCGGCAGCAGCAGCTCGGGCAAGGCGAACCCGCTCGCGGGCCTCGCGCACTTCGGCAGCCTGCGCGACCCGCGGCACCGGTGGCTCCCGCCGCTCCTGCTGGGCAGCCTCTGCGCACTCCTGCTCGCCGCGTGCGGCGGCATGGTGCTGTCCGGGCTGGTGTTCGGGGGCGCCGTCGAGGTCGTGGGGCCGTGTCTGGGGCAGAGCTTTGTGCTGTTTGCGGTGAGTCAACTGTCACGGAGACGACGGCAATGGTGGTGGTGCTTGTCTTGCTGACAAACTTCCGCAGTCGTTGCTCGCGTTCCCTTTCGTATATCTATACGTATGGTCGTCGAGGAAGCAGTACTCGCTCGTGCGCTCGCATGCGTTCCAGCACCCGCTGCACTCGTGGACCACCATCGTCGCCCGCATGGATCTGCTGGCCTGGTTCGCGGCCCTGATCACCGTGTGCGTCGACGTGTCGCGCGAGAAGGGCCCGATGGCGTACCTCCGCGCCGACCTCTTCGTCTGCGTCCTGGCATTGTGAGTTCTTCCGACCAATACCTTCCTACTGGTGCACCGTGTCGCTGACAATGTCCCCCCCCGGGTATACAGCCTAGCCAACCTGGCGACCCTATGCGCCGTCGAAGTGGCGTCGGACCCGTTCATCCTACCGTGCATAACACCCCTGACCACCGTCCTGAGCAGGAGCAACACCCTCGTCGCAGACAGGCTCGACGACAGCGTCTCGCGCCGCGGCTCCGCGGAGAAGCGGAGGGACATCCGCCCCGCTGTGGCGCCCATGGGACCGCGACCGCTTGAGAAGATCACACAGGGGAGTGAAAATGGCGACGCCGGGAGGGAGATGGTGCGCCGGCCGGACCAGAGCCCCCGGATGCCGGCTTCGTGGCCGGCGTCGCCGCTGCAGCAGCATGCGCAACCGCAACAACTGCAGCAACTACAGCAGCATCAGCAATACCAAGCGCAACACCAACAACAACGACAACAAGCGCAGCCCCAACTCCAGCACCAACAACACCCTCAACCACAGCATCAATCCCCGCAACTCAACCCCCCGCACCACCGCCCCCAGCAACACCAGCAAGACCAAGCCCACCACCAAACACCCCCCTACCCACACCCCCTCCCCCCAGTCCACCACCGACCAACCCCCTCAACCCCCTCAACAGACTGGCGCCACGACTGGTCCGCCCTAGCAGGCGAAGCCGGCGTCCTCGGGCGCGCCAACTCGCTCCTCTCAACGACGTCCTCGTCCCTGGCCTCGGGCCCTTCGTCGTCGCTGGCCGCCGCCGGCATGGGCTCGTACCGCGCGGCAGCGCCCCCTCCGCACCCGCCGCCGACGACGGCGCAGCCGAGCTTGCCGTATCCCCACCACCACCACCAACATGGCGGGTGGGCCGGAGGGGGAGGGGGGTATGTGCAGCAGCATCAGCAGCAGCACACGCAACCCCTCCCACCGCCGCCGCCGCCGCAGATACACCCCCGCGGCATCGTGGCGCACAACGGCCCACCGGCCCCCGCGTACGCGTACGCGTCCTCGTCGCCGCGGCGGCAGCAGCAACGCCTGCCCTCGATGCCCGAAGAGGTGGAGGAGGAGTCGGGGTCAGGATGGCGGGTCTCGCCGGGGACGGGGACGGGGTATCGGGCCGCGCTGTCGTCGGCGGCGGCGTACGGGGGGGGGTCGGCAGACGATGGGGGGTTACGCGGGGGGTGTGGGGTTGGGGCTGCGGGGGCTGCCGTCGGAGAGGGAGAGGTCGGGGGCCGGTGGTCTACTGCCGCCGGTTCCGAGGGGTGGGGAGACGGCGGGGAGGGTTAGGGTCCCCGGGGCGTATGTTGAGGATTGTAGTGACGGGTGAGGTTGGACGTGTTGAGTGGGTGTTGGGGAGGTATTCTATGTCACATATTCGCACTTGCCACGGGGGTTATCTCCCTCGTAAAATTTACCCACTTGTTTAATACACTAAGAAGCCATGAGGAGAGCTGAGGGCACCTCTGTCCCCGCTTGCGTTGATCACCCATCCATACATGCACCCTGGTCATTAAGGCAACCCGCTGTCTCACATGGACGACCCTGAGGGAGTCCCTTGATCTATTGGCTGCCTGTCGACGCCCGCGAGAGGGGATGGTCTCGCCTCGGCCATGGTGGCGTTCTGGGCCTGGGCTTTGAGATCTAGAACATGGTCGACGTACGTATCTTGGATAAGAAAAAGGGGTATTGTCGGGGACGATCTTCCTTCCATGCCACATGTGTCACATGTACGGAGTAACGATCTTGTCAAGTCACGAGCTGCGGCCGCCTTATTTTGTATTTCATCCTCCATCCTCCCTGCCAAAAATCGATGCTTCTCGTCATAGCACCGTAATTCGTGTTTTGAAACCACACATCATGCTCACATGCGCCTGCAAGAAACAGAAAAGATCGCTGTGCTGTCACGATGTAATTGGGATCATCTCCCCAACGCGGGCAGGCTTGCAGCTTGCAGGGGCTCCCCGGCTAATAAACACAGGGCTGAAGAAATGGCGACAGCGGGGGCTAGAATTGCGCAACCGCCCTCGTCGTCCCGACTCCCGATATGGCAATTCATATACTGCCCAATGAGATGCTCTGCAACAGCACACTCAGCACAGCGACAGCCGCCGTAGTGCGCAATGCTTCATTCTTTTGGGTTCTTTTCTCTTTTATTATTTTTTATAGCTGTCTGCCTGCAAGAAATAACGCCATACCCCGTGCAATGAATCAAAAAGGTATGTACAGTACACGAGGAAAATTTTCGCAAAAGAGCCCGCCGATGTGGTAATCTATGGATTGCCGAAAGAAAAGAAAAAAAGAAAAAAAGAAAAACAGGAAAAAAACCACCTATATATCCATCTGCTGGTAACCCGCATCAAGCAACTCCCCCGAGAACGACAAGGCAGGATCGAGACCAAACGAGTCGAGGTTTCCAAAATCAAACCCGTCCAGGGCGCCCTCGAACGCGTTGCTCCCCGTCGTCACGTGTGTCGCCGTGGATTCGGCCCCCGACTGCGTCACGCCGGACTGCTCCTCGGATGGCAGGGGCGGGGAGGGGCCCTGCTGCTGCTGCTGCTGCTGCTGCTGCTGTTGCAGGCTGCCGAGACCTGCGTTACCACCACCACTACCACCACCACCACCACCAGCCTGCACCGCCGCCATGCCCATCTGGTGTCGTGCTACTAGCGGGGGGTGGGACAGTGCCGGGGGTTGTGGTGTTGGCGTGGGAGTCGACGTCTCGATGCTGTTCATGATTGGATGCCCGAGAATGGGTGCCGCGTTGCCGCCCGTTCTCGGACGTATCGATTGAGAGTTATTTGAAGTGAACGGACCATCCGCAATGAGCTTCTCCAGATCGGCTTGCTGTATGGGAGGGAGGAAACAAAGAACAGTCAGTTGGTATCCCTTTACTTCTTGGTCAGTCTAACCGGGTTGAATTCACTTACGATGCTCTCTGACGCCGGGCCGGCTGTGGACTGTTTCGCGACTCGCAAACACACGGCGGCCAGCTCCTGGACGCTCTCGGCCGTCATCCCCAGCTCCATGGCGCTGTTCCGGAACCCGTGGAACAGCATCCTCGCGCACTGGTACGCGCACACCGGGAGATCCAGATCTGATATCGGTATATCGTTGCCCAGGGCTAGCACCTGGGCGAACATGTCGGCCATTGTCCTTGCGTGTTCGTAGCACTGACGACGACAATGGCTGACAAAATCGGCGTTCATCTGGTTGATCAGGCTATCTGGCAGGGCTTCTCGGAAGCCGGGAAGCCAGAGCCGATATAGGTCACAGTGGCATTGCTCCCACCAGATATGCGTCATTATATAGATGCCCAATCTCGGGGAATACGTCCGCAGTCTGAGGTTGGGTTCAGACCAGCGGAAAGAGAGCGGCAACCTCGCAGCGAATACCTCCAACTCAGCAGCCAACTCGGAACACCGTGACGGCAACCGGGAGAGGGCCTCAACCGTGGGGTTCGCAACCAGCGCCGTGGTGTACTGCTGTATCCTGCACCGGAGCCAATGGATGCGCACATGCAGTGCAAGAAATCCCATGGCGTCTGGCAGCGGTGGCAGAGACCCGTCGGGGCTCGTGGGCGGCGACCTCAGACGCTCCGTCGGTTCCGGCAGGTCGAACTCGAAGTTGCGTTCATTGCACGGCAACTGGATTTGTATCTGGTTCTCCGGCTCTGGCCACAGCGCGAACTCGACCTGTCCGCTGGCGATGCCGGTGTCGACCATATATAACGACCACATGAGCCGGCGGCGCGACTCCTGCGCGAGGAAGCAGATGGTCGGGTTCTCGTGGCTGAGTCGCAGGGCGGTCGCGAAGCGGCAAGCGATTGCGTGCAGCATGAAGGCGCCGGAGAAGCGGCGCGAGAGTATGCGGTGTTTTGTTATTATGATGAGAGCCTGGAGGCGGAGGACCGAGGGCCTCTCAAACTCGCGCATTATCAGGGCCACGGCCTCGTCGATGCATCTCGCCCCGTACTCCTTTGTGCCGGGGCCGAGGTCGGTGAAGAGCGATGTGAGGCCGATCAGGGAGAGAAGCAGCGGCCGGTCGAGAAGGCCGGCGTGGTAGCGTTCCATGAGGGAAGCCCGGTGGAGAAAGGAGAACATGGGGATGTGGTGGATGTGTCGGAAGAACTTGTCGAAGGCGCGCAAGGCGAGGGCGTCGAAGTTCTGGTCGGGACAGCCAAGCTCCAGGTTGGACCCGACGGGACTTGCGGTGCTCCGGGTGGACATGGCGCGGTCGAAGGAGGCGAGGCTGTTCGATTCGTCGGGAGTTCGGGGGTTGGCCGAGTCCCGAGCGCCCGCCGCATCTGCGGAAGTCGGTCCAATCGAGGCGGCGGCATAGGAGGCGGCAGCGGCTGTGCCGAGCGACCGCTTGCCCGGGCGGTAGACGCAGTCGAGGCCCTGGACGCGACAGCGGTCGCACTTGGGCATCTGGCCGCTGCATCTCGCCTTCTTCGCGTGGCAGCTCAGGCAGGCCTGGCGAACGCGGCGCCTGGGCACGCTGATGCTCGTGCCGCCGGGGATGTCGACGACCTCGATGGCGACATTCTCGTCGTAGGAGCAGGCGAAGCCCAGCCTCTCGCAGTTGGTGCAGATCCCCCGCCGGCCGTCGCAGCGAACTTTGCGCGCGCGACAGGTCACGCAGGTGTGGGAGGTGCGGTGCTGCGGGCGCGGAGATGCGGGCATGGGTATAGAATTGGTCGTTATGGTGAGTGACGTAGAGCACCTCCAGCCATTCAGCCGTTCAACCGCAGCACCACCTTGCCTCGGTTAGCTATCTGTCGGAGAAAGAGCATCCCAGATGGACTCTTGACACCGTCTTTCTGGCCGCCGCCGCGTCGGATCCGATCGCGCGTCTTTTTTTTTTAGAGCGTCAGTCGCTGTCGTGCTGACTTCTTATCTGGCGGCGGGGTTGGATTCGAGGAACTTGCCGGGGGTGAAAGACTTCAGCCGACGGCATCCGTAGCAAATAGCGAATTGCACCGGTGAGCATAAAGAAAGCGAAGCGGGCCAATTCAAGTAAAGCTAATTAGGTATTCAAGCCAGAGTAAATAGTATCTAGCCAAGATCAAGGCATGATTCTTGGAGTCATTCTGGCAAATATTTCAGGCTAGTTGCTGGTGTAAGCACGTGACTATTCATATGACTTGGCTGGCTCCATCCCCCAGCTTTATCCTGGTAGGCCCGCTCCGCATTTCGGCCACACCTAAATTTATCAAGGCGCTTGGTGGTTACACTCTCGGCTACGGACTTGGACTGCATGCGTATGAAACTTTACTCATCTATCCCCTTCAGGGACAAAGGACCGATATCCGTCGAGGTGGTCAACCACTCTCCTTCAGCGCAGCAATCCTCCTCAGTTTAATAAGTATCCCATGCAGGGAATTGCCCCGTCTTCCAGTTGCCATATCTACTGGGAGAAATCCCCTCGTTCTTCCCCACTCGTTCGCCCTATGGTATGGTCGCGTGGCCCAATCTCGGCTCCGAGGTATTGGTAGGAAGTGTGGGCGTATGGGCAAGAAGGGTTATAGACTTGGGTATGGGCAAGATGTGCGTGATGCAGCTCGAGGTCGGGCCTTGAGATCTCTAGCACGTTGCAGCAGATGCAAGGGGCTCAGGGGAGACCTGATCATCCCGACGGCTTCACTAACACGGGGATCCTGAAGAAGTCCTGGTTTCACGGAACCTGATCGTAGTCTTCGCCAGGTCGACTTCCTCCCTGGGCCAGCTGAAACTGTCTCGGTGGGATCTGGAACAACTTGCTCCCGTTAAAGCTGCTGAAATAGGTATATCCCGACCGAGGAGGCTAAGACCCTGGCGATTTACCATACCAGTCCATCGTCTGGGCGCAGAAGAGAAGAAAGCACAGCAGGCGAGGTCTCACATTGAAGATTTCCAAGAGCTCAATGACCCCTGAAAACGCTGACGTCGATGGACAAGATATTGATGTTGGGGTAGAAAATGTTGGATCCTGCAGCGTATTAATCCGGTGATAGCATGCCTCCACTGCTGCGTTCAAATGTCCGTTCCCGTCCCATTGTTTGCTTCTGTTGTGAATAATCTCGTCGGCAATGACTCGAACGCCTCGAGTAAGAAGATGATCCCAGGCGAATGCGCTGGAATCTTTCACCGCAGACGCAGGAGTCAAGCTTTTCCAGAGATTTCTAGTACATGGCCAGGTGGCCTGGTGAGACAGTTGCTTCTTTCCGCATGCCTTGTTTCATTTTTGCTGAGAAAACAATGACGAACCACTGATGCTATGAATGATGATTAAGGTTTACCCAGTTCCTACTGAGGGGGTGTGAGAAAAGCACGGCCCCTGAGAAATGATTCGCTTAAGGATCTACAGGGCTGAAATGGAAGGCACCGCTGGCAGGGGTTGATCGAATTGGGTGGACCACTGTGGGTCCTGTTGCCTAGACAAAATTGGATTTCGGGTCGGACCCTGCACGTGGTTTCGCGATCTCGGTCGCGGAGAGGCTTCAACAAGTCGAACTCAGGCCATCTCCCTGGCTCTTCCCCTCTCTTCATCGCTCCAAGGCATCCGAGCGGAGACCAATTGACCCATATAAGTACCTCTCTTCTCCCATATCTCGCGTCTTCTTCACCACACATAAGCATTGGTCCCAGAGGTGCGACTTACCCTCCAACTACCACCGGAAATCGCAACTCACAACTTTATCCCCTCCTTAAACCTTAAACACCTTCAGAGATGCCGCCAAAACGCGGCAAGAAAGTGGCTTCTGCGGCCCCTACAGCTCCTACGGGGCCGCCGCTGGATGGATGCCGCGTCGCTCTCAGTGGTACCTTCCCAGGCTTCTCCCAATCCGCGCTCCAGAAGCACATCACGGGCCTAGGAGGCTTGACCTCCAGCTCGATCACAAAAGATACGACCCATCTGATAACTGTCCAGGCCGATTATGACAAACCGTCCACCAAGGTTAAGGCGGCCAAGGGCCAGGGTATCCACATAGTCAGCCTGCCTTGGCTACAGGATTGTCTCAGCTCGGGCTCCAAGGAGGACGAGACGAAATACCTGTTCAACGCTCCCTCAACCTCGGCCGCTTCTGCTACGGCTGCGGTCACAACCTCGGCCGCTTCTACTGCGGCTACGGTCACAACTTCGTCGGCATCCCAAGCCCAGTCAGCACCCGCGGCATCCCAGCCCAACGGGTCGCCATCAGCCCAACCCAGGGCAAAGAGACCCCGAAAGCGAGCCGCTTCACCTTCACCCACAGCATCTGCTTTTTCTGCGGTCTCCGCCCCGCCGGCCAAAAAGAAGAAGGGTGCTGCGTCTGCCGCCAATGGTACCGACGATGCGAAGTCGGAAGCCCCCAAATCCAAGCCCGAACGTGTCCTGGGAGAGGGCCAGATAGCCAAATCCCGTGATATTCGGGTTCCTCTCGATGATGGCTGTCCCTTTGTGACCTACGGGGTCTATATCGACGACCAAGGTGTCATATATGACGCCTCTCTGAACCAGACGAACGCCTCCAACAATAACAATAAGTTCTACCGCATCCAGGTGTGTCACGCTTCCCCTCCAAGCGCTCCGTCCGCAATCTAACACTGTCTCAGCTTCTGCACGATGGCAAGGGAGCCTACCTGACATGGACCAGATGGGGAAGAGTTGGCGAACGCGGCCAGGATGCTATCCTCGGCAACGGATCTCTGGCAGATGCCATGTCGGGCTTTGAGAAGAAGTTCAAGGACAAATCGGGTCTTCCCTGGGCCCAACGCGGGGGAAACCCCAAGCCCGGGAAGTATGCATTTGTCGAGCGGAGCTACGAGGCAGACTCGGACGACGAAGAGGTGGCGAGCGCCGAGGATGGAGAAGCCCCAAAACCGAAAGAGTCCACGCTGCAACCCGCGGTCCAGGACCTGATGAAACTGATCTTCAACCAGCAGCTCTTCGCGGCTGCCATGAAGGATCTGAACTATGACGCCGAGAAGCTGCCACTCGGGAAGCTCAGCTCGGCAACCATCACCAGAGGATTCCAGACACTTAAGGATCTGTCTGCCCTCCTCGATGATGGCGCTCTGGCGACAGGCTACGGCTTGTCTGTGCCAGCCGCGATTGAACACCTCTCGAACACGTACTACTCCCTCATTCCCCACGACTTTGGCCGCAACCGGCCTCCAATCATCGCGAACCAGCTCATGGTCAAGACAGAGATAGACCTTCTGGAGAGTCTCAGCGACATGAAGGACGCGGCCAAGATCATGAAGGGGGACAAGGGCGACGAGAGCGACATCCACCACCTGGACAAGCAGTTCCAGGGCCTCGGCCTGGAGGAGATGACGCCGCTCGACCCAGCCACGGATGAGTTCAAACACCTCGTCGACTATCTCATGAACACGCGCGGCTCGACGCACCAAGCCAACTACCAGGTCGAGGCCGTCTTCCGCATCGAGCGCAACGGCGAGCACGACCGCTTCAACAAGAGCCCGTACGCCAGCATGGGCGGCAGCGACCGGCGGCTCCTGTGGCACGGGTCCCGGTGCACCAACTTTGGCGGCATCCTCAGCCAGGGCCTGCGCATCGCGCCGCCTGAAGCGCCCGTGTCCGGGTACATGTTTGGCAAGGGCATCTACCTGGCCGACATGTCGTCCAAATCGGCCAACTACTGCTGCGCGCACATGTCCCATAACAGGGCTCTGCTCCTTCTGTGCGAGGCCGAGCTCGGCGACCCCATGCAGGAGCTGACCTATGCCGCGTACGATGCCGCGGAGACGGCCAAATCCAAGGGCAGGGTCTCGACCTGGGGCAAGGGCTCCACCGGGCCGACGCAGTGGAAGGATGCCGGGTGTGTGAACTCGTCGCTCAAGGGGGTGAAGATGGTAAGTGGCCGACCCCAAACCAACAAGCCGGCGAACGTTGTCGCTCGGCTAACTTTGTGAACCTAGCCCGATACCAGTGTGAACCCTGGGGCCACTGGTGTACCCTCCGCCTCGCTCCTCTACAACGAGTACATTTGCTACGACATCGCACAGGTCCGCCTCCGGTACCTGTTCCGCGTCAAGATTTGAGGCGCGCAAGGGTGTGTCCATGTCGGCGACGCTCGACATACGGTGTAGTTCTTACAGGATATTTGCCGATATGCGCAGCTTTGTCACCCAATCCGAGATGGCTTCAGCGGCTGGCACGCAAACGGCTGGGGGAGTTCTCGGACTTGATAGCACTTTTCTTTATCTCTTCCTTTGCTGCTCGTCTGCACCGGGCGGACGAGGACTAGCAAGTCTACCGAAGTTGTTGCATTTTTTTAATCTTTACCGGCGGGGGCGTTGGAGCTAGGGGAAGTGGTGTCGCCTGTGGTTGCGTCCTTGCTTAGCTGTTCCTACTGGAACCGACACGGCGAGCGGGCGAACACACTTTCCCCAGAGAATGGTATTTATTTTGCCCCTCATTCGAGGGCTCGCTAACTCATTGCAATGCGTCCCGAGGTGCCGAGACCAGCGTGCCTCGCAAAGTAAGTCGTCGTTATCTCATGCTGGAATCTCACAAGCGCGTCGAGCAGATAGGAACGAGCACAACTCGCAAAGCCAATCTGTATATTCAGTAGGTACCTAGCCCCTCAGAGGGCACCTATCGAGAAATAAGAAATTCACCAAAACTCCTGGAGAAGACATGGGAGGCTATGACCTTGCCCTTTTCAAAAAAAGAAACCCGCCTAATAACCATAGATACCCCAGTGGACATCCATCACGCTCTCGTCATTCTTGCAGCTCATATCCCCCTCAACGCTGACCCTCCCTTTCTTCCCAAACTGACTGATCGAGTCGCGGATCAGATCCTGGATATCCTGCGTCCCAATATACCAAGCGTACGTGATACCCGCGTCGGCCGCCGTCTTGGGCCTGATCCCAAAGTAGCACGACCCAGAGTACAACAACCCCTGGAACGTCCCCGCGTCGTCACCGAACCCCCTGACGGCGTAGTATCCCGTGGCGCTGTCCGCAACGTGCGCCGCGACGGCCACGCAGTCCGAGATGAGCGGCGACCGGGTCCCCGTCTTGGGATCCCACGTCGTGGCGCCGCACATGCCGTACTTCTTGTCCCACTTGCTCATGACGAACCAGTTGACGGCGCGGCGGGGGTTGTTGACGGGTGTCGTCGTCGGCGGGGCGGAGATGCGGGGCCGCATCTCGAAGACGGACACGACGGTGCCGTTGGGGTGTTGGACGTGGTGCTCGATCACGTCTGTGGTTGCGGGCTGGTTCGCGGCGGGCAGCGCGGCAACGAGGCCGGCCCCGATGAGGAGCATGTTGATTACTCGCATGGTTGATTTTTCGGTTGCTTTCTTGGGGTTTGCTTTGGGTGTTGTAGTTATGGACTGTGGTCAATTCTCTTGAAGCTTGGGAGTGCCTGCGACATTTATATATTTGATCCCTCAACATGTCCCTTGACTCACTAAGTGTCAGTAAATATGATTGTTCAACGATCAACGAGGCTTTGCCTCCAAGTGAACAAGGACCCTTCCTTTCACACCCACAATTGGAGGTCGAGTCACCGTTAAACAAACTGCCATGGATCTAGCAAAGAGCCCCTTTCCCACTATGAATTGGTCACAATGGCTACAATACAGGATCTCTTAGTTAATGGAACTAAGGGATACCGTGCAATCAATATTGCCAGTGACTCGGCGAGAGGCGTACTAGGTCAATTTTAGTAACTCAGTGACAAGGTATTCCAGCTAGTCCTCGTGGTTTTTGAGCAACAACTGTCAGCGAATATAGGAGTCATCCATACTGCTGGCTCTGGGACATGCAGCCGCCACGCAACACAATGCATGCTTCATCGATAGGTCAACGGCATGCCTGCGGTGCAGGCTCTCCCCATAACTCTCGGTGGAGGCTGCAGGGAAGAAAACGCCTATTTTAAAAGCGTAATTCTGCCCGAAGAGTTCCCTCGGCATGGGGATTCATGCCAATGACACAGGCAAGCCTCACGGCGATGTTCGCGAGAAATCCTTCTAGTTGTCTTGCCAAAAAGGCCTGAAGGAATGTAATAGACGTGCGACAAGGTCAGGACCGCTAAGAATGGGTATCAAGTCCCCCCAAAATCGACGTATTCCGCCGATAATAAAACACCTCCCTCTCTCACTGCCCCGTATCCGATAAGCAGCTCAAGAGCGATTCCGTCATTTGAACAGCCGCCGACCCCTTGTCCGGATGCCAAACCTCTCCACTCCATTATGTTGCTGCAGGTTCCACAGCCCATGCATCCCGACACTGCCACCCTCCATAGATAGCCTGTACCGACGCATAGCCTCACGGAGATGGTCAGGCCTCAACGGACCGTATCGAATTTCGCTCTTCTCCTCCGTCAACTTGTCTTCCGGCTTATCTCCCAGTTTGTCTCCACCGGCCATCTCTGTGCCATTCGCGCCGGGTGAGTTGCGACGCGACGGCTCCGGTGTCGGTAGATCGGTCTGCTTCTCGCCCAGCTTCGCGGCCCACTCTGCCTGCACCCGCCTTGCGCCCTCGATAATATCGCCGATGAAAACCTTCGCAACCGACCGCACGCCGATTATCACCGGCTCCGTCACCGACTGGGAGACCGTAGCGTTGACGAGCTGTGTGGGGAGGTAGGGAGTTAGCACACGAATGCGGACGAACATTCCAAAACGAAAAGAACTCACCCGCTTGACAGCATTCTTCGACAAGCCCGCAGCACGCCAGTTCTCGTACCGATCAAACTGCTCCGGCGTAAACGCATTGATCAACATGCCCCTCAACCGATGCTCCTCAGCCTTCTGCTCAGCCGTCCGCTCCTGTCCCGTAGCCGCAACCTCAACAACCTCACGGTCCTCCTCCTCCTCCTCGGCCCCCGCCCCTCCCCTAGCGCTCTTAGCCCCCTTCCCAACATCGCTCGCGCCACTGACCGTCGTCAGCGCGGGCGTCTGCTCGCGCGCCTTGTCGGCCTTTGATTTGCGGCCGCGCTTCTTCTTGACGGGGCCTGCCGATGCCGCCGCCGCGGCCTGGCTCCCGCTGACGAGGCTGGCCGAGTCGATGGAGGGGGAGCGCGCGCCGTACGGGGTGCCGGGGTAGGAGGACTCGTCGGGCGGGAAGGAGGTCTGTCGGAGGGGGTGGCTCGAGGCCGAGGTGGCGGACATGGCCGAGGGCTTGCGCCGCTTCAGCGCCGGGGAGGCGCCGCCCTCCGAGGTGCGCTTCTTGTTCGTCATGATGTTGACGTTGAGGGGTGGGAGTTGGGTGTGCGATGGGTAGGGCGGGGAGCGGGCGTTTGAGGAGTAGGATGAGTATGGAGGAGACGACATTTTCGGTGAGGGTTATTGAGGGAGAGGCGGACTTCACTCAATACCGGGTATTTGATTCTGAGAGCAAAGGAAGGAAGTAAGGAAGGCGCAGGTATTCCCTGTCGTGAATTTCGGAATCGCGACTGCACTATGATAATGTGAGGGTTACGTGATCGAAGTTGAGTGTTTCTTGGCGGCCGAGCCTCAGAAATCAGCCACAGCGTCCGTGCGTAAGCCCAAGCCTCAATTCAGGGCGGGCGCGCACGTGGCGCGGCACGGTGGGGATGATACTCAGATACTAACCAACCACGAGTTGTATTCGTCAATCTTGATTTTTCACTGTAGTAGGACTTGGGACATGAAGTTGCTGAGACTTCTTTCATTTACCTAGACGTTCTCCCACCACTAGCCTCATCCAAATAATATTTATATAATATGGTAGCACTTGCTGTTCGTAACTTGGGTACATACATAGGTTAGGTGGTTGACGTCAGCCCGCGATAAGATAAGCCAATCCTGAAATTTTCGAGCCCGTGACTCCGACACTGGCCGTCAAGGCCCTCTCTCCCTGCATAAAATGTGAAAATCCCTCCCGTTCCGCCAGCCCGCCGCACCAACTCTGCGGCAACCAGCATCAGGCACCCGAGCTTCGAAATGGTTCAATTCGAAAATGCGGGCTCGGAAAGCACCTCCAGCGGCGCCTCGGCCGAGGGCGACTCCAAACGGAGACGCTCGGGCCCGGACGGCAAGGAGCGCAAGAAGAAGCGCAAGTCCGGCGGCAGCGACAAGCGGAACGGCACCCTCCCGAAGCGCCGGCGGCCCAGCATGAGCAAGCCTGCGCGGGACCTGCGTGACGAGCCCCCGCCCACGCCGGGCGCGGCGACCCCCGAGGAGGAAGGCGGGGGGGGGAAGAAGGCCGGCGGCGGCGGCGGCGGCAAGGTGACGCGGTCGCCGAGCCCCGTCGTCGACTTTGACGGCCTGAGCAGGCCGAGCGCGGGCACGCGCGAGCGGCTCGACGAGACGCCCGAGCAGGCGGCGGTGCGGCTGCAGCGGATGAGCGGGGCGGTCCGGACGATTCTCGAGTGCGTCGGCGAGGACCCGGACCGCGAGGGCCTCCTCGCGACACCCGAGCGGTACGCAAAGGCCATGCTGTTCTTCACCAAGGGGTACCAGCAGAACGTGCGCGATATCGTCAACGGGGCCATCTTCCACGAGGGCCATAACGAGATGGTGATCGTGAAGGACATTGACATATTCAGCCTGTGTGAACACCACTTGGTCCCCTTCAATGGCAAGGTATGTGCTTTGCTTCTCTGCTGCATCAATCCCCTTGTTGTCTACAGTAGACTTCGTCAGTGCAGAATGCTGACTCTCTCCACAGATGCACATCGGCTATATCCCCGCCAATGCCGTAATCGGGATCTCGAAACTGCCCCGCATCGCCGAGATGTTCAGCCGAAGACTGCAGATCCAGGAGCGGCTCACCAGGGAGGTCGCTAACGCCATCATGGAGGTCCTCAAGCCGCAGGGCGTGGCCGTCGTCATGGAGTCGAGCCACCTCTGCATGGTCATGAGGGGCGTTGAGAAGACGAGCAGCACAACCATCACGAGCTGCGTGCTCGGCTGTTTCGAACGCAAGGAGAAGACGAGGAATGAGTTTCTCAGCCTCGTCGGCGTCAACCGCCGATGAGGGAGGCAGCGACAGCGCCTGGCTGATTATTGCTTGGTTGCTTACTTTTCTTTTTACTTATTGATGGGCCGATCCGGATTGGGGGCAAGACGAGGGATCTAGAGCCGAGAAGCATCATGCTTACATATGATCCGGTCTGCATCATTCGGCGTCGAATCTGGCATCTGGGTCATGGACTTCAACATCTGGCGCATGTTTGCGAATTTTGGCGTTATTGTTGGCTCAACACCCGCATAGTACCGGTATTGGTGGAGATCTGCTCTTTTATAGGACCTCTGGTTGAACGTGGTTGAATCACCTACGTGACCATGCGTATATCGCTACGCACTTCTCCTCGTCCCTTCTCTGGAAAATGTCCCGGAACTCTTAGCCCCAACCCCTATGCACCCATCCAAGCAACTACTCTTACACACCTCGGGCATACCTGACATCCTCGGCTGCATCTCGCATCTCGGATTTCCCACCTCACATCACCCTCCTAACCACTCTTCCAACCTCGCCCCTCTCCACAGCCTCCACCCTCGGCCTCACAACCTTCCACACCTCCTCCGCCACCTCCTCCACCGACGCGCTCGCATCCACAACATGCAAATCCTCCTCCTCCTGCCTAAACCTGACCTCCGCGCCCACCGGCGTCTCCGCCGTCGCAGCCCCGACAGCAACGGGCTCCCCACCTCCTCCGCGCCGCGCCCCCTCCGCCCCGGGTACCGAAGCCGAGGTCCCGATCCCGCCCAAGCTGAGCCCCCAGAACAGCTCGCGGACGCGGCGCTGCGTCTCTTCCCTCTCGTACGCCTCGGCGCCCCAGCCGCCGCGGGCGCGGGCGCGGCCCTCGTCGAGGTCCAGGAAGAGCACCAGGTCCGGGCGCGGGAGCCCCACCTCGGGGCCGCGCGCCCACGCGAGGCCCAGGTCCGGGTTGCGCTTCGCCGCCGAGTAGACGATGCCGCTGTGGTAGTAGCGGTCGCAGATCACTGTGGTGCCGGCTGCGAGGAGGGCGGTGATGGTTTTTCTGGGGGGGGGGGAGGGGTGGGGGGTTAGTGGTGCCGCGGTGGGGGGGTTGGGTTGGGGGTTGCTCCTTACGCTGCCTCCCATCGATTCGCGCTGAAGAGTAGGTGGATGACGTGGTCGTCCATCTCGACTTGGCTCTTGAGGTAGCCGTCAATCATCTGCCCGATTGGTGTTGTCCTGTCTGCGTCGATTGTCAGCCGAGAACAGTTCTGAACCTCTTGCAAGACCAAGCCAGGCCGGTTGTCTCCGCAAGATGCCTGGGATCTGGCATTGACTCCCCCCGTCATCAAGTAGACCACCTTCCGAACCGCACAAATGCCATTTCACTCCCAGATACCAAAACCCGATCATCGTAGAGCCAGACTTCCAATCCCTAAACCCCAAAATCCAAAGCCTCGCGCAGCACACAGTAGCCCCAACAAGGTCCCAATCCGAACCAAAAACCAAGACCAAACCAAGCAAATCCATCGACCTACCCGGGAACCTCATAACCTTAACCCTCCTCCCCAGCTCCACGAACCGCTGCTCCAGCAGCTTAACCTGGGTAGTCTTCCCGCTCCGATCCAGGCCCTCGAGCACGACCAGCGCGCCCCTGACGACGGCCGGGTCCGCCGCCGCCGGGGCGTCGGTCGGGGCGGCCGGGGTTGGTGGTGGCTGCTGCTGCTGCTGGTCCGCCGCTGGCGGCGAGAGGGCCGAGACCGCCGTGGCGGCCGTGGCGAGATCGTTGATCGATGCCATTGGTCGGAAGGTGGGGGTGTGAAAGGGGAAAGGGGAAGGACCGGGGGGAAGAGTGGGGGAGAGTGAAAGGAATTGGAAGTGGTGGGGACAGATAATTATACTAGAAAAGCACTGTTCGGGTTGTGTATATCTTGGGGATGCGGGTTGAGTTGACTGACAGCTTGGTGGGGTTACTGCCGCGATAGCTCCTGAGTGGGATGATTATCACGTGACTAAGCAGAGCTTTGAGAAGGTCCATGGCATCGGGTTGTTCTGTCTAGGACTGGGCTCATTCGTACTGACTGGTATTTTTACCATATTGTGGAGGACTTGCTTCAGCCATGAGGCAGGTAGGTGCACATATCGTGACCTGGCGGTTATGTCTAACCTAAGGCGGCAGGCCTAGCAGCAACGGCCAGTCAAGTTTTGAAACCAAGCAACACTCTATTGCATTTCTCAAGAAAAAGACACATACAAAAACGATACGTAGCAAACCATGGCTTGAACACGTCGAAACATTACACATGGCACCCATAGGAAACAAAAACAAACAGCCATCGAGTGATCCCCGGTCCACCCATTTCCCAAACGCCCACCAACAGCAGCCCCTTTTCCCAAACCCCCAGGGTATTAAGACCAAAGTATAAGACGAAGGATACGGAAGAGAGGGAGTAAAGAAAATCCCAAAGGATCATTGCTCCTCCTGGCCCGTGCTGCCCGTTTCTGGACATGGCGTGGCACTCCTTGCCGGCGCTTCCGCCTCGTCTTTTGCGCTGCCGCTCTCCCACAGCTCGAAGCTATCACCAGTCCCCTCCATGGGTTCCAACAGCGCCGCCTTGGCAGCCGGCTCTTCTTCGCCCATCAGCGCGTTGACGCTCATGTCCGGACTGAGCTTCACTTCAGTGGCAAAGTCGAAGGCATCGGGGGCCTGTGGTGGTGCCACTTCCTCGGCACTGGGCAGCACAGGGGCCGCTTGCACCTCGGCCTCGGCCTCAGCGCCCTCGTCTCCGACTATGATGACCAAGCTTGCGCTGTCGCAGCCCTCGGGGTAGTAGTCTGTAGGGTCCATCTCGACCAAGGGCCCACGCGCCTTCTCAATGGCCATCTGGTCACTATCCACAGCAGCAGCAGCCGCCCGTCGGGAAGCAGTAGTCTGGCTCACGTCGTCGGCGGGCGGGATGTTCTCTTTGTCGCGTCCCTCGGCTCGCTCGCGGCTCGCCTTGATCTCACTCTCCTCGTCGCTGCTGATGTCGAGAGTGCAGGTACCGTGCTGCAGCAGGTTGGTCATCTCCTGCTCGGGCGTGTCCTCGTGGATGTCGAAGAACCACGAGGACTTCACCTCAGGCTCGTGCAGCGAGGCGAAGCCGTCAGACCTGGAAGCCGACGACGCCGAGCCGCCCGAGTAACTGGGGATGGTGCCCTTCAGCGCCGCATCCAATGAGAACGGGGCGGCTGAGCCAAGGCCAAATGACGGAGGGTCCACCCGGCTGAAGGGTCCCCCAGTGCGGCGGCGGTTAGCCAAGATGCCAACACGCTTGGAGCCGCGAGTGGGAGACCGGCCCGCGGGAGCGGACAAGGGAGTGGACTTGGCGAGAGATGTGTTGAGTTTTGCCGCGGGCGACTTGGGCTGGAGGAACGAACGGGGTCGGGGGGTGGTGCTGGACGCGACGGGTTTGGTAGGACTGAGGACATCCTTGGGGAAGCTGGGCATAGAAGTGGCTTTAGTCAGGACGAAGGAGGATGCCTTGAGGTTTTCCTTGATCGGGAAGCCATCAGCAGCAGCACCCTTAGAACGCTTAGAGAAGACGGCTGGGTCGACATTTTCGAAGTCGTCTGCGTCAAGGACGTCGGCAGCTTTTCTTTTCACGGGAGTGTTCGAAGAGAGGGCTGGGCGAAAGGTTAGCAGAAGCCTCGAGATGCAGGCAGTGGAGTGTCAATCTTGTGTGTCACAGCATTTATATGTACGTGTGTACAGACACAGGTTGGAAAATGGGTCTTGTATCAAAGGGTGGCCAGAGCTGGGTGCTAATATGCCTCAGGAAGGAGGATGCAACAACGAGTGTGCGAATGTGGGGACGGGGAGCTTGGGACAGAATGGTGCCTTCTGGGGTGCTCGGTTTTTGGGTAGAGCAAACATACCATTCTGTCTGTTCTTCAGGCTCGTCAGGTTCTTCAGCCGAGCCCCATCGAGGGGAGCAAATGGCTGTCGGAGGATGGTCGCCATGGCGGAGCACTCGTAGCAATTGCTGGTGAAATTGTAGAATAGAAAGAGCCACGGGAATCAATTGCAATCAAATTGCTACCACAGCCCAAAGCCCTCCTGCGAGAGAATACGGTGCAGCGGATAGCAAATAGGGGGGACGATCCGCAGTGTGCAGACGTGTTTATTTGTTTTCCTTCCCCACGATTGCTTCAGGCGTCGAGAGACCAAGAAACTGGAGAATGGAAGCGGGAGGAGAGAAGCAGGTGGCGAGAGAGAGCGGGGTGGGAGGGAGGTGCACTATAAGGCTCCTATGGCACGAGGTGGTCTGCTGGTAGGTCGGGTTACTTGGGGGGGGTCACCCTCGACGCGGCCCGCTAGACGTGTAACTTTTTTTATGCGGTATGGTCTCTGGACTCGGGAGAAGCAGGATTTCGAGGCAGCGATCGTGAGACGTCGAGGCAGAAAAGAGCTGCAGGATGCTAGAGGTTGGTAGGGGAAGAGAAGGAAAAGGAGAGGAAATGCGCCCTGGCAAATTATTAGTCCAGAGGGGAAAGGGTGCTGGCCAAGGAGAGGTCGAGGAACAAAGGGAGGAAGACGCAGATCGGACAGCTGAGTTGGATGGAGTGGCGCCCAGACGCTCAGGCCTCTGACGGTAGCGAGAAGAGAGAGCTGCGAGGTGCTGTACGGATACGCGTGGGAGGTTCCTGCCAATGAAGGGAGAAGACTGCTGCAAGCGGCCGAGCGTGACGCCCTATCCAGTCAGATCAGTCAAATCAGGATGCCCGCGAAGCAAGTGCATGAAAGACAGTGAAAAGGGCACTGCCTCGAATATGCATGTTGGAATCCGGGAAAGCGCTGCAATCGCAGATCGTGGCTGCTACTGGCTGGAGGGGTTGCGTGGAACACGGGTGTTCCGTGTGCTAATCAATTTGGCGCCAATCAACGCGTCGGTGCCACGCCCCGCCCGAACGGGACCCCCTTTATTAGAACAGAACGCCCTGGTACCTGATCTCACCGTGTATCCGTTAGGTCTAACGAAAGTACCTCCCATTTTCCACCGCGTCTTGACACGCCCCAACGGCACACGGACCCCGCTTTTCCTCCCTGTTTCCACACGAAATCCTGCCGCCGTGGAATGGTCAATTCTTGTGGACATCAGGTAGCTGGAGAAAGAGCTACGTAACTTTGGGTAGGTAGGTACCTTGATAATCATGGTTGTCTCAAATGCAAAGTAAGATCGGCAGCTGCCAAAAACCGTGTCGTAGCCAGAGGAGAGCAAGGGGCATTCGCCCCGTTGCCCGCTTGTCTTTTGGATTCGATGGCGAGGAGGTCGCGTTTTATGCGGCCTCTTTCCAAACTTGAGGCCTCACACACAATGCACCACGTCGTCATCCATGCTGGGCTTTCCCATTGGCAATTGATGGCTTGTACCAAAACCTAAAGGCGCTTAGCTGAAATGTTGCAATACTCGCGGCTCAGCCGACGTCATAAAGGTTCCTTTACCATTCTGTGGTACTGCCGCTCCAGCTCCACAGTAGGAAAAAAGAATTCGGCCGAAGGGGGCCGCGGGAGTCCGAGTACCGGCCCCGCAAGTGGGGCCGATGTTCCCGGATGAGGACCCGGGCCATCAACATTGGATCACAGAAGCCGGCAGGTCAAGTTACAGTTCTTCTTGGGTTCCTTCAAAGGAAGGGAGCGCACTTGCCTACCTTATCTACCCGGATTTTCTGAGCTTCGTCTGCTTCCTTCGGTACCTAGGTGTAGATACTGTACCTTGGGCAGTTTTCGTTGCTCCTCGTCCTGTCGAGGTTCGGATTGTAATCACTTTCTGCGGGACTTGCTGCTTATCCCTCAGGATAGCATAGCCGGACTTTCTACTATCAGGGTTGAAGCGACTATAGCTAGCATTTAAGATACCTAGGTACCTGAGATAGGTACAGTTCTGAAGTACCTTAGGGGGGTCAAGGAAAAATAACCATCCATATTTTCCTCACCTCTACCTCTACCTCTGTCCCTGCCTCCACTTTTACTTCTCTCTCTGCCTCCATTCCCATCTCTGGGGGCCGTTATTCTAATCACTCGTACTCGTAACTCGTCTTCCCAACTTGAAGCTCACAAATATCAATCTCCGACAAGGACGAGAAGGACAAGATGGAGGAGGTCACAGGCTTTATCAACTACGACAATCTCTCGACGCTCTTTAAACTGGGCACCCTTGTCTTCATCGACGAGATGGACCAGCCGAGACTGTTCAAGCTACTCTCCTACGCTTATATTCCCGAAAATAACCCCGACCCTTGTCTTCGGCTCGACGGGGAATATGTCGACTATAACGGCGTTAACTTTGGGAGGCGATTGGTGCACTTCCGCATCCCCAAGTTCGTCGGCGACCTCGCAATTTCTGGCCTCACCGCTTTGCCCCTCCACCTTCACCCTGACCCAGAAGGTATCACTAAGCGTCTCCTTGAGCGTGGGCGTCGCTGGGAGTCCCACGCAGGCCGCAAGTTTTGCGAGTACAGGGGCATTGGCATCGACGCTGACGGCTCGCGGTCTAGCATTGACGGCCGCGTCATGGTCGACGCACATACATTCTTCCGCATCAATGCAGACACGGCATTTGTCGTTTGTCCTACTTTCCTCACGCCACTGACAGATGAGCAACTCCTCCTTGCCCCTCCAACAGTCCATGGTTTCTCCTTCAACACGAAGGGGTTCCTAGAACTACATGTCGACAACCTGTCTCCCATTGACTGGAACACTGGGTGCTTTGATCGACTTGTCTTGCCGAACCACCAGAAGGAGCTAGTGCAAGCCCTCGTGGCTGAGCACGCACAGCTCTCGGACCAGGAACATGAATTCAAGGACATCGTCAAGGGCAAAGGTCAAGGTCTAATCCTCCTCCTGCACGGCCCATCCGGGGTAGGCAAAACGCTCACGGCGGAGTGCATCGCCGAGTTCTCGCAGCGGCCGCTATACACCGTATCGCCGTGGGAGCTCGGCACGACGCCCGCAGAACTAGACAAGCGGCTCTCGTGGACGCTCGATATCGCCGAAACGTGGAACGCGGTGCTACTCATCGACGACGCCGACGTCTTCCTGGAGCACCGCCTCCCGCACGACACGGAACACGCCAGCCTCGTGTCCGTCTTCCTGCGCGCCCTCGAGCACTATAGTGGCGTCCTCTTCATGACGACCAACGGCCCCGTCAGTACCTTTGATGGAGCCTTTAAGAGCTGCATCCACGTCCCCCTCCGATACGGGAACCCGTTCGTTGCCAGTCGCTTGAAGATGTGGAAGAACTTCTTGGATGGCGTGCGCGGCGTCGACGTCGACGTGGACGAGCAGGGCTTCCGAAGGCTGGCAGCCAAGCCGCTCAACGGGCGACAGATCAGGAACGTGGCGCGCACGGCGACGAGCCTGGCCGCGTTCAGGAAGCGCAAGCTGGACTTGAAACAACTGGAGCAGGTCGTGGATATCCAGCTAGCGTTTGTGGAGGAATTCGACGCCGAGTTTGGTGAAGATGCTGACATGGGTTTTGAAGGTTGAAGTGAACTAGAGAAGAAATGGATGGGAGGGACGAGAGATTTCGAAGTTGTCACTATGGAACATCTTTTTTTCTCTTCCGGACTGCTCCTCCAAGGCGTCTTCTTTCACGGATACAAGCTATAAATGGTGGTTCAGCTTTCTATCACGTAAATTCATCCAGAGAGAGCTCTTTCCCGCTACATTCGTTCCCTCCGCCCCCTTTCCACGTGTACCTAAGGTGTGAAATGACAAGCTAGCTGCTGAATATTCCCCATAGCAGACGCCCGTCGCTTGGCACCGTCTAGATCCAACTTCCCTGTTCCCTCGCATCTTCTTTTGTGTCAGTATTCTTCGATCTCATGTCCAGTCTATTTTAGGCCACCAAATATCAAACGGCGGTGGGCGTCAAGAATCATTCTCACCATGGCGAATCCCGACTCATCGTCACGCTCGATGGCCGCTACGAGTGGCGTACTCGCAGAATTTAGCTTGTTTGGGTCTCATTCTTCTTGGAGGGAGGACATGGTGGGAGAGTGGATGCGGCGGCCGAGGACCTTTTGGAGCAAGGCTCGTTGCTTTGATAAACAGCCCGACGAGTAATTATTCCCTAGACCTTAACCAAGATGACCCCACGGATACTTGTCCTGGAAGAGCAACGCGTATCTTACATTTATGCACGTCTACATCAATTCATAGATGGAGTGCGATGGCATCAGAAAGAGACACTGACTAATTACGATGATAGAAGAAAAGAACAGTACAATAAACCATTTCAACCTGTTTCAATCTTAAACCCCAAGCACGGTATTAACCATAGAAACACATCGGCGGGGACAATACGAGCGCTAAGATTACTTGAAGAAGCGTAGCTACGATGATTTGCCACGTTACTCAATGCCATGAGCGCTGCCCGCCAGTAGCACTTGAAGCAGTTCACGACTGGTGCGCGCTCTGCGAGCGGTATGTGACGCTCTTAGGCGCATAAGTCTCTTTCCCAAGACCGAGGTAGAAGCTGAGATTTGCCGAATGTAGCATCATATACACCTCAAAGTCAAGGCACCAATAAGATCGGTTATTCGCTCGGCGGGTAGGTCTCCAATTGGGGATGCGGTCGAGATCGATCTCAAGAGTTAGGAGCGGCTGGGCCGAAGCTGAAATTGTGTCAACGAGTGCTAGAGATATGACACTAGTGGTAGTGTTTCGAGTCGGAGAGGACATACAAACACTCCGGAACCCAGGATGCTCCGGGAATTCAGGTGGTTCCGGTGAACCAGAAGAGTACACCTCGCAGCTGAGCGTTTTAGGGCGTGGTACGCCTGGTAATGCCTCCTTTTCAAAGGAGTAGCTGAATGGCTCAGCCCGATTATCTGGATATTTCTCGCCCTTCCGAGATCTGTTAGACAGCCCGGGAGCTAAGAGTCGGACTTTCATAGGTTGACATACCATCTTGGCGAACCACTCAAATCTGTCGATTGTGTCAGGCCGGCCGTCGGAGCCTTTGTTCCTAAGAGGCAGATTCAAGTATTAGGAATAGCGCCCTTGTGATAAGGGGAGATTTAAGCGTGCATGGATGACGCGTTGGTTGAGTCTACGAAGTGACTCACCTTCTTTTATAACCTCTCCGGTGAATCGTATTGGTATCATCATATTCCTCGTTGACCAAGATACCGTAATGCTTCGGTGCTGGTCTACCGACAACCCGTGGATAGATCCGCCCATTGTCTACATCATCCGGCTGCGTGCTTCCATTGTCCTGGTGGCGTGGAGGTCGCCTCCGGTGTTCTAGCTGTCCACGCTCAGTCAGTCTGGCTATTAGAGCCCCCTGAACGATTGCTACCCGGCTAGGCAAGTGTTAGCTCCCGGGGAGATCTTGTCTCTTGGCTCTCGCAAGACCGACCTGTTTTCAATTCTGCGAACCCCGATCCTGCCTCCCACGGCGATTTCGATCCGACTCTTTAAGTAGTCGTTTTCGCCAAAACCGCCGGCAAGAAGTACCTCCTTGACGTTTCCGGTGTCATTCACCTTCTGGACCACTAGATCCGTGATCCTCGAAATGACCTTATCAAAGACCTCGCGTCGCAACTCCTCGGCAGTAATTGAGAGTCTGTTGTTTCTGATTCCAGAATCTGTGCTATCCCCGAATCCGAAAGCGTCGATGTTATAGTTGCGATCTTCGCCGGTGAAGGTAGGCTTAATCCGCTTCTCGAAGTTTTCGTTAACCGCGGACTTGAACCAGCGTTGTTGCCATTCCTCCAAGGCCTCGTAGTTCAGACCAATCTTCTTCTCAAGGTACGCTTCGAAGATCCTGTTGAGCAGACTGGATCCACAGACTCCGCCAGACGGAGTCGAGACTCGGTCCAGGTCAATGTATTCGCCCCAATTGGTCACGCGGTAGGACGAGAGATCGACAGTCCTAGACAGCGTCGGCCAGGCATCAGTTGAATTGTTCCTAAACTCATCAATAATCTCAGGACCTGAGCACACTCACCCGCCGCCCGCGTCGCAAATGACAAACGTGTCCCCTTCCTTCATTCCAAGCTTTGGCATTGAGGTGAGAGCATAGATGCCAGCTGCTTCCGGTTCTGCGATAATCTGGATTTCGTCAACCTTGTTAGGGTCGCCCAAAAATGCTTCGGCGGCGTAGGCCCTCGTGGCGTCTTGTGCCTCCTCGCTCCACATGGCCGGCACAGTGATGATGTATTCCCTTGGGAGCTCGTAGAACTTGTTGTTATTGTACGGGATGAGGTGCCTCTCCGTGGCCTCCTTCACTTTCTTCAGGTAGTCAACCACGAGTTGCCTACACCTCTTTCCCCTGACCGGAGGCAGAGCTGTCTTGCTGGGGAAATCTCGCAGAAGGCTGGACTCAGTGGCTCGTTGATCTTCGACCTCAGGGCAGAGTCCTAGTTTGAACCACTCGTGGATTTTAGTGTCCGGCTCCAGATCTTGTAGCTCCCAGCCCCACTTGACCCCATCATTTGCATATTGCAAGATGCTGAGCCGCGGTTAGATATGGCCTACCTCCAGTCAAGGGACTCTCAATAACCATGAAAGCCCCAGACTGCCAGGTTGGTGACTTACGTGGGTACCTTCTGCCCAGTCAATCCTCTCCCCCAGTCGGTTATGAGGTGCTGGTTCTGTGGCTGAAGGCATAATCATGTTCAGCACGCGTGTATCCAGCATCGACTTGAGGTACCATCAAACGTACCTCATTCGTGTTGGCCCAGGCCACAGCAGAGAAGGTTGTCCCTAGGCATAACATGATGTTAGGCAAATTCCAGGTATGTGAGGAAGTCCGCATTCTGACCGAAGTCCACTGCAATCAAGTTCTTTGAGCCGCCCAATACAGGCCCACTAGGTCCACCCCGGCTTCTCGTGTCGGTACGTGTCGCCATTGTCGACCACGATGAGCTTGACAGTTGCATGCACCAGTGGTCCTTGAGCTCTGAGCTTGTCAGTGCTGTACCGTTCGTATGGGACAAGCCGCGGGCTAGAAGTTGAGATCGGGTAAAATATGTTACGCGGGAAGAATAAACTATGTTTCGGCTGCAGAAGATTCATTCGAACGAGGGGCGCATTCAGTTCAAAAATGGTCTGAACTGGATCAGGCTGAGCCCGGAGCCTGGAGCCTAGGGGCTAGCGGCCGGCCCGGCACTCGCAAGGCACGACGGAAGGCTCTCTAAGCAGGCTGCACTTGGTGAAAATCCCGCACCTCCTCGAGATTCCGGCGTATCAGAAACCAGAAGTCATTTGCCGTGTTTATCGTGCAGGTAAATGGGTGTCGAGAGCAACGAATGGGGTCGAGAATGCAACGCCTCTTGGACGCAATGATGGTGACACCACACAATTGCGAGATTTTCTGGGCTGATGGGGGGATGGCCCAACGCATGCAGGAGAGGGGATGTCGGCTATGGGGTCGACACGTCACATCAGGCAGCTTCGCGAGTCGGGCCCAGCTCTGAGTGGTACAGCATTAGTAGAACGCAACCGGCAAGAGATTTCACTTCAACGCTGCAAAGCACATCAAGGGGCAAGAAGTAAACTCCGCTTGGGCGTCGTAAAACCCTCCTTAGTCAATGCAGTGAGACTGTAAACCCAATTCGCTATTGCAACAGTGGATTTTAGCTGAGGCTTTCACTCCCTTGGCGGCACTTTGGAATTGTTCCTTCAACAAACCCGAGTGGTTTCATTAGGTATGGACAGAAGCCGCTCACTGTTACAAGGACCAGCATCCGGCCCAGTTTGCTAACGATCTATATTGTAGGAAAGTGCCTCGGCAGCGTCAAACCTTTCTCGCTTCGCTTGCAGATCCATACGCCCCTCTGTTAGTCCCAATCGACTCCAAGATGGCGTTGCAGTTGCCAGAGGATTGGCCTTTAGATGCTCAAGAGAGAGTCCAAGACCTCATTCAAGAAAATAACAGGCTCGTGGCTAGAGTCATGACGCTGGAGCATCAAGGCAGCCAAATCACGGATATCGAACTACGCGATAGGTTTGGTAAGCTATACAATGCCATCTTCGAATGGGTTCGAGACGTCCAAAAAGATCTCGAGGAAGAGGGATGGGATTTCGAAGGCTTCCGAGAAAAGCTTCAGGGAGTTCCCGACGAACTGGTGGAACTCCTCAGGAGCACGGAGCATCCTCCCGGTCTCGACTCAGATCGACTCTTTGGATGGGCACAGTGGCTGGCGAGGCAGAGCACTAGCATCTCCGTCGTACTCACCCTCGTTATCTGGCGTTTTATAGAGAAGAGAATCTTCGATTTGCAGATTCCCTTCGGCTTGGACCTCCCTCCCGAAGCTGGCAAAGTACTCAGTGCCATCATGGAAAACATGCAGACTGATGAGGGCGAGTGTAAGTGAACTGGATTGGCTATTATTGGTGCCCGGGCTCTTTCAAATACACAAGTAACTCGCTAACCTCTCCTTATGGCCAACAAAGCATCTGCGTATACATGGAGATCGGATACGATGACGGCTTTGCTGCACACGAATATGACTCGGGACCGTACGGTGCAGCGTACTAGGGAATTACTAGAGGCTCTGCCGGATGAGTGGCCTCTCGCCGACATCAGCAACCAGCTTTCCCGGGCTCATCTTAGCGGCCTCGAAAAGGATGTCATTGGGGAGGCAGTCAAACTCCAACAGAACATGCATTGCACGACGTCTAAATACGTCCAAGATTACCCGGAGATATTATGGGGGGCTCCTCTAGATGAGGGAGAGTCACGCAAGTGGAATCTTCGAAGCATTACCCAATGGATCCCAGTCGAGCGGCACCGCGGCATCAAAGGGACTTTCCAGTGCCTCTTTCCAGCCATATTCAGGTCGAGGAGCGGCGGAGAGGATCGTGTCCTTGTGGTCAAACCCGTAGTTTTGGTGTTTGATGAGATCGGACGCAACAGTACGACAGCACCACTACCAAATGTCCAACGGCGGGAGCGAAGCCAGTCGCCGGCACCACCACCACCACCACCGCGCCACGCCGTTTCGCACATCCCTTCACACGGGGCCAGCAACCACGATGGAGCGAGGGAGCGCAACTCTCGAGCCGGTAAAAGGAACACGGCTGAGCCGGCGGAGCGTGAGAAGTTGTCCAGAGACGCAGGCAGGGCACGTACTTGGCCTAAACAACCATCAGCCAAGCACCGAAGCAGGCGGAGATCGACGCAGGATTCTGTCCCTCTAGTCACCGAGAGTCAATCCCGCAGCTCTTCGGCTCGGAGCAGCTTTTCGGAGTCGAGCAACGGAGATAAACACTTATCTCGGCACAAGATAAAGCAACAGCAGACAACCACGCATGACTCTCGTGCCGATGCGGGGCGAAAACCAGCCGGGCACAAGGCAAGTCTACGGCAGGCGACTCCCGGAGCTGAGACGGACGCGGAGGAGAGGAGCGACGATGACAACTCAACCACTCCTCGACAAACTACCGAGCAATTACACAGGAAGGAGGAATCAAGTCGGCAGGCTAGCGACGACGTTGGCTCACACAGTGAAGCGCCTCAGTCACGCGTGGTACACATGGAGTCCACGCAATTCCCTTATTATCTCGAGAGTAATTGGAGAACGGACACCGACTATGGGCAGCTCCCTGAGTAAGACTATGATCACGGGCATAGGTGAGGATAAGACATCAACAGACAAATGGCAATAAACTTCAATTGATACTGTGTGTCGGTCGGAACGCATGCGGTGTCCATCTCGCGATGACACCTTTCTTCAAACTGAAAGAAATGAGCGGAACGCCGTTCGGGACGGGTTTTGAGAGCTCAGTAACTCTATCTCCGATGTCGCGGAAAGATTCGTGGAGGCACATCCTCTGCGGATCGAGGCGAGCTTTCGCGTGTATTTCCTCCAGGCGGTGATAACGGACGCGACGTGGTCGTGGTACTGCCCCAGCCACGCCTTGTGGCCGCGGTGCGGAGCCACCAGAGCAGAAGCACGAGGCTCGTCCCGAGGAAAGCTCCGAGAACGATGAGTGCTTTCTGCGCAGAGTCTAAACCGCCGCCGCCACCGCCGCCGCCGCTGCCGCCGCCGCCGCCGCTGTTGCTGTCGTCAGACGAAAGGCTGGTGGGCTGCGGCGCGTCGGCGCTAGGGACCGGCCTCCAGTTGCTCGTGATGGTCCCCAGCAGGATTGTGGTGAGTTCTGCGTACGAGTTCCGCGTGATAGTGAGGGTGACGTAGTAAGGGACTCCATTCTGGGACGCTCGTTGTGCGGGAGCCGCGGCATCAACAACAGTTGGGATCGTGGGTGGGTGCAGGCGAGGCTGCGGCTGATGGGTAGAAGTGGGTATGGGGGGAAGGCTTTCGGTGAGGATCGTCGGAAAGGCGAGCACGGGCATCGTCTAATGAAAACGCAGAATACAGTGCTATTGGTACGATCGAGGAAAGTTGCAGCGAGAGGAAGTGAGGATTTGATCCTCAGCCAGAAGGAAGCTCCGAAGATCCTGCCTCTCTCTGCCCCAGCTGCCAATGCATTGGCCGAAGACGTGGCCGAAGACGCTGTTGAATGTCATCATAGGCCGTCTGCGAGGGTTGGCCGGTACAAACGTACGACATGCGCACCTCGCAGGTGCTGTCGTGTCCCGGTCCACACCTCCACTTGGCAGCCTCCCTGGCATGCCTTCCCATCGATTATACTATGGAATGGATGGAATTAGTTCGGGTCGGGATAGGCTACATAGGTGGTATTACCCCAGGCTGCGACCTGCGCGGGCACCACCTAACACCGCACTCGTGGTGACACACAGCTAGGATGCTGGGTCAGGTTGTTGGCTGCCAGCGCAGTCGAGCGAACGACATGGTGGCAAGCAGCTGAAAAAACCCAATGCAACAGACACCCATCGGGAGCGGAAAACGCATCAGCCGGCAAATTAGACCCCTAAAACACTAATTAGCTTGCAGCTTGTGGTGTTGTCGGCGGCCTCCCTGCAGAACGGCGCAGTAGCGCCTAGTAGCAGAAGGGAAAGAAGGCTGCGGGGAAGCAGGCTGAGAGGGCGAGGAAGCAGGCTGCGAGGGCGAGGAAGCAGGCTGCGCAGAAGATGGCGAGCAAAAGAGGGAGGGTGACCACGGAGGCTGAAAATCCTAGGCGTTTCTAGGCCCCGGGAGCCACTGCTCCAGGAGTTTCTCTTTTCATCGGTGCCAGGGCCTCTCACGTCATTTCAAGGGAGGGCATACATCCACACCTACGTGACTTGCACTAGTATAACCCTAACCCTGTTTCAAATCCGAGGCAGTTACAGCTGGGAGAATTTACTGCGACAAATTACCACTAAAGTTCACTAATTTTCAGGATATAAGGATCTATATACTACTACTAAAACCAACTACCATTCAGCGCATAAGAATTCTACTGCTATTTAAATACTAGGAGAATAAAGATTGCTATGCCAAAGTAGGTTGCCATTGCTATTGCTATTGCTATTGGTTATCAATAGCAATAGCAACAATAACAGCAATAGCAGATAGTAACATTAATGGCGATAGTAATGGCAGCGATAATGCTGGCGATAGTCATGGCAATAGCAGCAACAGCGACAGTGATCGTGACGCTGGCGACAGCGCTAGCGACAGTAGCAGCAACAGTGACAGTGATAGTAATGCGAGCGACAGCACTGGCGACAGTAGCAGCAACAGCGACAGCGACAGTGACTGCCGGCGACAGCGCCGGCGACAGCGCAGCGACAGACAATGTTGGCAACAGTGACAGTCCGGCTGCTCTGACATAATTTTTGGCAGGCTGATGCCAGTTGCCGAGTCACGTGGGGACGCGATCAGGACGAGGACGCGGAGGTTGAGATTTGCTTGTTGAGTGCAACGCCGCTGTGATATCCGATGTACCGCTGTTCACCACGGAATGGCGATTGTAGGAAGCGGAACGGTCGAAAGTGAAGTGAAAATGAGAAGATGACTGCGCCGAGCAAGGGTGGATGACTAGAGCCCTCCGACATTTGACCTCACTCTCCAGTCACCTAAAGCGCTAAATTATCAGCCCGTAAGCATCCCTGACGATCTCCCTCGGCCCCACCCGGGCCGCTGGCCGGGTAGCTGCGTAGCTCAGCCTCTCCCGCGAGATGGCGGGATAATCTTACCAAGAGCGATAAAGCTGCATGTTTCCTCTTTAATAATTCTGCGGAGGAGGCGCAGCTGTCTGTAAGGGGGGTGGCGTGTTTAGAAATACCACCCTCTAAATATTCTAGTCCAATGATTTCCCCCACGGCGTAATTCTACGCCGCCTTATGGGGGGCTCACACGGCTGAAGCGACATGCTGATAGGACGGAGATCTTGCCATTTTGGGGGTTATCCGTACTTCGCCTGGGGTCAATGCAGTTAGTCAAGTTGTTGTGTGGGTTATTATTAGACAACATCTGCTGATGGAGGTAGGTACTTAGGCCTACGTCGCCCAAGTCTCACATCCAACTCCGTCTCATGTGTCCGCCCTCACCGATCATCACCTAAAAGGTCTTGGGGAGAGCGACAGAACCGGGCCATATCCCAGCCACAAATCCAACCCGCCAGATACTCAAGCCCAGATCCGATCAGATCGTAAAATAGCCACAATGGGCGACGGAAACAAGACCGCCGTGGCGACCACCACCGAGGTGCCGCCTCCCGCCTACCAGCCGCCGCCTCCCACCGTCACGGATGCGCCGCCGACCCCTCGGGGCCAGCCCGAGATTCAGCACTACGCATCGCCGCCGGCCGAAGTCTACGGCTCGCAGCCCGGTGCGATGCCCCCGCAGATGCAAATGGCCGCCATGTCCATGTCTTCCTCGTCGTCGCCCGCGGGACAGCACATACAGATGATGCCCATGGGCCCAGGGCAGCAGCAGCAAGCCTTTGTTGCCGGCAACTTCCACCCACAGCAACAGCAGCAGTACCAGCAATACCCACAGCAGCAGCAGCAGCAGCAGTACCAGCACCACCAGCAGCAACAACAACCGTGGATGGTGGGCACCCAGCAGGGCATGGGGCCTTACGGTCCGAGACAACACCAACAGTTCCAGACAATGCAGTCGCCATCCCCCTACGTGATGTCCATGCCATATAACCAGCAACAGCCCCAGATCATCGTGGTCGGGGGCGGCCAGCCGGTGCAGCAGCAGGAGCCGAAGACGATGGTGATAAACAATAATAACAACAACAATAATAGCCAGATGATGCAACAGCAGCAGCAGCACCACCGAAACGACGATCTTTGTGCCGGGGCGTGTTGTGGGGCTTGTTTGGCTTGTGCATGCTGCACGATTATGTGAAGAGTAGGTGAAAGAGGAGGTGGGACAGTTACGAAAGCCAGTGGTGAGAGGTTCATTGGGATGAAAGGAGTTGGGGCGTTTAAAGTCACGTACGATTCGAACCTAATTTAGGATATCCAAGACACTGTTTTAGGGCAACAGACGTGTCGTAATCTCATATAATATTCCCAGTACAAATGGAACACACACCGCCTTATTTTCAAGTTCCAGCCTCTAAGGATAGACCGATAGAGGGCAGGCAGTATCTCTATTTATATAGCGATATGTTGACGAGTGCCCAGTCCTGGAATTCCGATTGCCTACCCACCGCACTTTCTCAACTCGCGTTGTGAGCTGGCATAGATTTGCGTTGCGCTTTGTGGAGTAAAGGATCCCCTCTTGCCAACCTGGGCCTACTCCTCCACCCTTCCTCCCCATCATCTTCACGTCAACCTAATATCAGAACTCAGCGCCCAAGCCGGTCCAACGGGTCATCTCCTGGCAAAATAAACCCGAGTGACAGTCTGCCAAAATGGAGTCTAAACTGTGCCGCAAGCTCGTCAAAGGGTGAGTGAAGAGTGGAGCAGAACCATCTGAGATCCTCCTTAACCATATCCCACCTCCAGGTTGCTCTCCACGCGCGACTACTCGGGCTGCACCATCGTTTGCGGCAGCGACCAACACCTGGTGCACAAAGCCATAATCTGCCCCCAGTCACCCTTCTTCAAGGCCGCCTTCGCGCATGATATGAAGGTAATGAGATCCTCCCCCGCCAGGAACATTGCCATCAGAAATTCGGCCAGTTGCTAAAACCAGGTGTTTAGGAAAACGCCACAGGCACTGTTAACCTCGAGGAAGACGACCCCGAGGTCGTGAAAACGATGGTTTACTACTTTTACCATAACGACTATCAGGCCCCTCCGCGCAACAGTGGTTGTGAGAGCAACAACAACTCCATAGGCACCGTCCAGCCCCCTGGGCCCAACCTCCTCCACCACTCTCGAGTCTACGCCCTCGCCGAGAAATACGGCATCCCATCGCTCAAAGTCCTGGCGGTCAAGAAGTTCACGGACGAAACCAATCACTGGCGGAAGCACGAAGACTTCGCCAAGGCCGCGCGAGAAATCTACACCGCCACGCCCGACCATGACCGTGGCATGAGGGATGCCGTGGTGGATACGATCAGGGTGTACCGCGACCTGCTGGATGATGATGACATCGAGTCGGTTCTAAGGGACACACGGCTTGCGTATGACCTAGTCATAGACCTTCGTGACGACCCAGAGTACTGACCAACCATGGCAAGCAGCAGGATTGCGCTTAGAGGGAGCGAATCGTATGCCACAGCTGCAATGCACCGTTCAGAGACCCCTTGCAGCATGTCTTCTCTGCAGCTGGCTTGATGAGGGTGGACTGGTAGTCAAATATCAAACAGCATAAATTCTATCAAAAGCCAACTTTCCCCCAAAGTCTAAAGATGTTCGTAAACATCATGAGCAACCGCTGAAAAATACCAATCATACCACACCACTCCCTCTGCAAACCCCGACATCACCACTTGATCTTCTTCTGTGGGAAGAACTCGTCAATCAACTCGAGGTAATACGGCTGATTCTGCTTGTCAGCAATCGTGCTACTAATAATAATGCTCCATCCCGCAAGGATTGCAATAAACTCACCTTCAGCTCCTCCACGCTGGGCACATCATCGCTCTTACTGTACAAGTCGTACGGGTTGAACGCCCGCACAGCCTTGAGCATGTCCCAATCCCTCTCCTCCATGAGCGCCGTGTACGCACCCCCAGAGTGCCAGGAGTAGAAGGAGTGGTACCTGATCATGGCGAGGGCCTCTGGCGGCAGCGTCGACTGGTCGCGGACAACGCGGTACAGGTACTCGTCGTGGCCCCACGACATCATGACATTGTCGAGCCCGCACCCGGGCGAGTAGACGCCAAGCTCGGACGAGTAGGCCGGGTCGGCCGAGTCCGGGTTGGCGGCGAAGGCTTCCGGGTAGATGTTGCGCTCGTCGAAGCGGCACCCGACGGGGAAGGTGTCGCCCACCACGTCCCACTGGCCCTGCGCGCCGTCGAAGAAGAGCATCAGCTTGCCCAGGTCGTGGATCAGCCCCGTCAGCTGCATCCAGCGCGGCTTTCCGTCGCGCCGGATCGCCTCGGCGCTCTGCAGCAGGTGCTGGATCTGGCCGAGCGACGTGTCCGGGTCCGACTCGTCGATCAGCGTGTCCAACTTCTCCATCGCCTCCCATACTGTCAGCTCGGGCCGCACCCGCGCCGCGCTGTGGAACCGGTTGCGCGCCGCGAGGTTGTACGCCACGGTCTGCTTCGCGTGCTGCTCGCGGTAGAAGTCCCGCACCCGGTCCTGCGCCGCCTCGTATTGCCGGAACTGGCTCTTGTCTTTGGCTGCGTCAAACTGCGACTCTGCGTCGTACTCGGCATCGAGCTCCGCTTTCCTCTGGCTGGCCTGGGCTTTCAGGACATTGACCTCGTCAACGGCATCCGAAATTGCCTCGAGAGCGCGGCCATCGGGCTCGTCCAGGCCATAGATGGCAGAGGGTGCCATGGCAGGTTAGGATAAGAAAGGGTTGAAGGAAGGAGGTGGTGTGCGAGAGCTGTGAGAACTTGGAAGATTGTTCGATTATTGCTCAGGAGAAAGCTTGAAAGTCGGGCTGTTCTGGATCAAGGACAACGAAGAGGCAAGAAGATAAATAAATTCACCAGAGGAAGGTGCAAAGGGAGGCTGTGAGCTGGGCCCATTTTTAAAAATCCTTCGCCATGGCTCATGATCAACAAAGACTCTGACGATTTGCTAGAGCGCTGTTGTGTTATCAAACGGTTTCCACTCTTCTGCAAGTTTTAGACACACTTCATCATCGTCAAGTGTTGTGCCTGGGGTTTCTGCGTTGGGATCGACTCGGCGAACTTTGCCATGTTCGGGCCGTATCCAGAAGTAGTAAATTTCTCCTGCGGGCTCCCAAGGCGGGAAGCCCACCAGCTGTCGGGAAAATTTTCCTCTTCCAGAAAAGGGAACTACCCCTGGACGCTAAAAACAAGCTTAGCTGGGTCTCGGCCAGAGTCGACCTCGTCTCGTCCCACAGGAATGCATCTCACGTCTATACATATTTTTTCTCTCTCATAACAAATCGGGAAATGATAGACGGTTACCTCTCCGATGGATCTTGCGTCATTTTAAAAGTATTGATGATCTGATGCTGTACAGCTTCCGTCGGCCGCGCATGGTATTTCTCCGTCAGCCTGAGGATGTCGAGCATTGCCTCCTGATCCTGTCGTTTGTGGAAGTGGTCCCCGACTTTCGATTATTAGCGAATTAGCTGCGGGGCATTGCTAAACGGGGTAGGGCAGGGAAGGCGGAACAGGTGACCGACTCACATGCAGCGATGGCCATGCAGGCCGTGAACATACTCGGCGGCGTCCACTGGTTGCCGAGCCCAATGCCGCAGATGCGCCTGACTAGTTGCTGAATGCGTTGCTGCGATTCCCCGTCTGGTCAGCCGCCGCCGTGATTCCCCCCTGTCGGGAACAAAGAAAAGGTTGCTTACTGTTATTTGACTCTCGGCTGCCTTTCTTTGACCGCCAATTCGAGGCACCTTGGGGTCGAAGCGGGCGAGGAACAGCTCTGCTAGGAGATGGTGCTGGATCCCTATGACTGCAGCATCATCGTAAGGGTCGGTTAACACATGACCCTGGGGGATCCCATAGGCACTCGCACAGATCCCGAGAACTTACCGTGGCAGCTACTATGGTACCAGAACTCGGGAAACGCATCCTCAGTGCCCTCTTTCTGGTAAATGGGCACGAACGAGGCTGGGACTGTTTCATGCCATTTTTTGTTCCAGCTGTCCAGTTCGGCCCACCTGGCCGCTGCTGGCCGGGCGTCTGTTTCGAAGCAAAAGTTCAGGACGTCTGCACAGTGGACAACAGCCCGGTTGGCCCATGCGTAGTCGTCGGCCGGCCTGAGCGAGCGGTCAACCAGGGAGTGCACGAGCTTGATCCTGACGGGCTCGTGGTTCATGACGGCACTGTAGATCTCCTGGCGGAGTCCGACCCAAAAGGAGGCCGCGCTCAGAGTACCCGGGACAAGGCACCGATCACCCGCTTTGACGAAGGCGTGGATACCGAGGAGGTAGCCGTGGTTGTCCATCCCCATATTCTTGACTAGGTAGGTGGTCTGAGGTCAATAATTGCCGAAAAGAAGTCCGGCTCTGGCGGGGGGGCTTGACTCCTCACCTTCCATCTCCTCCAAGACCCGCAGGATGATGGTTGCCGCGAAGAGATTCTCGTCCGACACCGTTGCTGCATGGCTTAGCATGGGGATGAGGTACTTGAGGCACTCTTGGTGATATCGGTTGGACGCTAGTGGATCATAGTTGCTGATATGGCTCATATGCCTGGCTGACAGGGCGAGGATTGCATTCAACAGGATTGGGCAGGTTCCGGCACGCTGCGGGACGATGGTCTCAAACGATTGGCCGGGGTCGCACAAATCGAGCTTGACGCCTTTTATCAGCTACTTTGGCGCAAATTGGCAAGGCCGCTCGGATTGTCTTACCCATATCGCCAATTTCTGAACAAAGTGCCTGAAGAGCTCGGCCTCGGAAGGGTCTGTCAATGGCCATACGGGTTTGGTGATGTAGATGTGTGGGCGCAGGCCGGCCAGACTGCCACCCTGCTCCGGACCGTGGGAAAACCTGCGATCAGGGGCTCCACCGTCTTCGTGAAGGATGAAACGATCCGATGGAGACCCCGGAAAAAGTGCGGAGTCAGTGACCTGAGACGGGTCACGAGCGTCGGACTCGTCAGACGTCGTGTTTTGACAGTCTAAGACCAGTTCCTCGTCATACCCTCCGCCTTCCCGATTTTGGGCATCTCTGGCGACTGACTTCGATATGTCGACGAAAACCACTGAGCCCTGTCAGCACTGACAAGGATTCAGAGGAATATTGAAGCCCGCAGAAATGCAAAGCAATCCCGTGAAGCGAGCAAGGAGAGCCAAACATACGTCTCTTTGGAGTCTTGATCCATTTCTGCTTCTTGGAGAATGGCTCTGTTGACCCTTTCGTCAGTGACTTCCCCTATCGTAGCCGCAGAGGGTGGCACACTATTGATCACACGAATCTTGATGCCAGCCCACAGACAACTGCGGTGCGCGGCATGACAGCGACCGCAAGTTGGTGTGACTTTATCGCCTGCGCAAGGTTAGCTGAGGATATTTCTCCCCTGGCGGCCAAAGTGGCAGTAGGTGATTGCTCACACTTGACGTGCTGCTCACGACAATTCTCGCTACAGGAACGTCAGCCGACTGCGCTCTGCAACATCCACGCCGGTCAGAATTACGCTTACCAGCCAGTCGCGGCAATGTTCGGCGCCTGTACCGAGGTCCGTTCCCCGGGCTGCGGCATTGATCCGTTTCCAGTCAAATCTGGGACCGCGCAGACGAATGGATGGGTGTTATGTCCAAGACGCAGACATTTTGGGAAATTTGTGGCGATTGCTCCACAGCCGGCCAGTAGCCTGACTTGGGGTAGGACAGTCGGGAGGCGATCAAGGGGTGAAATTTGCAAGAACAAGGTCGACTGACGAGAAACAACCGACGGGATTGTACACAAAAGGTACGTAACAAGGTACGCAACCTGCAGATGCGCCCTGAACTCCGACTGAACTTAAAAAGGTCCTCCGGGGTAGATACAACCGAGACTCCGCCCCCACGATGGCAGATGCGCTTGAACCTGGCTAAGGAAGATAGCACACCCACTGGCCTGGTGAGGATACACACCACTGCAGGTCTTTGCAGAAAACGGTTGTGTGGGAGGGAAAAAAGCCGGATTTGACTGGTCGGCCAGGCCGAGCGGATCAGCACCAAGTGCGGGGAAGTGCCGAGGAAACGGCCGGGGCGAAAGCCTTTTTTTCGCAAGATGAGTCCGGCCCACAGGCAACTCCACCTTCCTCATCCATCATGTCGTGCCATTGGAGAAATCACGGGATGGCCTCCGTTAAGATGGGGACGCTACCGGGGTCCGGGGACCAGTATAATTCTTCCTTTCTTGATTTTCGATTTTCTCTCCCCGACGATTTCCATGGCTTTTAAGACTTGGACCCTCAACCTACCTACACAGTGATTAGCCTTCCCATGAAGCTGTCGCGATCCGCTTTTCTGAACCTCGAACAACAAAACTGATCTGCGGTAGTGGCAGGACAACGGCAGCAACAGTCTCGGAAAGGCCCCCAGCCATGGCGTCGGCGGGCGATGATGTGCCCACCACAGGGGGCGAGGTTCCCAGACCTCTCGTCGGGGACGAGAAGATGAGGGACCAGGACCAGGACCAGATCAACCAGGCCAAGGTCATGGACCAACTCATCCACGATGCCCGGACGGCCACAGAGAAGGAGGGCAAGATGTCCCTCCTCCAGGGCGTCAAGTTGTACCCCAAGGCCATTGCGTGGAGCGTCTTGATCTCGACCACCATCGTCATGGAGGGCTATGACGTGGCCCTGATCAACAATTTCTGTAAGTGGGATTTACCGTCTGGTTCCTGCGGGGAATGGAGGTGTTGACGTGACACGGAAAGACGGCTTCCCCCAGTTCAACAAAAAGTACGGCGAGCAGTTGCCGAACGGCGAATATCAGGTTCCTGCGGCGTGGCAGGCTGGAGTGAGCAATGTAAGACGGCCTCCTTCCCCCTAGATGCCTATTGGATTCAACTCACACTGGCCTGATGCTCGTAGGGAGCCAATGTCGGAGAAATCATCGGCCTCCTGATCAACGGCTGGGTATCTGAGCGGTTTGGCTATCGTTGCACGGTAATTGGCTGTTTGTTCCTCATCATTGCCTGGACTGCCATCTTCTTCACAGCACAGAACGTAGTGGCCTTGCTGGTGGCCGAGATCCTGTGCGGAATTGTAAGTCGCCTTAGAACTTGTGAAGCCATGGCTATGACTTCCTGCTAACGCGCGTGCCCAATTTAAAGCCATGGGGTGTGTTCCAGACGCTCTGCATCACGTACGCCTCCGAGGTCTGCCCCGTCGCCATGCGCGGTTACCTGACGACCTACGTCAATTTCTGCTGGGGTCTCGGGCAGGAGATTGCCATCGGCGTCATCATGTCCATGCTGAAGCGCGAGAATGAGTGGGCCTACCGGATCCCCTACGCGTTGCAGTGGATGTGGCCGGTGCCGCTCATCATCGGCATCTATTTTGCCCCCGAATCGCCCTGGTGGCTGGTCAGGAGGGGGAAGCTTGACGAGGCGAAGAAGTCGCTGCTGCGGTTGACAAGTCTCAATCGCGAGTCCGATTTTGATGCCGACGAGACGTTGGCCATGATGGTCCACACGACCGCGCTCGAGGAGCGCACGACTTCGGGAGCAACGTATCTTGACTGCTTCAAGGGCCATGATCTCCGCAGGACTGAGGTAAGTCTCCCGCGGGACCGACCAACTCTCATTCTTGTCTTCTTAACTCACCTCTCCAGATTGTGTGCATGGTGTGGGCCATCCAGAACCTCAGCGGCAACTCCTTCTCCAACTATTCGACATACTTCCTCCAGCAGGCCGGGCTGGACCCCAACAGCGCCTACGGCTTTGCGCTCGGGCAGTACGGCATGAATATGGTCGGAGTTTTCGGTGCATGGTTCCTCATGTCTCGCGGGATCGGGCGGAGGACGCTCTACCTCTACGGGCTGTGCGGGCTATGTATCATGCTCTTCATCCTCGGCTTCCTCGGTCTCGTCCCGGCAGACCACAGGAAAGAATCCTCGATCGCCACGGGCAGCATCATGCTGGGCTGGGCATTGACCTATCAGCTGACCGTTGGCACCGTCTGCTACTCTCTCGTCAGCGAGATATCGACGCGCCGCCTGCAGATCAAGACTGTCGTGCTGGGCCGAGTGCTCTAGTAAGTCCTAACCAACAACCCCTTATTCACCTGGGATGGGAACGAGTCTGACAAGCGTGTAGCATCATGGTAGGTATCGTCTGCGGCGTCCTCACGCCGTACATGCTGAATCCCGGCGCATGGGACTGGGGAAACTTTGCCGGCTTCTTTTGGGTAAGTAGGACTCCATCTCGCAGACTCCCCGTTGCCCCAGTTGCACGGGGTCGCCCAGACCGCTTCTGACTTTGATCCCAGGCTGGAATATGCTTCCTCTGCATCATCTACACGTACTTCCGCGTCCCCGAACCAACGGGCCGCTCCTTCGCCGAGCTCGACATGCTCTTCGAGAAGGGCGTGAGTGCCAGGAAATTTTCCAAGACCTCTGTGGACGTGTTCGGCACCACGGATGTCGGTGGCGGCGTGCTGGATCGGTACGTGAAGACGGAGAAGACCGTGATAGCGTAGGCTAGGCGGGCCGCACCGACTGGTCGATAATTAAGAGGGGGCATAGCGATGAATTAACCAACGAGCATACAAACACTTTAAGAGGGTCCTCTACTCTCTGGCCAGAACAACACAGGAAAGGCCTGATATTGGTGGTGCATAATGATGTAATGTTAGCGGGAGGTGACGGACGAGCCATTTCGGCCAAGGAATCCTGGATCAAAGCGTCATTCCCACCTGCCAGCAAGTTTGCCAGGTGTCGCCCGGAGAGGTTCCACCTTTCACATGATGCAATCGCCCACCCACCATTTAATGTACAAAAAGTCAGGAACGAATATTGAGTTAAAGCTCGCAGAGCAAGCAGGTCCTAGGTTAATGACCGAATCGGACGACCAATTCATACGCTCTTCCTTCAGCCACGTCAGCGTCGGCATACCAGCTCCCCTCATTCCAATTTCCCATCAGCCGCGGTCCCCGCACTGCCGTGGCACCAAACACCGCAAACCAGGTCACCCCACCTTTATTTTGTTCCTCTCAGCGCCCACCTCGAAACCCAGTTTCTTCCCTCGCCCGAAACCCAATTGTCCTGTCACCAGCGCCAGATCAGCCCCGTAACAACTTTCGCAACAGCATCCACTATGAACGACAGCAGGTCTCCGCGCTCTGCGCCGGGCCCGGACACCAACCGTCCCAGAGGTAAGCACCGAATGCTGAAACGGCGATGCGGAATCCCGACCGGAGCACCGCAAGATATGCGCCGGCCCCAGAAATCCATCCCGAACGAACCACCTGGCTAATCGAGTATCGCCCCTCCCCCCCAAAGCAGGCATCCTCAAGAACCCCACCTCCCCAACCCACGCCCACCACCCCGCCGCCACCGTCACGCTCGCCTCGCCGCCTCACCACCCCTCCCCGCCCTCCCGGCAGGCCTCCACGTCCTCGGACCCCAACCACCCCGCAGCAGGCAGGGAGGCGATCAAGGAGATCACCATGGCCAACACGCAATACAACGCCGGCCACCGGCGCTCCTCCTCCTCGGGCGGGGCCCGGCGCCCGAGCCGCACGCCATCGGCCGCGGGCGGCGACGAGGGCGGCAGCCCGCGCCTCAAGTGGGACGAGGCGAACCTGTACCTGACGGAGCAGGAGCGCACCGCGACGATGAAGATCACGGAGCCCAAGACGCCGTACGCGCGGCACTACGACCCGGCCGCGGACCCGAGCGACGACGACGAGGACATGGACGGCGGCGGGCTAGGGGGTGCGGACCTGGACCGGATCGACGGCGTCGCGGGGCCGGGGGGCAGGAGGAAGCGGGCTTCGTCGGGGCTGGGGGCCGCTGAGGATGATATACCGGGTCTGATGCTGGGGGAGCCGGAGGCGGCGGTCCCGGAGGAGGCGGAGGCCGGGGCGGGGGCGGTGAGGCGGTCGAGGTCTGTGCACGTGGATAACGGGGTCGATGGCGTCGGCGGGGTCGGCGGCGGCGGTGCGGGCCTGCATGATGCGGACGAGCTGGCGGGGCTGAGTCCCGAGGAGAGGGAGAAGCATCGCCGGTTCGAGGAGCTGCGGAAGAAGCACTACGAGATGAAGAATGTGGCCAAGTTCCTTGGGCACTCGGAGGAGCTGGTGGATGATGAGATGGACGAGGATGATGACGACAATGATGGAGATGAGCAGCCGTCTGTGCCTGCGCTGCCGGGGCGGGTTAACGGCTCGTCGTGAAAGGAGGAGGAGGAGTCATTTGTTATGTGTATATGGGCGTTTCTGGTCACGTTTATGGTGAATGGAAGGCATTAGGTGTGGATGGCAGTGGCTCGGGGTGCGAGGGTTGTGGATCGCATCGCCAGTTGGATGACCTCGACGACGGTTTCATCGGTGGAGTTATGGGCATTTGACAAAGGAGTGGTAAGGCGTCTATCTGATGACGGAATATCTGTTGCCTGTCCGTGTTGGAATCACCTCTGGCTAGTTTCTGCTTTCATTCGCCCTCCGCGGCGGGACAGTTTTGGTCTCTTGTATTGCACTATATAGCACTCGACCTCGAGGTTGAAACAACCCAGCCGGATCTCTGAGCCCACCCTACCGGGGGCCATTCTGGAGATACTCTATAGCAAAGATCCGAATAGATAGGCTTCCCAAGACACACCCAGTCGTGACTTCGTTTCCTTCATCCCTTCATTGCCCGACAGCTCGGCGCATGCCCCCATACCCGCGCTCACAAGAGTCCCTTCCTGGCCAGCTCGACTTTCCTGGCAGCCTCCCCGGCCTTGAACCCGCCCTTGGACACGCATATTCGCTGTCCATCAGCCAACTCGAACTTGTCTTCGCGTTCGGCCCACGGACAAGGGCAGTGGTGGGGGAAGTCGACGCAAGCTGTTCGAGACACATTCAGTTAGATGCTGCTTGCTGAGTGCCTAGGGTAGAGAGGGGGTCAAATTGGGTGTCCTTACCAAGAGTGTCAGGGCAGAGGTATTTGGGGCATCGTGCTCGCTCGTAGTTTGCACGATAGAAAGACGCATCGCTGGGAACATTCTGGGCTGGCTGTTGGTGTTGCTGTTGCTGTCCCCCGAACATTTGCTCAAAGAAGCCGAATTGGGCGTGGACTGAGCCCGCGAGGGCGCACAGCAGGAGCGAGATAGACGAAAAGAAGCGCATGATAATGTGTATATATCTAGGTCCGCTGAGTTGTTCTGGATTTGTTCAGACTCGGGGAGAGCTCAATGCGATTGTTTGAATGGCCAAGTTGACATCTTGTCCCACAGCTACCGTGGCTTATCGTTATCGCGGGTTATCGGGGGGCTGACTAAGCCGAAAACCTGGAGCTTCGACATCCATCCGACAACCGAAAACAAGCTCAGCGCTGCGAGCATTGATTTCATTCTCCCAATTCGACCTCGAAAGCCACGACGGGAGTCATTGCGCGGCCCAATGCGACTCACACAGCTACAGCGACCGCTGCAGGCGGCTGCTGCAAGCGGATTCAGGCCGGGCCTGGCCTTCACGCCTACCTGCCTCTCCCAGCTCTTCGGCCAGCTGCGACTCGATGGGGGCAGCCAGGTTGAGGGAAGACGATATGCGTCCGTCAAGTCCCAGGGAGCATACAAATTGAAGTGGAAGAGGACGATTCCAAAGAAGATGGGAGCGAAGAGGACGGGTGGTATGTTCAATCTCGCCCCAGGACGCACAATCCCAGCATGACATTACATTTGATGATTTGCCTCCCCCTACATACCATACACACCCTTCCCTTGACCAGAGGCTCTTCTTGAGGTGCCATAGTCCACATATTCCAAACGGCCACTTCTGACATGCAAATCAAATCACAGATCAGTTCGTCATCCCGGGCAACATAATCTACAAGCAGCGCGGCACACTCTGGCACGCAGGCGAGAACACGATCATCAGCCGCAACCACACGATCCACGCGGCGGTGTCGGGCTACGTCAAGTACTACCGCGACCCGGCGCACCACCCGACGCGGCAGTACATTGGCGTGACCTTCAACCGGGAGGACAAGCTGCCGTACCCGCCCAACGCCGTCCGCCGGCGCCGGCTCAACCTCGTGGCCAGCCCGCGCAAGCCCGAGCCCGAGGCCCGCGACGTCACGGGCCCCAGCGGCATCCCCCTGTGGGTCGTGCGGCGCGAGGGCCAGACTTTGGCGGAGGCGGAGGCGGAGCTGCTGCAGGCGACGGGGGCAGACGGGGCCGAGCAGGGCCAGCAACCGCAACAGCAGCAACTCGCGCAGGAGGCGACCAAGGCCCGGCGGTCCAAGAAGTCGCTCGCCAAGCAGCGGGCGGCGCGGCTGACGGAGCTGCGGGCGCAGCGGCGACGGGTGCAGCGCGAGACGCGGGTGCTGCACCTGCAGAACGACTACAGCTACCGCGAGCACAACTGGGAGATCGGTCGGCTGATCGGCCCCGCGGGGCGGGTTCCTGGCACGGGCAAGGTCGTGGCTCGCAAGGCGGCGCTGCGGGCCCGCAGGAGGAGGCGCGACGCCGAGTTCAGGAAGCTCAAGGCCTCGGCGGCGGCGCGCAAGGTCAGGAGGGACGCCCATATGGAGAAGGTCGCTGCGAAGAAGGCTCTCAGGGCTGCTGCTGAGGCTGGCGAGGCTGTTGAGGCTGCCAAGGGTGCTGCCAAGGGAAAGGGCCAGGGCCAGGGCAAGAAGAAGGCGTAGGGGGGAGAGAAGGGGTTGGAATGGAATGTGTAAAATATGGAATGTAAGGTACCTAGAGATGGGTGTGTGTACTCTGCGTTAAATATCTAGAATTACCACATTTTGAAGCTGTGAAGACCAAGGTCGGGATGTATGTAGGTGCCTCTATAATCTACAGTATAGCTACAAATTTGTTCCAATATGCATGTTTTCCATCAACTGATGCCTACGTCCCATTGACACCATCTTTTCGAAACCTACGTTTGTTTGCTGTTTGTCTTTTTCGGAGTTTGATGCTGTCGGTTGCCGTTGGTCGGTGTTGGTGGCTGTTGGTGAATAGAGAGGCCTGTGCAAGCCCGTAGTTCCACTTGAACACCCCTGTCAGAGGCTGAAGCCACTAATTTAGCGCCGTTCTAAGAGCCTCAGCCAGCTTGCTGAGCTCCCCGCAGCCTGTACTGTACATCCAGCTCGTCGCATCCAATCTTTGAGTAAAAGTTTGCGAGGGTGAATTACCCATTCGCAGGCTTCACAAGGCTTCATTTTGCTCTTTGACACGTTGTGCACCCCTTATACAAGCCTCGCGACTAGGCAGACACAGGCTGTAGAGCCTGAGGCGCGGGGCTTTGAATCGCGATGGCTCACAACAACAATGGCATGTCGACACCGCCTAGGGCCCCACCATACCGGTCAAGCTCTGCCTTGCCGAGCTCTAGCCATAAATCGTTGCAGAGAGCGCGCGAGGCCCGCGATATTGCAAATGACCTGAGGGAAGGGCCATTATCAGGCCACACCATGCCACCACCAGGCCTTAACTCACCATCACCGGGCCTTAGCATGCCGCAGTCACGGTCCGGGCAACAAGCCACCCCCAGGCTTCTATCGGCTCAAGCCTCGGTCCGCAGTGCTCAGAGGGTGTGGGATGATGTTCGGCCTCGGTCCTCATCTTCCCATCGAACGGGATCCCGTTCTTTCTGGACGGCAATCAACGGTCGTGACTCAGCCTCGCATCGTCACACCCCCTCGGTTGGCTCCCGTTCGAGCTCTTCTCAGCCTGCCACATTGCGACAGGGCCAGGACCTCGACAAAGCAAGCTTGGATGGCCAAGTCGCCCCCCCGACAAGTAGGTATTCTAGCTTTGGTTTCACTGTATACCCAGCACTAACGAGTCGCCTAGATGGACGCCATGGGAGTCAACCGACATTCGGCCCCATCGATTCCAAGAAACGACCAGTGGGCTCCTCCCTCTTCCGACCTTCAAAGCGGCAACGGCAGAATGCGGGTCGACGTGCGGCCTTGGCTACTGGCCTAGGAACTAGTTCCCCAGGAAAGTCTCCATCCGATCATGGGGTGATGGCACCCATCCGACAGCTCAGTAAGGCGAGCATGCCGCAAGCCTCAACGGCGACGAGGGACGATCTGCTGTCCTCCGGTCCGGATTCGAGCAGTTCGGATGACGAGTCAATCCCGTTCAACCGCAACTTCCGGGACGACTTGCTGGATGCAAGACGGCCCATCAGGGTCCGAGACTCCGGGAGCGACTCTTCCTCGTCCGAGGACAAGGGCGATGACGAGGTCAAGGATTCCCAGCCGGAGAGCCAGTCGCAGGTCGCCGGGGCCCGATCTTTCAGGGCCCGAGCCAGCCTGCCCAACTATAACCTGAAGCAGCTGAGTAGCGTCCGCACTCTTACTAAGAAAGGTGCTAGGAAGGGATCCAAATTCGTCGATGAGGAATCAGCGTCCTCCGAGGATGGCGACGAGCTTGGCGCGACCACAATCGACCTGGGACAGCTGCAGTACGACGAGATGAAGCCCCTGAGGACCTGCGGAGATAGACTTTACAACGAATGGATTGGAACTCTCAGTAAGCGACATGGATCCCCGTTCGTCGAGGACGATCGATTGCTAACATGATAAAAAGATGGGAGGAAGGTGCGGGTCGCCGGAGCGGGGGCGCTCTTCCCCAAGGATTATCAGCCGCTCCCCGATGTCGAACGTCCCTGGGTATGCGCAGTCCGGGCCTGTAAGCGGACATTTGTGTCGACCACGGGACTGGGCGGTCATTTTAATGTATGTACGCTCCAACCCCCCCGGGCCGGGGGGATCGAAGCCCGGCTCCCTCTACGCAGTCATGCTGACTTGTCTTTCTCGCTCAGATGGCGCACCGCGCATGCCTGCTCAATGATAACGGCGACGCGACCATGACTGTCATAGGCCGGCGGCAGAACCCCGAGGCGACCGGGAGGTATCCGGCCGTGGTGGTATCGGCGGTACCTCTACCCGACAACAGAAAGACCGTGGTACTCGGGCCAAATGATCCGCCCAATGGGAAACGGTATCGCCAAGTCCTGGATCCCAATGCCAGCTGGGCTGCTGCTAGCCAGTCACCCTTGTGGCGGTACCTGCGCACGATCCTCCCGAACACGGTTACGCTTCCAAAATACGCACCTGCGCTCGAGCTCCTGGCTCTTCCCCAGCGCCGTCTTCTCCCAGACTCAGTGCAAGACAGGTTCCGCGACGGGCTCGTCGACATGGAAGTAGATGTTAGGATCGTCTGCGCGATTCTGCTCTACCTCACGGGTGCCAGGGGATTGTGCAACAACTGCAGCGACCCGAAAGGGGCGGCGTCCAACATGTTCGACATGTGCGTAGCCCTGCGCCCGTCGGCCTCGGCGGCGCTCAAGAAGACTTTCGGGCCCTCTACCTGCTGCAACTGCTACCTGGGCGGCCTGATGCGGCCGTGCGTCATGGTTCGCTCGAACCTCCCGGACACGGAATCGCTGGAGCAGGTCAATGGCCTAGACCTGCCAGAGGCGCCGAAGGAAGAGTTGAGCCAGTTGCCGGATGAGAAGGAGGAAGAAGTGGTGGAGCGCAGGTGGTCGAGCAGGCTCATGACCCTCAACTCGGCTCGCGCATCCACTAGGACGAGCCTGTCCCGGGAAAATTCCACTGTGAAGCCGACATTGGTCACTCCCGTGCCGATCCCGACGTTTGGCCAGACGGCCTTGCGCAAGCCTGCCGCCGCCGCTGCTGCGGGCCCTGCTACCTCCGCGGTCGTGGCCCCACCGGACATCAACAACTTAGCAGCGAGCCTCGAGTTGGAAGACTGGGAATTCGCCCCAGGGCGGATACGGGACGAGGGAGAGGGCGAGGAAGGGCCCGAGAGTAAGTTCCCACACCACACCACACCACACACACACACACACACGCACACACACACAACTCCTACCACCCAGAAAGCTGACCACCGACCCCCCACCAAAAACAGACATCGCCTTCTCAACGGCCTTCGTATCCCAGAATCAGACCGTGGCGGTTGCCCCGGACGTGACGTTCCGGGTACAGATGGTCAAGCCGGGCGAGTGCGCGCGGTTCACGGCCGATCCGGACCGGCTGCGCATATGCTCCGTCGCGAGCGGCAAGGTGCGCGTCAAGGGCCTGGTGGCGGGGCAGGACTTCGCCGTCGGGCCGAACGGCGTGTGGAAGATCAAGGGGGGCGCGGCGTGCGTTGTCGAGAATCGGCTCTACCTCGACGCCGTGGTGCATGTCAGTAGCGTGCCGTGTTATGACTTATGACCTTGGGGTTGGAAGAGTTTTGATAACTCACCCTTGTATGTATGGTATGGTATGTGTATGTTGGGCCATGGGTGTGTGGTTAGTGAGGTGGCTACCTCGTGGGGTTATGGGCTGGTCTTGCTTTGATGCTCGGCCAATGCCACGGGTTGCTCCGTGTCGAACTGGAAATGTATGATGATTATTCTAATCCGAATCATGAACGGGAAGAAGTGTAGGGAGTCATGAACGGGAAAGAGTGCAGGAATATGGCTTAATTGGCGGGAGTTAATGATACCCTGGCTAGCATTTCACTCATCGGCGATATCGCAAATGATGGATAAATGCTCTTCTTCCCCATTGAGCGGCGTAGCTGGCGCTCTACTCATGCTATACCGATGCAACAGACTCGCGATTTCCCCCGCAAACCAACCCACCCCATGCTCATGAACGTGCCCCCAAATCCCTTCCAGAAACCCAAACCCGGCCTCCCTCCCCCCCCTCCCAAAGCACATCACCCACCCACTCAGGAAGACTGGATAGCATACACAGTCCTGCAGCCAATCTTATTACAAACATCGGCATCATTGCATCCAAAGCTCGTCGACACAGTCGCCAGGTTGTTGCACCCAGCCGGCTTGTTGACGACCTGGGTGGTCGTGCACTGCGGCACGAGGCACGTCTTGCACACGGTGCCCGTTGACGTGAGGGTCGGGCAGTTGCCGCCGCCACACGCCGACCCCGTCGTCTTGGTGACGGTCTCCGTCGTCGTCACCGTGACCGTCCGCGCCGCGCCCCCGCCGTTGCCGCCGCCGTCTTCTGGTGTCGGGCATGCTGTCGTGCAGCTTGCTCCGCGGCAGATTGTGGTTGGGGTGAGGGTTACTTGGCCTGCTACGCCGCTGTAGGGAAGGGAGGTTTATTAGTGTCTGTCTGGGCTTGGTGGTGGGGGAGAGGGATTGGGATTGGGATTGGGTTACTTACGCGGCGAGGGCGGAGAGGATGAGCGGGAGGAAGGAATGCATTGTTTCTCGAGTTTGTGGAGACCCTGTGCTGATTGGAGAGGGGATAGTAGATTCAAGCTCTTTTTCTTTCGTTGTGTGGTGGCTTGTTTGTTTCTCGTGGAGGAGCTCTACTGAACCGGATGTCGGTGTCGTGAAGGGGGACGCTTGACAGTTTTATATCATTTTGAACCAGCCGTCTGGAGGCCAAACCGTGGCCACCCGTGTATCCATGCCGAATATATTTCAATATCCCGTGAAGCTTTCAATTGGAGGGAAATGGGTGGCAACAATTGGCAATATCAAGGGGCCCTTCGAGCCCTCTTCATAACCCGGGCTCGTGGATAGCTTGCAGTCTCCGAAATCCTGACCTGCTTCTGGCCCAGACCTGTCAATGGCCCAATGGGCGATCAGGATGCCAGGAACCGGAACATTCCCCATCTGGTAGCATCGTAATCCGTAACATGGGACTATATGGTCTATTTGCGTAGGAATTTTCTTGTCTACGGTGCATCGCGGCTGAATGCGCGCCCGCCAGCAAACTTTAAATGCAATTAAGTTTATGCTAAAAATAGTCGCTTGACGACCCTTGATGACGGACCAGGAACCGATTTGGGTATACGGAATTATCCAAAAGGGTCATGTCTGTTTTGCAGCCTTGGCGGTCGCTTGCCCGGACGGGGCGAGTAAGTTGTCGTCTCAATAACGAACATCGTGTGATCCGGGGACAGGCAGGCAGCGGGATGTGGGCTCCAACCTTCCACCCGAGGTGTCAGTAGTGTATAGTATGGCCACGCCTCGTGCAACGTCATTTATTCTTCCCATTCTAATTTGGGAATCACTAGTAATGAATCACAGAAGCCGTTGAGCAAGCCAAACCCGCAATGCTTCACAAGTGCCTTGGCGAGAGGCTTGGGGGGTGTCTATGGCCAAAGATTATGTTCTCGGTGTAGGAAACATTTACACATCTTTGGTTCCGCTCGAGAGATAGGGCGCGCCCTCTCATCGCCCCAAGATTCATGACCAGCCATCTGCATTTGGACGTCACAGCACCACTCACGCAAAAAGCTTTTCGCCGTCACTTACATGTTGTTTAAATCCCTACGATTTCCAAACTCCCTATTATGTTGCAAGTCCCACACAGGGGCGGCGAAGGTGGGAAGGCACGGCTTGGAGTGGCAAATCTCCCTTGGATCATAATGTATAAAATCTAGACTTAGGCCTGGCACCCTTCAAAAGCATGCGTTTTGAAGAAGTTGGGTTTAAAGACCTTACCCACCATTCAGTTGAGGTGGCACTTTTCTTATAGGCCCCTGAACTTGACCACGCAGGCTTTACACAGGCTTCTCCTGCCAAACTGTCTGGCTCCAACCTAAGCGAGCTCCTTTCCCTATTTCCCTTTTTTCTTGGATCGTTTCCTGAGAAGCCATGGCTATCCTAGAAATTGACTTTATCCACCCACATACTATGCATCACTCGGATTTATGACTGCAAGCGAACGCTCTTAGCTCTTTCATCGGAAGATCTGTTTTGGGGGGAGTTGTATTTTTCTTTGCAAGCCGGTGGTATAAAAAGGAAGAAGCAGAAAAAATGAGAAAGGAGAAAGCAACTAAAGTATCAACCTCGGACGATGAGTTTCAGTAACGACGTTCTCACTCTGCGTCAAGTGTCTTTGCGAAGGAGGAGGAGCGCGAAGGTCATTGAAACGGAAGCTGAGGTACTGATAATTCTTCGCGTGAGACTCCATTCGGACTTTTCCACGATAAACACAGTCCACATTACGAAGAGGGGATAGAAAGCGTGTGCCCAGAAATACCGCAGTGTGGCGAGAGTCTTCACGACTATATATCGAGGCCGTGAAGGCCTGGGTCTGAGAATGACCAGTTCGTGAAAACGGGCGATCTTGCGTCCTCGGGCCTGCTCTACTAACTAGATGGCGAACTGCAAGTCAACCTGTACCGCGAAGACATCGGTGTCATGCGCCGAGTTGACGGATGCGCCGAGGATGACGGCGTGTACTGCTGTTGTTATGATGTATGTCAAGTTGAAACCCAGGACAAGGGGGCTGATCCAGATGTGATAGGTGAGGACGAGTAACGCGAAGACGGCCCAGGCAGGATGCGGAAGGCTTGAGTGTACATGCCGGTTACGGGATAGGCGCACCACACCAGAGGCGCGGATCCTTCCGTTGCCATCGCCGAGGGTGTCGAACTCATCCTTACAGCGCATCATCCTTCCATTGACGGTGGTGAGGAGAGAGTGATTAGGCGAAATTTGAAGGATCGCGAGGTTGACATAGTCGGTCACCGAAGTTCTTCCGAAAACGTTCTACACCTTACGAGGTTAGGCAACCTGCAAGTGGATATCCATCTTAGCCAGTGACTTTCATCTTCTTTTCACGAGCCCTTCTAGATTGATACGTCCATCAGTTCGTTCAAGATGCCACTGGCAATTTTTCTTCTCATTGTTGTCGCAGCCATACTCGGGGCAAGCGCGTGACGGCCGGTCGCCCAGAAATTCAGACATCGGAAATGGTTTGGCTTTTCTGATCGCCTTGTACACGAAAGTTAGAAATTATCGCGGTCGAGACAAATCAAACGAGATGGGTTTAAAGCAATCTTCTTTCACCAAACTGATTCTGCACAGTAAAGTGTTGGCAATCTGACGTTGTAATCCAATCAAAGCTGACAGTATTAAAGAGGTTGTGAGGAGAAGTGTGAGAGAGCTGAGGGGCAATTTATTGCTGCAGTCTCATCATGTCATCGATAATTATGGGTGCAGATGGATGCGTCCAGCTCGGCTCGTGCCACACATCACGCCATCATCATGCCAACCCATCCACATTCCGAATCCAAGTAATATAAAAGTGAACTCTAGACTCAGACCAGAGTGAATCTCAACCTGTGAATCCAGATACATAACTTGACAATAACGTTCACCATGGAAACAAATAATGACTTAAGCACCCTATTCGCCCTTCCCCCCTCCTCGGAATTCCTCTCCCAATGCCCAGCATTCCGCCTGCTCGTCCTTGGAAACGCCGAATCCACCAAAGTCGACATATTCTCCAAGATCTTCGGCGTCACCCTACCCAAGGTCAGTAAATAAGTTCTTGCCCCCTATTTCAACAGTATCTAACAAACGGCAGAACCATCTTGCAGCAGCCTTCAGCCCCGGCCATGACATCACCCAGGAGCTAGAGCTAGACGGCCAGAACAGTCGCCTCATCATCCACACCTCGCCCAACTTCGGCAGCGGGGATGAGCAGGCCTACGCCCGGGTGTGCGACTTCCTCAAAGCCAGACAATCCCCCTCGGCCGCCCCCGCGGACCGCATCCACTGCATCTGGTACTGCGTAGCCTGCGACGAGGACAGGAGCGTGCACGGTCTCGAGGCCGACTTCCTCGCCCACCTCCGGTCCGCCGCCGCCCCCGACACCCCGCCCGCCGTGCTCGTCTTCACAAAGTACGAGGAGCTAGTCGGCCGCGCGCGCCTCGAGTGGTCGCGCGACGAGCGGCGCAGCGGAGCCGCGTCCAGCGTCGCCGTGTCGCACCTGATCGGGGACCTGGCCTCGCGGCGATTCGAGGAGCGCATCGGCGGCAGGTGGGACGGGATCGTCGGTGGAGGAGGCCGCGTGGCCCGCGTCTGCGTTGCGAACGACGACGGAGGTGACGGCGGCGTCGGTGGGGGGAGGTCCGGTTTTGACGCGTTGACTGGCACGACCGTTGCCGCCTTGAAGGACTGGAATGCCAAATTGGCTTTTGCTGCTGCCCAGCGGAATTCGCCGTCGATATCGACACAATGTGAGTAATTATCCGCTCCAGCTATGCGAATATTGGAAAGAATCCGGCCACTGATCAAATAAACGTCATACAGTCGCCGCCAACATCGCGGCCGAGTACTTCACCGTCGACACCGGCCACGCGAGGAAGCGAAGCGGCGTCGAGGTCGGCGGCATCCTCCGCGACTTCTTCGCCAAGGCGACCCAGGTCTTCAACCTCAAGGACCGCGACGCGCTGCTCCTGGCCCCGCACCTCCTCGACAGCGTGCTGGCCGCCGCATTCGAGTCCCGCGACGAGCTCGGGCTCCTGCAGGACGCCCTGGAAGGCGGCGATGGGGACGGCGGCGGGGCGCATCAGCAGCCGCTGATCGGCTTGCTCAGCCCCCACGACAGGGCATGCCTGCTCGCCCAGGCCCTCGCCCAGACGGCGCTGTTCTTCCACGGCCTTGCCACGGCGCAGTGGGCGCAAGGGGACCCGGCAGTGGGGCTCACGGAACAGTCGATAGGGAGGGAGCTGCGCGAGATGAGGTTGGGGACGGGCCGGAAGAGCGTCATAGAGGTGGTAGAGGCCAGCCCCATCTTCACCCAGTGCTTCTCCAGGAGCGAGATATCGGAGCTTATCGTGAGGGCGGTGGAGCAGACGCAGGAGGTGGGGGCAGGCCAGAACCCCATTTCCGTGAGCTCGGAGCTGAAGGATATTCCGCTCACCTCTGTCAACGATCGAGGCCGCGACGACTTGGTCTTGCCTTGCGGGATGACAATTGTGCCGCTGACATAGCGAGATCCAAGGGTCCGGGTATCGGTCCTAGGGAAGAGGAGATCCCACCGATAAACTTGTCTGCGGGTACCCAAGAGGTGTGTTGCGCAGGCCTGCCCACGATCTTCTCGAGAACGGATGTGAGGGACCTGGAAAAGACGTAGAGATGTTAGTAGTATGCTTTATTTCTTAACCCTAGGTAGTAGCCTTGACTCTCAAGCTGGACTTGCTTTTTGCCTGGAAGCGCTGAGCGGAGCCAGAATCACCTCCTTTATCATCCATGGCTGCCCAATTTCCGGAAGAAGCCTAACAACTGCTACTGCTACGGCTGAAGTGATAGCTGAAGAAACTGAGCATGTGGAAAGGATCCAGAGAATTCTAGCGCGGAAGCTTGGTGAAATGAACCCGCGATGCCATGATAACTGGGGGTTGGCCGAAATGAAAGATCGAAAGAGTTCTCCAGCATGTAAGGCTGCTAAGGTGAAATATCGACACGATGATGCTCATGGAAGAGGTTGGAAAGTGATCGAGAAGATCGAGCAGTGTAGACACTAGATCACAGGAGGAAGATTCATACAATTGATACCTGCAAACACCAGGTCTTGACTACCTCTGCCAAAGTAGAGAGTGAGGTCCCTCAGCACTTTCTCGTTGCCTGGACCATTTAGTAATCAGGGAAGGGCCACAGATGGCTGGGCTCCCCCTTCTAGTCTGACAACCTTAATTCATTGCTGAACCTAGGAGTGGTTCAGACGGTAAAGGAGACATACTGGCATTGCAGAGGTTGGACGGAGAAGTGTAAGGCTATTCGACCTCTCCTTGGGAATCCTTCGGTCTAAGAGCATATTGCATAAGTCTTGGAACAGGACTTGTAACAGGTCCTGGATCTACAATACATACAAGCTAGGTAGTTACCTCTGCCCAGGGGACGAGGTGGTCTCAAAATGGAAGGCCACTTGTGCACGGGCCACCCCCTTTACCCCTTTCACTCAAGACCTGAGGTGCTCATACCTACCTAGCTAGCCAACTTACACTTTCGACATTCTGTAGAATTTACGTTTGAGGCCTTACCGACTCGCCAGCTCTGCCCAATGAGATTCTACTTTCGACTCAGTTATATGTACGACCTCGTGGTGGGTGGCTCTCAGATACCCTCCTTGGTGAGGTGTGTCGACGAAAGGTGATGTTGATGTCGTGATAGAGTCTGGAGATGATCGAGCGAGTCTCATTTTATTTTTAGTTTCGGCGGACCATGGCAGCTGCCTCCCATAAGCTTGCCATTGTTGTTTTCTCACAGAGGCGGAGCAAGCCACTACAGCTTCCATGATCAAGCTCTTGCCAGGCCTGGATTTGAGCACGTAAGCTTGTCTTCAGACAGTCAGTCCCGTTAGGTTTTGGGTTCCATTGTAAAGTAGGTAGTCAGTAGCATGGAGTGCGTCTAGACTGAAGATCAAAGCATCAGGCAACGCCGTAGGTTCCTAGGTGGGCATCTGCCCATGAATCTTGAGAAATGAAGCTCCTAGCACTGGGATCCACGTGGAAAGGAGAATTCCAAGTGCGATTTCATCTATCAAAAATTCCATCCAACTATCAGTCTATCTTAAGCTTCTCCTTTCCAGACGTGGTAGTAGTCAGCCTCCGTCCTCGTAGACTTCTCAACGGATACAGAAAAGATGTCGCAATACAGTCCACCCGATTCTTCCGTCCCTGCACTGCGAATCCGTCTTTTTACCTCCTCTCAAACAGGGGCGTAGCTATGCCGTCGACCTCGACCTCGGGACCATAAAGTGCTATGCCGTGCTATACTGCCCGGTCCTCAGCAGCTGCGGTCCACCTCTCCCTCATATCGCGATCTCGGACATACTTTTGGATGAACTGATTGACGCCGACCGACAGCTTTCGCACCAGTCGGACGGTCCCTCTGGCAGGAACCTTGGCGATCAATTCCTGCCGGACACTTGTATATCCCGTCATTGCCTTATAGTACTCGGCAAGATCAAGTGGTTGGCGGTGGGTGTCGTAATAGTAGAGCACGATGGCCAGATCTGCCAAATCGCTCATCCCAAGCCAGCGCAAAGGATATTTCAGGGCCTTCCAGGCGTCGCTGTCAGGAAACTTGCCATGTTTGCAGTGGCTAGCACACTTGGTCTGATACCTGTAGAAAGAATCATGCGTGGCCACAAGACTTGGAAATGCACCCAGCTCGGGCACAGTGTCTTGATTCTCTTGTCCTAATAAGTGAGGCATAGCTGGTTCAGTCGCTGAAGATCAACTTCTCGCCAAATATCGACTTCTTCTTCGTCGTAGTCATCGTCCATGGCTATCACCTATGTTGTCGCCATGCAGTGTGTACTGGGACGAAGAGGCGATGACTGTAGTGAAAATAATCAAGGGTGAAGAGTGCCAGTCTCTGCAAAGAATAGTGGGTATTTCGACCTTGGGCGCCCTGTTGGAATGGATTTCGGTGCGAGCCAGTCTTTGGAGGAATCTCCGTTGGCGACCTCTGGCTGAAGGATCTTTAGGGTGTATTAGTGAGAGAAGAATTTGACCCGACGTTTGGGAGGTCGGATGTCAAGGTAGAAGAAGAAGACGACGACAGGGGGCTACTAGGAGGAGGTAAACAATTCTGCCAGCCATTTATTCACCTGCGTTGTTACAATGATGCACCTATTCGTCTGCTTAGGCCTCCAAGCAAGCGCAAACATGCGAGATGAGATGGTAGGCATCATCTCTTGGACAAGGTCAATCAATCCACCTCTTTGCCTTTGACGACGCCCTCTTTTTCGGCTTCAGCCAATCATCCATCCCGATGGGCCAGTAAACCCTATTCAGCGGCCCTCCCATCCCAAACTCCTCGGCCGAGACGAGCCTCCCCTCCGACGCCTCCTCCACCTCCTCCTCGTCCACTCCCTCCTCTTTACCTTCGCCGGCCCCCCTCTTCCGCTTCCTCTTCTTTGGCACCTTCTTCGCGGGCCGGTCCTCGTCCTCCCTCTCGTACGGCACCACGTCGTTGATCCTCTCGAACCCGGGCAGCCTGAAGCTCCGCATCAGCTCGAACACGGCCTGCTCCTTGTCCTTGGCCTCGATCATCAGGTCCGCGTCGGCCGGGCACGGCGGCAGCGTCGCCACCCGCGCGGCGTGCTTCCGCCTGTCGCGCGCCTCCACCGCCTCCGGCCTCGGCTCGCTGTAGTGCATCTTCTGCCTGATGCCCTTGCGCTCCCACGTCCGTGCGATCCGGTCCGCCAGCGCCGGCTCGCTGATATCGAGGGTCCCCTCCCGGACTTGCGACGCGTCGAAGACGATGTTGTGATGGTGGTAGTCCAGCACCAGCGGGATGTTGAGCTCCTCGCAGACGGGAAGGAGGTCATGCACGCTCCACGAGACGTCGTCGTTTTCGAGCACCAGCCGCCGCCGGATGCCCTCGGTCAGGCGCGTCGTGTAGTTGAGCCTGAAGCGGGCCAGCGCCTCCGCCTTATCGCCGTAGGTGCCGCCCATGTGGATGACCATGACGGCGTCGCGGTCCTGCTGCGGGGGGAGCTTCAGGAGGGTGAGCATTTCGTCGTGGTAGACGAGGTCGCGGATCGACGCGGCTACAACCTCCTCACGCGGTGAGCCAAGCTGGGTGTACTGCGAGAGGTTGTCAGTGTGCACGGTGGCGGAGGCAAACTTGCTGGGGCCGAAGCGAACGCATCAGGCGGGGGGGAAGAGAAAAAGTGGGGGGAAGGGGTTGACCTTGCCAAGGGGCCAAAGGAGGTGCACAAACCTGGCCCGGATGGGTTGTCACTCGATGACCCAGCTCCGCAATTACCTTGCCAGCTTCGGCGAGGACCTCGGAAGCGAAGGGTTCAAGCTTGTACCCGTGCACGGCGTGGCTGGCGAAGGGGAACATGTCGGAACTAAGCCGCATGAACTTGATGCCGTACTTGTCGTTCCACCGTATCATCTTGACAATGTCGGCCGCGTTAGACAGGCCCAGCTGCTGGACAAACTTGCGTCCCAATTCCACGTCTGACGCCTTGCTCTTGTCGGGTCTGTTCACGGTCGCATGCTCCGGTGCTAAGGGATCTTGGAGTGGGTGACGATGCTCGATTATGGACGCCAGTCTACATGTCCGGGAACAGAAGACGGGCGGGTTCGCTGTGCGTAGGTATGTGTTTAGGCAGGCCTACTTGGCATTTAGCAATGCATTTCGGGAGGTGTTTTGCCCAACTGCAGCAACTGCAGCTCCTGAAAACATGACTGGTCACTCACATATCCTAAACGGCCTTTCCAGGGAAGGGGGAGATAGCTGCTGTTCACGGCGGGAGGCCTTGCCGCGCCTCGCTCGTTGGCATCACTGTCTTCGACACCCTCGACAACCTCGGCATGCCCTTCTTTCTCGATGCCTGGTTTGCTTCTCTTGACACTCTGCTTGGAGTCTTCTCTGTCGATGATCTCCGTGGCTGTAGGAAAGGTACCAATGGTCGTCGGCGAGCTTGGCTGTGCACTGGGATCAAGCTTGGGCGTCGGGTGGGACTTGGAGGTGTCCTGTGACGGAGAGTCGCGATAGCTGGGAACGCTGCTCTCGGCCAGCTGCAGCTTCCGTCGTTTCGTTGCACGGCGGAAGCGGAGATCCATGTCTGCCAGATCCTCAATGGCCTGCTTGACATCCGGGTTACGGGCGGCTGCCTTCTCCCAAAAATCCTTGGCGTCGATGTAAGAACGGTCATCGTCCTCCTTCTCCTCAGGGTTGCCAAACTCGTCTTCTCGGCCATCTTTACTGGAACGACTGGTGCTTATACGGATCGACCGGCGAAGGTCTGCTCCATCCTTGGGTTGAGGATCATCAACGGCCGAGGCCGAGGCCGAGGAGGCATCGACATCAGACTTTCGCTTGCGAGGCATTGTGCTGGGACATTGGCATTGGGCGGGGACTGCAGTGTGTGGAAATGGCAAGATCGAAGGCCTTAAGGTGGCATAGACCTGCGAAGGAGATACTTCACTGAAACGGCGTTTGAGAAGTGCAATGGAAACGAGCTTTGGATAGACCGAGACCATGACATTGTTTGATGAAGTGGTCTACGATGCATCTCCCTCAACTCGTTATCGATGAAGTCATACATCCTATGGCCAATCACAGGTCACGGCTCCGCCCAGGCCCACAACGCACATTACTTACCCATGAAGTCTCAGCCGCCTGCGACACTTCTAGTCGTCACCACTTCAACAACCAACCCAATCCATGTCCTTTAGGCTCATGGGGAGGGTGGGATTCCCTAACAAATAGGTAAATAATTCTTGGCAAAAGCCTCGCTTAGGATACCACTTCCCACTAAGTGTTTACCCATTTTCTCTTTTAACCTCCGCCGGGATAAGCACCTCATGAGAATGGCTTCCCTTGGGCGAACACTAAGCTTCAAATAGAAAGTGGAAGTGAGTGATGCTACCTATACGCGCATAGTTTTTCGAGGCACACTTCACTCTCCTAAAGGGAGCTGGGTCGACAGATGAGGAGCGAACCTCCTGATGAGCGCGACGGTGGCGAAACATGCCAATCGCTACAGGTCTGACACCTCTCACTTGTCTCAATGCTTAGTCTGTATTTGCTCTGCTGATCCTAAATTGAAGTGTAGGATGATTATTACCGTGAATAGCCATGAGTCTCGCAGCATCGCAATTCGATAGAGACAAGAAGCTGCGTCATCCTCAACCGCCCAGGAGACTTTCCTACGAATCAGTGGTGTCGCAGTTTTCGTTCGGGTACGCCTTGGTAGACGCCTAGCCCAGGCAGTCACTTTATTAAGGTAGTGGTGAATATTTTCTAGGCGTCTCGGCTGTACAGGCGGCCGCAAATCTTTAAGTAGGTAGCACCAGATAGGGCAGACTGGGTTAGAATTTGCGGTCCGGCCAATCAAAAAAGGCCTCCCCAATAGCTCCTAGCCCTAGCTTGCAAAAACTCTGTCTCGTACTGCTACATGTCGTAAAGCAGTTGCCTAGGGGATACATCTTCCCGTCCTTACCAACTTGCAGAATTGGACAATTACCTGGGCAGGCATCCATTTATCTCTGCTCATTCACAGACCCCTTAGGCAGCGATATAAGTGCATGTACAGTACCTACGTATAACCGCTGCACAGACAATTGCATGACCAGGAAGTTTCCTAGATCTCATACAAGGGGTGCATCGTCAAATTCTCTCCATAATTAGAGCTCGTTGATATTTGCTCAGCAGTTTCGGCAACGTTTCTCAAAACACCAACCCTCAGACCACAATGGCTGGCGACGTTCCAATGACCGGTGACAACTTCGGCAACCAGTCACAGGCATTCCTGGACTGGTTCAAGTCCCTTCCAGGGGCCACATTTCACCCGGACATCATGCTCGAGGACCTGCGAGATAGGGGCGCCGGGCGAGGAATTGGTAAGTCCCCAGTCAGTCAGTCAGTCAGTCAGTCAGGGGAGGTTGTCATGGGACCGTGCTTGCTCGGCAACCGGTAACGACGGCCCCGGCGCTGACAGTTCCCCTCCCCCCCGTTTCTAGTCGCGACCGCAGAGATAGCCCCAGACACAGTCCTATTCACCATCCCGCGCAGCCGCATCATCTGCCCGGCCACGTCAGAGCTGCCCTCCAAGATCCCCGAGGTCTTTGCACGCGACAGCCAGGACGACAACGACGACGACGACGACTTCTCCGGTCCCAGCTCGTCATCGTCGTCGCAGGACTCATGGACCTCTCTCATCCTAGTCATGATCTACGAGCACCTCCGCGGCCCCGCCTCGCCATGGAAGCCCTACCTGGACATCCTCCCGACGGCCTTCGACACGCCCATGTTCTGGTCCGCGCCGGAGCTGCGCGAGCTGCAGGCCACCTCGGTAGCGTCCGTGGTCGGGCGCGCCGACGCCGACCGCATGATCGCCACCAAGATCCTGCCCGTGATCCGGGCGCACGCGGACGTCTTCTTCTCCGGGGGCCAGGAGCCCCTATCCGACGACGAGCTGGCGAGCCTCGCGCACCGGATGGGCAGCACCATCATGGCGTACGCGTTCGACCTGTCGCGTGACGACGACGACGACGAAGACGGCGAGCAGCAGCAGGATGGCTGGGTGGAGGACCGGGACGGCAGGGGCGTGCTGGGGATGGTCCCGATGGCGGACCTGCTCAACGCCGACGCCGATTTCAACGCGCACATCAACCACGAGGAGGGCGCGCTGGTGGCCACGGCGCTGCGCCGCATCGCCCCCGGCGACGAGGTGCTCAACTATTACGGCCCCGTGTCCAACGGCGAGCTGCTGCGCCGCTACGGCTACGTCACCCCGCGGTACCGCCGGTGGGACGTCGTCGAGCTGCCCTGGGCCCTGGTCGTGGCGCGCATCAAGGGCCAGCTGGGCCTGGGCGATGAGGTCTGGGCGAAGGCGGTGAGAGCAACCCGAACTCCAGGGGGCTCCCCCCCTGCTGATAGAAGACTCCTCATGTATGCTAACGGCTACCCCCCCGCAGGAGAAGAAGGCCGACCTGGACGACGTGGAGGATGGCTTCGTCATCGAATGGGGTAGCGAAGACCCGGACTCGATGGGCCACGTGGACGACACGCTCGAGTTCCATGGGCTGCCCGACGAGCTGGCGGAGCAGGTCAAGGCGTTCCTCAAGGCCCTTCGGAAGGTCGACCCGAGCGGTGCGGGAAGCAGGCTGTCCGACTCGGATGCGCGGCTGGGCGTCTTCCTCGCGAGCGTGCTGGGCGCGTTGGAGGACAGGGCGGCACAGTACCCGACCACGCTGGAGGAGGACATGGCAAGAGGGGAGAGGGAAAACCCGGCCGGGAGGGTGGGGAAGGCCCTGGCTGTGCGTGTTGGCGAGAAGGTGCTCATCCGGGAAGCCCAGAGGTGGGTGCGCGACAAGCTGCAGGAACTGGGGCCAACGGCAGGGCAGTCCGATGAGCCGGCTGTGAAGCGGCAGAAGTTGAGAAGGTAAGCAAGGGGGGAGTTTTGGAGGAGGGCGGATCATCCGTCGTTAAGCATTTTGAATCCATACTACCTACATACCGGACGAGTTCTTCCTCCTCTCGAAAGGCGTTCCAGCAGGAGTCGGTCGGCCAAGCCCTTCCGGTACCGACGCCAATGTCCTAGTCCTAGTCCTGTCCCACGCCCTTGAACACCAAGATGAGGTATCGCGCAAACCTATCCCTGGTATCACATGCTGCAAGTGCGCCGCGCCCAAGCAAACCCGCGCCTTGTCCGTGGACCAAACCATTTAAACGGCCAAAACGAAGAAAACCGCATGCCAGATCACGCCGTCTTGGGTTTCTTCCGGACGAGCCCTGCGCCGAGAACGTTGACCTTCGGCTGATCCTGGCCTGCTCCCGCCTTGCCGGCAACACCAGGAACTTCATTCGCCACCGCGGCAGCCGAAGCTTGATCCCCCTCCTTCCGCTTCTTCCTCACGAGGCCCGCCCCAAGGACATTGACCGTCTTGCCGGGCGCCGCCGCCAAAGCCGCATCCCCATTCTCTCCGGGGGCAGCCCCGCCGGTTTCCGCCGCCGGGCGCTTCCTCTTGATAAGACCGGACAGGTTGGTCACCGTCGCAGCGGCCGCGTTCGCCGGCGGGGTGGATTCATCGGTCCCGACGACTTCGCGGCCCCACGTGGAGCCCATGGCGACCTCGCCGATCCACCGCTTGGTGCTGCCGCATGCCTTCGCGAGAGTGGCGAAGTCAAGGTGCAGCAGCAGCTCGACGATGCGCTTGTAGTCTGACTCGTCCACGATCCGTTCGCCCCGGCCTTCGGGGGGCCAGTGGTAATATGCCGTGGAGATGGGGCGGTCGAGGAGGTAGTTCCTCTGGTGGGTTTTGATGTGCGGCTGGCGGGGGATGATGCGGCCTGTTAGCTTCCTTTTCTTCTTCTTCTTCTCCCCTTCCTCCGTCTTTCCACTGGACTTAGATGGGGTAGTTTTTGCAGATTCTGGGGTCGCTTGGACTTTCAACGGCGATGACTGCGGTGTGCGGATGGGAATGCCAGCACGGCGGCGAGGTGGAGTTGATGGCGGTTCTGTGGGGGGTAGATTGACGGCAGATGGAGCAGGGGGCGGTCCCGATACCTGCGAGGTGACGCCGGCCGTCTTGGCATCGAATACCACCCAAATAAACCCTGTTAGGCGTCCGCTAGAGCACTCCTGCCGGAACGCCATCATCTCCCAGAACTGATCCAGGCTCTTGACACTCTTCCATGAGCCCATATCCTGTTTCCATTTCGCAGCCTCCTCATCCAGCTCGCCACGGAAGCGTGACTTGGGATCGTCGGGATATCGGGGGATCAGGCATCTGGGAGGAACCCAGTCATACTCGGCCGTGTAATGGGAGATCTTCTCCAATGGGTGACCAACCGCCCAGTTTGCCGCGCTCCCTGGGTCCCGAGGGAGGAACGCTCGAGTTTCATAATGATCGAGGCCTGGGACTATGAGATAGCCCTTGATATCGCCCCATTGCTCCTGCCTCCGCTGTGTCCTCTCTACTCGCTTCTCGAGCAGCGGATTCAGCACTCGACACCACCACTTGACCAGCTCGCGGTCATTCAGGACGTGCTTGCCACTGTTTTCAACGCTGCCGGGGAACAGATACTGCGATTGCGCGCGCGCAAACAGACTGACGACCGTTTGTATACCCTTTCTCCGCCGGTGTTCGGCGAGGAAGGCGAGGAACGTGGCGCAGACCTCTCGGATCGGGGATGGAGTCCCCTTCGGCAGGCCGAGAAGCTGGAGGTAACCTGTCGAGTCGGCCTTGGAGACGAATATTATAGTCGAATAGGCAGTCGTAAAAATGAGGACTTCCAAGGCAAGGACTAGAGTTTGCTTGGGCAACGAACCCTTAGGATTGTCGCTATTCGTCTCGGTCTCGGTGTCGATTGAAAGGGCAAGAAAGTGATTTTCCCGGTATGTCTTGTCTGGCGATACTCCCGGCGGGGGAGAGCAAAGAGCATCGGTACGCGTCGGAGGGGTCGAGAGGTGATACACGCCGAACTTGTAGCCTTTTGGCAGAACCGCGGCGAGCTTCTCCAGGAGGAGGCTGCTGGTTGGGCGCTCGTGATTCGAGCTGGAGGGATTTGTAGAGGCCATTACAAGCTCAGAAAGGTGGGCAGACCAATGCACAAAGAAGCCATGACCAAGACATTGAGGTTTTCCTGTGGTTTCTTCCGCAGTGCTGGCTTTGGGAGTGTCTGTTTGGAGCCTTCCACATTCCTTTCCCAACATGCGCATGGCATATGCCAATGGATTGACCAATGGGCAGGAGGGAATACAGGGACCGTGCGGGACAGCTTGGCTATTCCGAAGTTTATCCTGCGCACGGGTCCATAGCCGGGAAACTTTCCGCCGAAGACCGTGCATCTCCAGTCGCGAAAAATTGGTCCCATTGAGTTGAGGTCTCTCAATCGAGCACAGCTTCGCCCTCGACTCCTTTTGCTGTTCAACCATTTCAATGGCACTCAATAGCTCTCGGACAGCTTTCACAACATCTACTAGGTCATTGCGACAATGTAGATGCTCGTCAGCCCAGCCTCTAACCCGCCTATCCTCCACACCTCTTCGGCCCTTCTCTTCCGCTCCCACCCTCAGATCAGACGCCCGCGATGCCGAGCCCGAGAATGGCGACCGGCCAAGGTGGTCCTACACTCCGGAGGGCATGAAGGGCCCCGGTTTCTCAATCAACGTTGTGAAGGATCCCCGGCGGAAGATATGGACGGTCAACGAGGACCCGAAGAAGCTGGACACCATGTATAACGTGTTGCTGGGGCGCGATGGCGAGCGGATGCTGCCGGACGAGATCAAGTGGCTGGCCGTGACGCACAAGAGTTTTGATCAGGGGAGGAGAGGCTTCAACACGAAGCTGGCGTACTTTGGTACGGAACAACCACATTCCCCGTTTCGCAGTTCGGTGTTACCCCCTGTTGGGACTGGCGACTCCTTGCTAACCTTCTCCTATTTACCAGGCCGCCAAATCATTGCTCTAGAAGCAACAAGGTCGATCTTGACAACAAACATCATCGGGGAGAAGCCGACCCCGGATCCCTACGACCGTGTACCCTTTGAACACCCTGCTCTCGCCAATGTCGACAAGCTGGGCTCGAGACAACCCCTGGATCTCATAAGGAAGGAGAAGATGGCCCGGCTGGCAGTCGATGTAGGGCTGCCAGAAGTGGTCCGGTGGAAGCCCAGGCTGGTAAGGCGACTGTCCCCCGACTCTCCGTCTCTCTGGCACTCCAACAGCAGCTAACTCTCAGCGTTTCTTAGCCCGAAAACCTCGAAGGCTCAGGCTTGACAGTTGTGTTGAACACGACATTATTTGCGATCGTAGGGGCCATCTCCCTGCAACACGGCGCAGAGGTTGCTGGCAGGGTAGCGAGGGAGAAGATACTGAAGCGACTGATACCCGCATAGAGACTACCACTGGTCAATGTATAAACATGTACTGTACAATAACAGCGGGACATTAGACAAATTCCATCCGTTGAGAGAGCCGAGCCTCGTTACCGGGCGGCAACCACTCGCCGCCCATCTAGAATTGACGTTGCTCAGCTTCATCTGCCACCTAGCCGCAGATTCCATGTGGACAATTCCACGTTCATGAACAGCGTGCCGCTTGGCCAAGTCGCAATCTTGGCATCATCTCAATTTGGGACTTGATACTGACGGCACATTGGCCAAGAAGCATAAGGACCCTCCAAGCGCCGTGCCCGCAGGTTTGTCTTTTTTGTTATACCCAAGAAATCGAAGGAATATTGCAATAAGATCATACAATTTATCCCATGCAGTCGTATCATACGCAGACAGTGTCCTTCCCTCACTCTTCCCTCAGGAGAGGTTCCCCGAAGCCGTCGGGCTCAGCTTCACCCTCACTTTCGTCCCATCCACCGGTTTCGAAGTGATCTGGTTAGTCTAGACGGCAGTTAGCGCACAATCCTGCACCAATCGAAGTCCCATCCAGGGTTGGTGATGGGGGAGGGGGAGTCTGGGTATCATCATCAACTCACGCTGTACAGCTCGGCCTTAACCTCATACTGCCCCTTGCCATTCACCACCGGCAGTCCCTTCTCATCCAGCACGCTCTCCCCGAGCCCAACCTTGACAAAGTCGTACCGCCTCAGCACACAGGCCAGAATCACCCTCGCCTCGAGGTTCGCCAGCTCCTGGCCGATACAGTTCCTCGGCCCCCTCTCAAAGGGCCGCCATGCGCTCGCCGGCACCCGGCCGCCGCCGCCGCGCCCGTCCTCCCCTCCCGCCTTCTCCTCCAGCCCATCGCCGCCGCCGTTGGTGCTCATCGACGTATCCGTGTTGCCCAGCCAGCGCTCGGGCACAAAGTCATCGGCCGAATCCCCAAACACGGCGCGGTCGCGCTGCACGATGGTCGCGCAGTTATACAGCACGATGCCATCGAGGCAGACCTCCGCGCCCGTCTCGGGCAGGCGAACCATCATTCCCGACCCGGGCGGCGCCATGCGAGCCGTGCCGGCGGGCGGGTACAGGCGCAGGGTCTCCTTGATGACGGCCGAGGTGTATGTCATGCGGCGGGTGGCCTCGTCGCCCTGGGCGAGCAGGCGGGCGCGGACGACGGCCGGGTCCGAGTCCGGGCCGAAGATGTCGTCGAGCTCGGCGCGGACGGCGGCCAGGGCGCGCGGCGTGCGCGAGAGCTCGTAGAACACCCACTGCAGCAGGATGCTGGTCGTGTCGTGGCCCGCGAACAGGAACGTCTTGAGCTGGTCGCACGTCTGGCGCACCAGCGCCGGCGTCAGCGTCTCCGTGTCCTGCAGGCTGAGCGACAGGACGCTGCGCGACTTGGCCGACGAGCCCAGCTGCCGCTGCTCGGCGAACTTTTGCTGGATCAGGCTCTGCAGGAGCTGGTCGATGCGCCGGGAGAGGCGCCAGCGGTAGAACTGGGTGCGCAGGTTCAGCGGGATGATCCTGTTGTTGTAGGCGCCGGAATAGCTGAGTATCAGCTTGCGGTAGAGGTCGATGAACTCGCTCTGGCGCGACTGGCCGAGCTGTGCGTCAAAGTCGACGTCCATGGTCACGGCACCTAGACAGCCCATATTAGCCAGCCGTTCTCCTGCAGACCACGATCCGAGCAGAGACCCACCAATGATGTCGAAAGTTAGGTTGGTGCACAGCTCGTCGAGGCCAAACACCTCGCCGGTTCGCGCGTAGCTGTCAAGGTGCCCTAGAAAATACCAGGTCTTGTCCAGAACACAGGGCAGAAGGGTCATCAGATGCTGAGGGGCGAAGCCGGGGTTAAACCTCCTGCGCAGGGTCTTCCATTCCTCCCCCTGTATAGTAGCCGAGCCAGTCAGCCTCGCCGTAACAGAATACGTAGCCCCGGGGAGGGGATAGCGGGGTGGGCGGTTCTCTCCTACCTCCTTGTTCAAGAGTGACTCTGGCCCGGTTAGGCGCTGCAAATCTGCCAGGGTAGGCGACTTGGGGGTGCTCCATTGGAACAGTTTCGAGGACCGCGAGATCTGCTCGGCGACCTCGTGGCCGTTGATAATGCACATGAGGTACGAGACCGGTCGGAGATCCAGAAACACCACCGACGGGTTGCCCAGCGCTTCCTTGATCTCAGTGAAGACATAATCTGGCGGCAAGGCGTCAGTATCGACTTGCCTGATTCTTCCTTTCTCCCTTGCGACGACAGGTCTTACCCACATGACGGTCCGGAGAGCCGCGTGAGAGGAACTCGTTAAACGCCTTCAGGTGTCCCCATATGAAGGACGGCTGGAGCTGTGGCAAGTCGGCATGCTGCTTGAAGCGCCGGTAGTGAATCTCCCGTATTAGGTAGACCACCAGGAGCGGTATTGCGGCGAGGAGGAAGGGTGTCAACATTTTTGCGAAATGTCTGGAGAGTCCAGCCAACCACCCGAGGGTGTTTTGAGATGGCGAAGTGGCCGTTGGCGATTGATAAGGTTGCCCATTTGTGGGGCGAGGTGCTACCTCCCAACTTGGCAATGCAACCTGACACGGGCACGGCGCACAACCGCAACGGCAACGGGGCATTGAATCTGGCCGAATCGCCGGATTGCAGGCCCATTCCACGATAGGATACGGAGATGCGTGTTTCAGAGTTATCAACTCCAATCGCATATTCCAACATCATCTCAAACTAGAACATCAATCAGAGACTCTGAAAGCCTTTGCTAAGCCGCTCCATCAGGAGCTGAACAACGCATTTTCACCATAACTTGTGGGTATCGTCATATCAAAGCAGATCTCGTTGCCCGTTTGGGAGACATCATCGAGTGATGTGGTGTCGTTACACAACATCAACGTCGTCGTGCAAAGGAATGCTCTCGGCGCAAACCATATTCCATGCATGTGTCGTGCCACCAACGGGACGTCCTTCGAACATTAACTTTTATAATAATAATTTGTGTTTTTGCGTCCCATAAGCACATGCAAAAGATCACACATCTCATGTGACGAGCAGGTGCACACACACCTGAGGGACCAATCTTTTCTCGAGAGCTTCCTCTCAACCCGCTTCAGCCACTCTTCAACAACTCTTCACCATTCTTTCCGATCTCTAGGCGACAATCAGTCAATTACTAGTGCATCATTACTTAAGCGAGGTTGAAGCGCGGACTGGCTGGTGCTGATGAGCTAGGTTACCTGGGATAACAGTAGAAGTCATCCATTTGATGACTCCCTCTGATTTCACTGAACCGAATAGCTGTCGTCTACCCCATTTGCATGCCGGCTAGCGGGGTCATCAGACATATGACACGTCCGAAAATAGCTCGAGTTTTCTCTTCGGGACAAGTCTCAGACACAGGCGCAGATGCGTTCAAGCTACAGTACTTTCTGTCTATTTCGGTGCTTTGGGTGTAACTTGGCCGACGAGAACTTGTCGCAAGTCGAAAAACTTGACACGGCCAGACTTTACTTTGAAGAGTCATCTTCCCCAATCCTCACCTAGGTTCCCCCTTATCGATGACAACCACTCCCAGACTGATCTAGGCGATACTGTGCCAGAAAATCGATCCAAGTATGCATTAGTAGGTTTAGCCGTTTGAAGATGCCGTGCCCATGTTGATAGATGATCTCACACGATATCGCTTATATCGGTTCATGGTCGTGGTCATCGAATAAAGCCATACATGCGCCCCTGGTGAGTTCGCTCGTTTCTACGTCTTCTGGGGTGGGCTGAACCCAGTTGCCTCCTCACTATCTATCCCGGTGGGCAGCTAGGGAGTAGCTTGCTTCAGACACTCTTTCGTTCAGTATCAAATAATTCAGCACCACCCTTGTACGGCTTGGGCAGCTATACGATCCTCCACCTAACCTCTTTTCCAACTCTTCAAACCGCCACGCCTTGGTTATCTGTGGACCGTCCTCGGGATGATGGCGAAATCCCCACTTCCTCGATACTCAATCAGCTTCTCCGAGCGCCCAAAATTGCAAGACGACACGGTATGGGTGCCCCACTCCAGACACTCGAGGCAGAATCCTGCATCGTCGATGTACTTGGACTCGACGCGCAAGTCGTAACCCCGGTCCGGCAAGGACTGGCTCCAGTACCACCAGATGGGCACGAAGCTGCCGTCTGCCTTCTTCGAGCAGTACTGGTCGCCCCAGACGGACACAAACACGCCCGGCGAGCCCTGCAGCGTGGCCTGGCAACGGGCGAGGCCCACGCCCGGCCAGTAGGCGAGATCAAAGGAGTAGCTGTTGACAGTCGTTAGAGCTGCGGGGAGATTGCAATAGGGTTATGAGAGTGTGGTTTACACGGATGTGCCGTTGGGATACGCTGTCGCCACAAAGTCTGTCACGTTCATCTCGGGCAAGACGTCCGGGTCGAAGCCGTTGATGCATGAGCAGTCCGACGCCTGGGCAGCAGCGGCTCCAATAGAGCTGGCGATGAGTGTGAGAAGGAGTGTAGGATTCATTGCAACTCGGTTATATTCAAAATCCTAGGTCTCTGCTCTAGTGACAGCAACCTCTAGAATGGTGTTCATTTCTGCTTATATAGTCTTGGGAGATCAGCTACTAGCTACGTCTCTAACCTGCAGTTCAAGCTATTCAGCTGTTCGACCAGACTTTTGAGGACAATAGCTTTGGTTCAGCTGACTTGGCGATTGCTACTCTGAGGTCTTTGCGTTACACTCATGCACGCCGGTCTGGTGGCGTCCAATCCAGCATGCTGTTTCACTCACCGTTGGCTGACACTGAGTTAATAATTACGAAGCGCATCCTACGATGCAGACCTACGGCCCTCTTTTGCGACCGAGACATCTGCACCCAAGCTCCAGCCCCAAAATCAGCTGCGCATGTTGCTGCCATCCCCGAAACTGGACATAAGGCACCAACAAAACCAAGCCCAATTATGCACCTTTTGCATGTGCATGTTGCACCCATATATCGTATGATATGCCTACTGTAGTCATGGTTAGAGATGGAGAATTTCAGGACAACCTGCAGGGCGCTAAGGAACAATAAATCCAGGCACCAACACGGATGCATCGGCCGGCCCATTTCCGGTTCGTCCCTTCCACTAGCATCGCCCCGCGGGCCCTGATGATCTTTCGCGATGCTCCCGTCCAAGGCTCTCAACCGCATGATAAACACTCCCACCTTTACTAATAAGCTTATAAACTGGTCCCGACCACAATATGAGGGGGATTAATGCACTCAACTTGAATTATCTAAGGAAACCCCCCGGGGGGGGGGGGGGGGCGCGGGGCCGGGGGGGGGGGGGGGGGGGGGGGGGGGGGGGGGGGGGGGGGGCTGGGGCCCGGCTGTCACGAGTGCGAGGGCGGGGAGCACGAAGACTATGAATGCTTTTGGGTTTGGGCCGCCTATGAGGGTGGTGGTTGGGGATACTG